TAAACTGTCTCCATGCTGCCACAGCTGAAGCATGAGAGCTAGCTAACGTTAGCTAAACATGCCTGTTGTTACTGCTGCATTAGGCATTGCTGACTTGCCCGATTTGACATATGAAATTTGACATATGGGAGGCACAAAAACACGTTAAACGGGTTACGCGGGCCATCTACACTCTTGTTATTACAGGCTTCTGTCGTTAAAGAAATAAAAGGTGCTTGTTAGCTTGGCGGCTAAACTGAAAATGTTTTTAGCCAGTGTTACTGGTTTCTGTACAGGCTGGCTGGCTGGCTGGCTAGTCACACTCAGACATGGCGATCTTGCTAGCAGCGCTGCTGACATTTTTCGCTGCCTGAAAACGTGTTTATTTCAGTCATGAACCGAGCATGCTAATTAGCCTGCTAGCAGACGGTTTCTCAAAAGCTAACCACAGCCAGCCAGCAAGAATGAGCTTCATAAACTGGACCTAATGTAGTAGTATACGGAGTTGCATAACAGATTTCTGCCGTTGAAGCGCCGTGAAGCTGTTGTTTTTTAGTATTAACGTTACCCTACGACTGAAGCACACATAGCCAGTACGGTCTCAGATTTGCAGAAATAAGTGCAAAAAAAAATAAATAAATAACTCACCGTTTGAAGTGCTCGATAATTTTTTCCTCTCGTACATTTTCAGGTAAATTCCCCACCCATAAGTGTCTGGTTTCCCGGACCATACTGCGCGTTTGTGTCTCCCAATCATACAGATAATTTTATTAGGATAAATCCGACCCGACTGAGTGTGTGTGTGTATGCGTGAGGGAGAGTTGCTAAAGAAGAAGATGTGTTGAAAGCTGACCACTGAGCCTTCCCTGCGACTCGACACCACCACTACTGGAGCAGCTCGCTCTCGGAAACTGGGAGATCCTGTGCATGCACTGCTGTCGAGGAGCGCGCTCTGCTTTTTCTTGGACGAGGACGCGCACTGTTTGCAGCCACAAGAGAAAAAAGGGTTGCAGGCTGAGGCTGCTGGCCACCACATGTAATAATAACGCTTTGGGCTGCGTAGGATTTTGTGTAAACCATTGCTTTTTGCCTTTTTTCATGTACATATGTACAAACTATATGTTCTCTTTAAAACAGTAGCTCGTTTGATAACCAGAAGATATAAACAAAGACCAGTTTGTTGCAACCAGCATTGGACTCTCTACATTTATTGGACTGGTTATTTATAGTGATCTGAAGGCAGCCTGCTCTCGATAACTGCAGCACAACGATGGAGCATGCACGCCAACTTCCAAAATTAGCATGAATATTTGCATAATTTTATATATACGCTGAAAATGATTTCATGATTAAAATGGGTATAGGAATACATAGGAAATATACTGAAAATAGTGCTTTAAAATGACATGATTCACATATGTTAGGTGGTCGCATATGAATAAAATGTCTTACATCAACACATTATATCTTAATTTATCGTGGCAAGAGTTTTTTTTTATGTGCAGTCACTTGACATATTTGAATCCTGTTATTTCGAGGCACCATTTTTCAGGACAGTTCCTATATCCTCCTACACCGTCATAGACAGAGCTCTTGCATGACATAATAGTGGGAATATGAAGCATGTTTTGGAGCTGCAACTGATGTGTCTGCGTTGTCATTACTGGTTAACAATACAAACCTTTCATATACTGATAACAAGTAGCTTCTTTGTGGAATCCATATTACATTAAATTCATGCTAAAAAGCGTAGAATATGTAGTGAATGTGAAAAAGGCATCTATGTTATCTAGCCTCACATTGCAGGAAACATTTGTTTGTAAGCAAGTTTATTATGCAACCTTAAGACATCTTATTTCTTAGCTTTTGCTCTTTGGAATGTATTTTTTTCAGATTTTACCGACCGCTGGATGTGCAACATGTTACTGAAAGACACACAACTGCTTTTAAAGCCCATATTTTTCAAAATGCAATTACCCTGCATGAAGTACCAGTTTAAAAGGTAAGTCACAAGCAGTAAACCAACATATTGTCACTACCCAAACAAAAAACATATATCTCCGAAATGGTAGCTTAACAGGAGCAGGAAAATGTTCATAAATTGTAATGCAAGTTAGTGTAATGAGATTTTATTCTAAAAAATATGTACTTCTATTGGACCACTCATCAGGAAATGTTCACATAATGTTAACGGCAGCTGCTGTGCTGAGAATAAACACTGAAAAAAAATGGAGTTGCATGGTTTTAAAATGACATGTGATATGATGTCTATAGTGTGGTACTTTATAATGTACTTCTCATAATGTGATTTAACACAAAACAACAGATTCATGTGATGTTAAAATATATTTTTAAGAAAATTAAACAGTTGAAAAAATGCAGAACATGCAGCTTTTATATCTTGCCCCTGCGGAGATGAAAACTGAGTCGTAAATGATTATTAATAATACTGTAAACATGATTATGCTAGTCATATGGTACTTTGCCTTTAATAAATAAAGAAATATTGCTTGTAAAAGGGTGACTTGATTATTACGACGACTATTAAAACAAGCAAACAAAAAAATATGGATTGTAGTGGATTTCGGTTGCGTGTTTTTCCACTAGACACCGTTACCAATAACGCACAAGCTGTAATGAACTGCTAATAAACGCGGGCTCAGAGGCGCAGCGGGGTCATTAACGTGGAAAAGCAACGGTCCGAACTGCGCGTGCGCCAACATGCGGCAAAAACCCAGGACCGCAGTGAATGGAGTGCGCATGCGCGCGGCACGCCCACGGCGGGACTTGACAAAGAGCGATTAGCGCGCTGCGGAGCGGAGGAAAATTCTGGAAAACATGATCTGGAAAGGCAAGTTGAACAAGCCATAAACAGCACAGATTACACAGAATACAAACAAAAACCACCACAGGACTTTATGTTGAGGATTATTTGGATCTACAAAAGCCCTTCACGGAAGGAAACAAATAAAGCAGTTATTTCCTTGAACACAGTGGCTTTTGGGACTGGATAACATCCAAATGTTCTCACTGGAAATACAAACTTAGTCTGCTGCCGGTTTTTTGGGTTGTTTTTGGTCTTATCAAGGTAGACAACAACTAGATCAGCAGTTGTATAATTTTGACCTGGATTATGTTGGACAACAGATAAGTCTCGATTTCCCTTAAATGCATCAGCAGACGGAATAACTACATGGATATGACCGAGAAAAACGAATTCGATTATTCCCGTTCCACCTTAAATGGCGCTAGAATGTAACTAACTGCTGCACCAGTTAAGGTGGAACGGGGGAAATTGGAACAAGAAGCTGGCGAGTAACTAGTAAGCCAACTTCAGCTTCGTCTCAGAAAAGTCATTGAGGATAATGGCCAGCTCAGCTCCAGGCTCCACTTAAGAAAACCAAATTTTAATGTAAGATCAGCCTCCATAACTCATTCTAACGTGGACTCGGACAGGGAGCCATGGCTCCTTTTTCCGCACCGATTTTTATGGCTGCGCATCTTCTGTGGTGATGGAGGTGTACAGAAGCAAATGTGGATCATAAAACCCTGCAGATTATTTCAGGTTGTTAGGGCTATTCAGCAATACGGCTCTGTTCAAATGGCTTATTGTCCAAGTAAGTCGAGCACTACAGGCAAACCAGTTGTTGTCTGAAATATGACGCCATTTTGAACATGATCTCACGTACCATTCACGATAAGAGAACAATTAGGTGCAGACAGCAGCCATTTTGTGTTTACAGAAAGATTTGTTGTCCTCTTCACATCCATCTGCTTTGCATTAACTCATTAATAAATGACTCTGTATATAAAAAGATCTGTTCCGCCTATCGTGCTGCATTTTGTTCGTGTCTAAAGTCTGATGAATTGACCACACTACATATTTTGAGCCCACGTCCAATGTTATGTGGATAATTTGCTGTTATAAGAGTGTTTTTCTTGCAGTTCAGTTTTTTGAGAGGGCAGAGTCCCACAGAGCACTGACTGACAGCGCAGTGCAGCTGCACGACTAGGTTATAATCTCAGGCTCTGAGCAGTCACATGTCTGCGAGATGAAAATTAAGGCTAACGTTGACAGAATGGATATTCTCTAAAACGACGTACTCCTTTATTACCTTTAGAAAGACAGTTTTCTGTAGAGAGTAAAATGTATTAATTTTGGATATGGGGCACTGTTGATAAGACCTCACATAATGTACAAAAAAAACAAAAAACAAAACAAAAAAAAAACATATATATATGTACACACACACACACATATATATATATATTTGCATAGAATATTTGTATATCGTCGCTGTCCAATGAAAAACAAGTATCTCCAAAATATTAACTTTACAGGAGAATGCAAAAACACTCATACCTTTCAACGTAAGTCAATGTAAAGAGATTTTGTTCCAGGTGATTTTAAAGCATTTCTATTTGTCCAAATTTTTACACAATGTAAAAGACAGCTGGTGTGTTGGAATGATGTAGAAAACTAAAAATCAACAAAAATGGAGATACATGGTTTCCTTTGGACAACGACGATATTTGAATGTAGTTTTTAGCTACTGGGACTATTTTATCCATTGTATTAAAAAAAGCATTTAAACTTGAGCAGGCGAAAAGTGGATGAGTATTTGTCAGGAGACAGGCATAATGGCATTGTGCCTTGTAAATTTGTTCTTGAGAAAATTTGTTCTTTGTGCTCTTTAATGTGCATAGATTCTGTTATTACCTTAGAACAAATCTCAAAAAAAGAAAACCCTGGTGAATGTCACAGACTTTGTTAAAACCGTGTAAGTGAGTTTTAAGGTGAAATTACTTCTTATGTACAGTTGGTGAATGAAGCCCCTTTGTCGCTGTCGGGACAAAACCTTGTATCTCCATTTTTGTTGTTTATTATTTATTTATTTATTTTACGTTATTCGAAAACACCACTTGGACTTAACATTATTTAAAAAGTTCATCATGAAATGAGCAACAGAAATGGTCCAAACAGCATTTTTACTTAAACTTACATTTAGAAGGCTTTTTTCTTTTCTCCTGTAAAGTTGTTATTTTGGAGATGCGTGCTTCTGTTCCGACAACTATGATATGTAGTCAACTTTTTACAAGTAATAGACAAGTTACTTTTACTGTTGCTATTTACTTTCAACAGTTTTTGATTGTAGGCATGAACACTGGGCATTTTAGAAGTTTCCTTTTTCCCTGAACAACAGTCTCTTTTGGAGTCTGAACACTTTTCTTGTCTTCTCTTTATAAGTCCGTTTCACATAGTAATCGGTGAGCCTTTGAGGCTCAGTTCAGTTTCTTTTGTCTTCTCTGGTTTTCAGTTTTCATCACAGAACGTCTGGAAACATCTGCAACGTCCTGCATGGATACATGTTGGATACATGAAATATTTTATAGCTTTAAGCACAAAAAGAAAAGTATAACTAAAATACTGAAAAAAAACTATACTGGGGAGTCCTTGTTACCGGGAATCGGCATGATGATTACAACGTATAGAGACAATCCCACTCACCTTAAATGCGCTGTCCAGTAGGTCCTGAGCTGGTAACAGACAGGCAGCTTCACCGATGAAGCACACTAGGATGTGTAGCACATCTGCCCACCTTCCTACAGTAAGCATTAGAACTAGTAGGCCCCCTAGCCGCACTATCACCGTGTTCAGAAGGGCCTGACCACCCGGCTGCCGATGCTGTTCATCTGAAATAATAAAAGAATTTTAGTTATATAACTACATGTGTTATAGCTGAGAGATACATAAACTTTTGTATTTCTTTTCCAGCTACCAAAATAGGAATTTGATGCTTGAGTAATCAGTCCTACTCCAGCCAATACTTAGTCTTACCATTCATATAGATAATCAGAAGAGTGTAGCAGATTGTAAGAGGTGTCCAGAACCTCAAGGCCTCAGTAGTTGACAGAAAGTGTTGGTTGATGCTTGATACAGCAGCAATGCCAGCCACACTAAAGGTCAGGATTAAGGCACTACAAAGGAAGGGTAAGATGGAGGTGCCAGTGGTCAGGAGCCCAATACAGACACCGCAGTAGCGCTGGGTGCTATGTATTGGGTACATCGCCTTTACATGATGCCATAATCTAGAACACTGGCTAGCCAAAAACCAGCTCAGTCCTGCAGCAAGGAGGAGACTTAGCCAGGCTTGTGGTGCCCCCTCATGGAGAAACTGAAGACTACAGTTGAATGCACACCCTAAAGAGAACTGGCACTGGACTAGCAACTGTAGTAAAGAATCACCCAGTGTGTCCTAGAAAAAAAGAGAAAAAATATTTTTTTTCTAGAGGATAATATGTGCTGACAGCTGATTTCAGCAGATCATTAGATAATCAAATTATTATTTAGCATGTATCTTACTGATGAAGCTGTGAGTCGTGATGAGACTGCACGAAGGCAGAACTCAAGAACCACTAGTGATGCAACTCGAGAACCCACAAAGCCAAGAATCACTGTCAGGATCCAGAACTGTATTCTTTGTATTAGACCACCATGACTACTCTTATTTTTAACGTCATCTTTGCTGTCAGCAATACTGCAAAACAAAAAGAGTGTTATGAAGACATGAATATGACAATTACTGGTAACAGTTGCTGCCATCAACAAATTCAGCATATGGTTTTTAGGCTATAGCTTGTATTTTGATTTGTTTAGTCATAGAACACCAAAGATTCTTACCTCTGTGCTTCAACGAACAAGTAAACCCTTAAAAGATTACAAAGAACTGAGATCCCACATGCACCCACGAGTCCTGTCATAATGCCATCAGAAACATAAGTCAGTAACAAATGCTTTTAGAATAAAACCATGCAAACAAACATTAAGTGTTTTCCAGAGATGTTTGAAAACATGTTTGAAAGCCTAGCTTAACATTTTCTTGACCACTTAAACCCAAAGCACCTGTTAGCAGGTCCAAAATTCCATTCTTCTCTTGTAACTACAAGCCTCAACTACATATTTGTTTCAAAGTAGTTGCTGGGTAATAAAGATTATTAAATGAATAATATGCCAAGAGCATTATGGCATAAATACAGTGTAGACAATGTATCAAGAATCATTCAAACGTTAAAGATTAGCCAAAATAAACCATCAAAAAGAAAATGGCATTACCCAACTTATCTTATTTAGAAAGATGGGATCAATGTAAATGTAAGTAAGGTACACCATTAAAGAAATATGTGTTTTTCATCAAGAAAAATATATTTGTGTTGGTATGTTGGTAGCATTAATAGTTTAACTGAGTCTTCTAAGAGTGATTTCCAGCCGGAGGGCTGCAGGCCCCAGTGCTGCTACCGCTGTGTGCTGTTTGCTCAGAGGTATTTTCAAATGAAGCTTTGAAATACAACAATTTACACCGTCACCCGGAGACTAAACATAGCGAATATGTATATAAACCTGTCAAATTGAGCCAGAACTCTGTCTGAACGTTTCTTCTCCTCAGCCTGGCATCCAGCACTCAGTAGCTGCCAAACAGGCAGCTCTTATTAGGTGAGTCAGAAAGAAGTTACATGATCGGTTAAATCTTGTGGGCTGTAGTAAATTTTGTGGTTGTTTGTGTGGGCCACAAGTTGCAAAAGGTTGGGAACCCCTGTTCTAAAACTCATTGTTGATTTTCTGCTTCACTGGGGCACAAATATGATTCAACACGCTGATCTCCTTTGTTCATCTAGGTAGCTTTAGATATAGGTTTTCTCCAAGTCTCCAGAAAGGTACAAGGTGCCTCTAATTGTCATCACACCACAAAGCTAAGCACTTGACATGATTAAAACTAAGTTCTGTACTGAAATGAGACCAAAATAGACAGCCCCATAACTCTTTTCCACAGAGAAATGTAATAAATTTGCTTTTTTTCATTAAACAAAAGCCAAAACTACTAGATTGACCAGCACGACAAAATCAAATAACGAAACTATGCCGTCTCTATGACTACCTAGAAATATCCTGATGATTGTCACAATTTAATACAATTGACCAAAAAACTCTAAAGGAAACATTTTGACACCTTAAATGATGTCAATGTTGTAGCAGTTGATTTGCAGCAAACAGTTAATGGCTCACTTCTATCAGGCATTTTCCCCAAATCACTAAGAATAGCTGTCATTAAGCCACTCTTAAAAAAGAGAAGTCTGGATGCTTCTGTGTTACACAATCACAGACCTGTCTCAAATCTTTCTTTTATAGCCAGGATGATTCTGAAAGTTCTTCTCAACCAACTCAGCAATTTTATTTAATTAAATGGTAATTTTGACCAATTTTAATCATGTGTCCAACCTCATCACAGTATTGAAACTGCTCTTATAACAGTGTTTAATGATACATAGCTGAATGCTGACACTGGTAAAATATCAGCTTTGGTATTACTAGATCTTAGCCCCTGTTCACACTTGGTAATACCATCCATCTTGAGTGATCTGATCATAAGTGGACAGCGAGACGTATAGTCATTTACGCCTGGCATTTCCAAGTGTCCTGAATGCGTCTCCAGTGACATGCGAGCAGTTTCTGTGTTTCTATGTGAGCTCTTTGTTCGTATAAAGGTAAGGGCTGTTGCAATGATTTGGACCTGTAGTATACCTTTGACACTGTAGGTGTCAAATGTCTGGACAGGTTGGAAAATTGGGTAGGACTTTCTGGAACAGTTCCTAATTAGTTCAGGTCTTGGAAGGCCAGAGTTACTTTGTCACGATTGGCAGCTAAGAATCTGATAGGGTGGCTATGCCATGCGGAATCCCCCGGGGATCAGTTCTCAGACCCCTTTTTGTTCAGTTGTTATATGCTCCCTTCTGGCCAATTCCTACAGAACAACAACATTGATCACCATAGTTTTTTAGATGATACACAGATATACTTGACTCTGTCTGATGATTACAGTCAAATAGACTCTGTTTTAAGGCATTTAAATCAAAAATAACTGTAATTTTTCTTTATTAATTATGTACAAAACAGAGATTACTCTGTTTGGCAACAAAGAAAAGAGACATAACCTTAGTGCACACCTCGATTCCCGGCCTCTAAAAACCTAAGATTAAGACTGAAATCTTGGTGTTCTAATAGACTCAAACCTACCCTTTACTAGCTAAATCAAATCAATCATCAAAACAGCCTTCTGTCATCTTAAAATATAGCCAGAATCATGCGTTTATCTCCAGCAGAGTGTACTACTGTAATGATCTCTTAACTGGCCTTTCCAAAAAGACATTTAAACAGATACAGCTCATTCAGAATGTTGCTGCAAGAGTTTTAACCAGGACCAAGAGAACAGAGGATATTAATCCAGTTCTAAAATTTTTAAACTGGCTTCCAGTTAGGTACAGAAAATATCTTAAAGTGCTGCTATTAGTTTGTAAATCACTGAATGGTTTTGGTCCAGAATACATCTCTGATATTTAAAGAATTTTAACTGAGTAGGTCTCCAAGATCTATGGATTCAGGTTTGAAACTAATCATGCTGAAGCAGCATTTAGCTGTTATGCTGCATACAACTGGAACCAACTATCAGAAGATCTTAGATGTGCCCCAAATGTAGTGCTTTTTAAATCTACATTAAAAATCATCTCTTTTGATGTGCCTATTATTGAACTCTAGGATTTGCACTTTATTTATTACAGTACTACCTTTCATGTTCTTTGCATAGAATGTGTTGTAGATGGTTCTATGTAGAACCTTTTTGTAAAGGGTAAAATTTGAACTATAAAAGAACTATATTGAGAGCTATATAGAACCCTTTTCCAAAAAGGTTCTGTATGGAACAATCTACAGCACATTCTCCATCAATCTGAAGAACCATTACATGATGCAAAGAACACTTTAATCATGCAAAGAGTTCTTTGAGTGTTCATATGTTCTATATAGAACCATTTTCTTTACTAAAGAACCCTTGAAAGACCATCTTTTTGAAGACTGAACAGCTGCTTTTCATCCAGTAAAAGTTAACTCTGTGATCTTTCTCATTCAGGGTGCTGGATTGAGTATAACTGTTGTCCTCTTTTTCATCAACTCTCCTGGAGATTAGATGCTAGCACTGCTATCTCCTGGATTGATTTATACAATATGGGTGGTGATCTTCATCACTTAGAGTTTTAGAAAAGACTAATACTCCCTATTTTACTTTTTATTTCTATTGTTTTTTTTCTCTCTTACTCAGCACTTTGTTTTTACTTTTATATTTGATGTTCTTTTTTCTTATATTTGTGTAAAGCACACTGAACTGCCTTAGTATATGAAATGTGCTATATAAATGAACCTGCATCTCCTTGGTTTGCCTGGAACACCTAAACTGATTGAGATGTTTTTTTGGACTGATGAGTTTAAATTTGTAATTGGGATTATTTGGATAGTGAAAAGCAGAAAATGCAACCAGCTTCTAAGACTGAACTTTGGAGATGTGGAAAAACACCCCAGCAGATTTCTTTGAAAAACTGATAAGAATTAAAGCTGTAATAAAGACAAAGAATGAACACACTAAATACTGAAAAATGTGATATTATATTTAGATGTTGACATTACAGTGTAATTCACTGTTAAGTTTTCAACATTTTGTGACACTGAAAAATCATTAACTTGTATGTAATGGCTGTTTGGACTGGAAAGAAATAAAAGGTGGTCTCTGACTTTTGCACAGTACTGTACAAGTTTCACATTGTCTCTGGAATCGGCTAACCTAAGCCATTTGACATGACATTTATAACAAATTGTTTAACAAATTACTAACTTACATCTACTGGAAATTTGATTGAATATAAATGAGTTCTTGGTTATAATAAATAAAAAGTAATTTATTCTGTTTTAGTGTTTCTGTAAAAGTCTTTTACAACATTTTCAGAAATGTAAATAAAGCAATCAAGAAAGTGAACTTAATTCTCTAAATGTAATTTGCATTTCCTAAACCTTGAATTACACAGTTTAAGAAATAGTGATTGTTAATATTTATTGAGTGCAAGATAATTCAAGACCCCTCACCTTGTAAAATACAGTCTAGAGGATTTGTTTCAAGTGTAAGCCAAGTAGGTAAACTTGGTACAAACCAGGAAAAGAAGGAAAACATCTCACCGTACCCTGACTGTACAAAAAGATTAAAATATGTCCAACTTTGCAGTGTAGTTAGAGAACCTGTGTATTACATTTACCAGTAGTTTGTATGCAAGCAGTAGGTTTGGAGTCTCAAAGGTCATTTCTCTGTTCACCCTAGCTTACGTAATTGTCAAGCCTTCCAATAAGATGAGAAGTGATTCATCATAGTCATAGTAGGCAGCAGTTGCTAAAGCATTTGTGAATGATTAACTGCATGAAGTAATGGGTGAAACTTGCTTCTTCTGATTCTTCACTTACTGGTTTTCCGGCATGTGTGGTCCATCCTCATTCACTTCACTCATGAACAACAGTGGAGTAAAAGAAAAACCCCTAACTGTGAGAACATAATATGTTGATGGTATTGCTTGGAAATAAAATAATAATCAGGGCCTTTTTTCAAGAAAAAAGCTTTATTTAAAAATATCCAAATGAAAGATTTGTAATCACTGTTTTTCAATAAAATAAAACCAATTTGATTACAAATGTTTACGTTGATTCTAATGTGTTAGTCCAGTGCAACCTCACAGGTTTCAGTAGAACATTGTTTAGCTTTATATAAAAACTAAGAAATATTACATGTCCAGAATCATGAATCGAGCTGTAGAAGAGCCTAAAATGGATGAGAAAGCTGTAAAACATTGAGACATAAAAGGAGCTTGAACTGGAGTGGGCCAGTCCCAGATGGGGAAGTCCATGCGTTGTCTTTCCAGAGGGGAGACCCCATGACACCTTTGCTGACTTTTTGTTCATAGGATCCTTGAAATATTAAAAAAAAAAAATCTAAAAATGTTTTGGTGAATGGTTTTTAATATCTAAATCCATTGTATAAGTTAATGATATATACAAAATAACAAAAAATGTTTAATATGGCAAGTGATTCCAAACCTGTGAACTGTAAAGTATAATTCTTTATTCAGCAAATCCAACATTCAGACTCACAATAAGGTAGGAGATACCACTTTAGATCAGGTATTTTCCAAGATTCAAGCTGAATACCAATAATGAAACCTCAGATATTTGAAACCAAGCATTTGCTAACTGCAATTCCAGTTCAGTTGCTTTTAGACTGCTTAAACCATTGTTTTGATTATAAAAAGACAGAGAGGCCCTGCTGCCAACCCAATAAACTGTCCATAAAGTAGGGTTGTGTACTGACAAGAACCTGGCAATACAATATGTATCACAACACAGGGGTCGCGATTCACTATACTGCAGTATACTGTGCTACTGTAAGAAAGGTGAAAACTGCTAAATATTAAAAAACACCACCATGTGCATAAATCTGAGTAAAGGAAAAAATTTACTTTTTATGCAATCAGAACAGTTGTATCTGCATTTGCATGTATCATGGTCCCTGTAACATCTAACATCATAGCACTATTTTTTGTGCAATCTGAACAAAGGAATTAATATTTGCCTGTATCAGTAAATAATAAAATAAAAGGTTATTTGTACCTTTTTGTACAACTTGGGCGCAGCGTTGTCAGTAATACGTTGTTGAGAGGGTATGGTGTAACGAGGCTCCACTGTATTAACCATATTACGAAGGCCTTGTTCTGATGCATGTCCTACCACAGATCATAAATATAGGTAGCTCCCTACATAAAACCATAGGCAGGACATTTTGATGGCCCAAGTCACAACCCTATTCGCCAGCCTCTTGTTTGAATTTTCCTGTTCTAGCTTAAATGGTGCAGCAGTTATTATTACAATGGCCACTGCACACAGGACGTGCCGCGTCGCACAGCGTACAAAAAATTTGAAACAATTTTAACGGAGGTGCGCACACTGAACACTGTTCAATTTCTCAGCACTTCACATCACAGCACTATGCAGCATTTAGCCATTACTACATTAAGTTAAAGTCCTATTGAGACAGCAGAAATCCACAGTAGATCATGTGGCTTGAAATTTACACAGAGAAAGGCAGCCAGTCTTTTAGGTAAACAGACAAATGATCATAAGTTACTACAGTTAACGTTACTGCCTGAGCCTTTTTCAGCTCGTATCTTTCAGCTCAAAAACAGCCAGTCTGTAGAAAGAAAGTCATGCATGCCAAGTGTGATGAGTTATGTTTCATTCAGTTTATGCAAGTAGAGTGTAAAAATGAACCTGAATTTCTTTTAACAGCTAAGCTAGCATAATGTAGGCTAACGTCACTGGTTATTGCATAAGTTAGTGGATGGACGCGTTTTTGGGTTCTCCCTGCCAGCATTCTATAGCAGCACTCCGCTACGCAACGCGGCGTCTGGTGTGCAAGAATGTAACTACTGCACCATTTAAGGTGGGACAGGTAAATTCAAACAAGAAGCCGGTAAATAAGAAGCTGACTTCAGCCTTGTCTAAATCTCTTTATCAGAAAATGTCACCAGCATTAAAAGAATAAGTAGGATCTTTTGAGAACCTAAATCACTTTATCAGAGGGTAAGCAGTGATATTAAACTGAACAATACAATAGACTTGAAGTAAGGCTGAATTAACGTAAAAACACAAGTTACTACGCTATAGTATTGATATGGGCATGCTAGCTTGATAGGTAGGACAAACTGTTAGAATACTGGTCTTTCGGATTCAGCCATCGATGATAGCGTTACTAGTCAGCTAATGCCAACATTAGCAGTGCGCCCTTACTGTACTTGTTTACGCTGGAGAGGAAGAATGTGATGGCTGAAGATAGATTACAACACTGCCAACTAGTGGTTTGGTGTTTAAACCACTAATTAAAAATCAATACTGTGTTTTTAAGAATCAATACAGTATCACAAAACATTATATTGCGATACTCAAGTGTATCAATATTTTCTTACACCCTACCATAGAGTCCTACAGTGAGCTTGTGAGTTTTTTTTCACATAAAGAAAATCGAAAAGGAATAGGAGTATCAGCCATTGTTTTGTGGTAGTGCTCTTCAAACACAGCGTTTTCTTGTGGACTGAAGTGATTTCGCCAGTCACCAACCTCGCCTGTGAATAAACATGAAAATATACATATCTAAGATAACCAGGAAATCTCTCATTCATATCTCACAGAAACAAAAACCCACCTTTTCTCATGAATTCTGAAGCTTTACGATCAAATATGCTATCAGGCACTGTTGAGTAATTGGCCATAGGGTTCTTTTGCATTGCAGCAAATGTGGTCATTTTCACAATATCACCAACCATACTCTTTGATAAGTAGTGTCCTAGGAACTCAGCAATGCGGACCACCTCCCGAGCAGGGTTCTGGTGTCATAAACAAACAGTTCAGTCACATACACAACTTTAACTTTTTTGACTATTGAATTGTAATGGATTTCATAAAAAATGGACACACTGTCCTGAAGTGCAGCGTTCAAAAGGCTATTTGACACCTACATAACACCTACACAGGTCATGTATGACAACTGGCATAAACGTACAAGTGTTACCAAAAAAAAAAACAAAAAACAATGCAGATATGACGCATAGAAAATACATAAAGCAGAAGCTGTTTTTGAGGATAAAGGTTTAACATCATACCTCTTTCATATCTTCATAAAAGAGGTAGAGAATGTTCTTGTTTTGCTTTTCTCTCCAGTATCCTTTGACATGATCATACCAGGAGCCCCAGCCTACTGCAAAATCAATATGTTGACTTTATTAAGCTAAACTGTGTTTTTGAGAGAAGGGCAAATAACATTAGTTCTTAATTAAAGGGTCCATATCACAGAAAACCAAATTTTCCTTACATTTTGGAAATCTGAAGTTTGGTGTAGTACACTCTTTAAAGAGTTTCTTTAGAAAAGACAATGGTTCTACATAAACCATGAACATTCAAAGAACTATTTGCATGCTTAAAGCGTTCTTTGATTGGTTTTTTGATTGTTCATGGTTCTATTAAAAAAACACTTTTTTTTTAATAGAACCCTTAAGGAACCATCTTTTTTGGACTGTACGTAAACAAAGTTTCAATACGTACCATTCACTCCCCATCTCATATAATCCACATGCAGAGTTTGTGATGTTAGCGCTGCCCAATCACGCTGACATTATAAAGGAGTGTTTCAGCCCAGATGGCAAAGTTCAGAAAAAATACAATACAATTCAAGATAAATGTAGGATATAGGCCCTTGAATTAAGCTACACAAGACATTATTACTTATTACTACACACTTTAAAAAAATGGATCTTCAAGGGTTCTTTAGAGGTTCTTTTCTGTATAGAACCTTTTTCTTTCCTAAAGAACCCTTGAAGAGCCATCTTTTTTAAGAGTATACTTAATTAAGTAGACATAATTACTTAATAATACTTACGTTGTCCTTTCATGAACTTTTCTAGATACTCCGGCCACGGTCCTGGCTCTGGCTGGGTAAGGTTCATGCGATCAAAATGAAAGTATGACACCACAGTGTCTTTAGGATTGCGAGCCACATATATCACCTGTTAAACACATTGATCTGCATTAGATTTTAAGCATTCAGCGTTGTCACAAAGGTAAAACGAATCTCTATTGCTCTAACCTTGCACCCCGCCTCCCAGAATGACTGAGGTACAAGCTGGATGGGTAGATGAGTTTTGATAACCCTAGGAGGATCCATCTTCTCTAGTTTACTCATGCCTGAGGTATCAAACAATGCACACATTGTTGCAAGATGTCATTTAACTTTCAGTAGGCCATTTCAACTGCTGAACTATCTTGCTGAGCTCTAACCAGAGATGGAGGGATCCGAAGAGGTCATCTCAAAGAAGGGCATGCGGACGTGGGTGGGAGCTCGCCTGCATTTCTCTTCATTACCTTCATTTAGAATCAGATCCACTACTTCCTGTGTCCACGTAGTGCCTTAGGAAGAAAAACACTCACAAAATGACCCACAGTAAATACTACAGTAGACTATCTATTCTAAACTACTAGTTCCATTGGGTTGTATATATAATGCTCCTGTTCTCAAGTCACTGCACTGTTTGACTATTAATTTTAGAACTGATTTTATAAACATTTATTGTTTTTTAAAACTATTTGTGGACTAGCCTCAAAGTATGTTGGATATGCATAAAATGTAATTTTTGAATTATTATTCATTTTTAAGTACATGGCTATTCACATATATTAAATATAACACACACACACACACACACACACATATATATTAACAATTAAAGAACCCTTTTGGTGCTGTTTAGAACCACTTTCAAAAAGGTTCTATATGCATGAGAGACGACTCAAGATTTTTAATGAACAAAATTTAAACCCAGAAAAAAATTGTCTCACCTGCTTTAGGGTATGTGGCAACAAGCAAATCATCCTTAAACGCTTGAAATCTCTCAACTCTGCCGAAGTGTCTGGCTATGGGCTCCGGTAAGGGAATCCCTCTCACGTCAACCACAGGGTAGCGCGAACTGACTGTCCTTTCCATCTGCGAGTGAATGAAAAACAGTCTAATTCCCACAACTGTCCTAAACAGTCAACGAGCTCCAGGAGGTGGTCGTAAGAGAACAATACTGCAGGTGAAAGGCAGTTTCTTTTAACAGCTAAACTAGCATAATGTAGGCTAACATCACTGGTTATAGCTTAAGTTAGTGGATGGACTCGTATTTTTAACTAACGTTAACTGTACACGGTTAAAACAGGCCAATAATGAAATATCAGTGCGGCTTTTCTTATCAACGAGTTAAATTATTTTAATAACAAAGTATTTTACTCGGTATCTTGTTCGGAAAGCGTTTCCCAACAGCACCCGGTAAACGTTTGCTGCTGCAGTCGCGTTAGATAACATTACAGCTCCGCCTCCACTTTGGGGTTACAAGTATTTCAAGTATTTTACACATCATGACACTTTCAGCCCAGAGTTAGGAAATAACTAATTATTCACGTCATCTCCTGTAGTACAGCCTTGATTTTTGACTCAGCCTAAAACCCTGCTGGTCACGAACTCGTCCCCGCGAGTTTAATATACCAGCACACTGAAGGTTCAGCCCGAGAGAAAACCCTCTCTGACCGGCGGCGGTTTGTAGATCTTCCCCTTTTCTGCAGGGGTTCAGTCCCGAAGTGGCATCTGGCAGCAGGAAGTGGCAACTCCGCCGTCCGGAAATGGCACGCGCTGGCATGTGCCACTTAGCGAATGGCACCTGCCACCGATAACTGGTAACGAGTGGCACATGCCGCTCGTGCCACTCGGTTAATGGCACTCGCCAGTGGCACCTGCCACACAGAAACGGCGTGTGCCTCTCAAAACAGGCACGTACCAACAGCTCCTAGCGGCACATCATAGCTCCACAGGCACAGGCCAGTGCCTTTCGCCTCAGTAAATGGCTAGTGCCACTCCTGAAAAAATAATAAAGAACACAAGCCTGCGTTCCTCTTGTCCTGTTTAATAAATACGCCGATAAATAGTCTATACATACTTTAGATATAGCATGAATAACACCACAATGAATTCAGTAATTAGTTCGAGTACATCTGTAACACGAGCTGCTTTCTTCAGCTCTCCGTGCCACAACAAAAGCCCAAAATGACAGACTATCTGCACAGAGTCTTTAGGTCAACATTCCTCCATGACTTTTCCCAGGTTCTGATGGCCGATGGTGGAGCTATGATGTGCCGCTAGTTAGCCGAGCCGAGTAGCCGCTGCCCAGAGTCTTTGCTTTACTCATAGGACCTGTTGGTATGTGCCTGTTTTGAGAGGCACACGCCGTTTCTGTGTGGCATGTGCCACTCGCTAAGTGGCACATGCCAGTACGTGCCATTTCCGGACGGCGGAGTTGCCACTTTCTGCTGCCAGATGCCACTTCGGGACTGAACCCCCTCTCTCCCCTTATACAGGGCACTGTTAGGTAGGGCTGGGAATCGATCCCAAAAAATCGATTCCTCGATTTCAGATGTTCAGGCCTCGATTCCACACAGTGACATCAAGTTTGTCAGCACCAGCGCCATGTAGAGAAATGTCACATGGTTTTACTTCATACTGTTTTTGTATAAAGGTAATTTATTAATTAATAAAGGAGGAAAAAATATTTTAAAAAGAGAGAGAGAGAGAGAGAGAGAGAGAGAGAGAGAGATGTCACATGGCTCTGGCCAGCACCAGCACACACACGGAGGGTGAGATATAGCCCCTTTAATTTTATTTGTTAATGAAGCCAAACAAAACTTGAAAACAATTACTGGTTCCAACAATAAGAAAGTTGTCAAAACACTGAAATTATGTGGATCTTTACTTATTTTTGCGTAAAATTATGAGTGTTTTTGAATTCCCTGATTGTAGGTTGTACGTTCAGTCCAGCTGTATTGAACTTTAGACAAATGTTTAAAATAGTTAAAACCCACAATGTTACTTTTGAAAACTTTACCAATGTCTACATACTAAATCACACACACACCACACACACAAACACACATCTTCTAAGCTGCTTATCCTTCTGGGTCATACTAAATTAAACTCTTCCAAAAAACAAAAAAAGTCAAGAAAAAAATCGTTTTTCCATGATATGGACCATTCAATGCGCAAGAAGACTAAAAGTTTCAGTATCGGTACTCAGCCTTAAATCACTCGGTATCGGCGCTCAGAGAAGATGAGCGGTATCGACACTCAGGCGCTCCGGGACGGTAGGTGCCGATAAAGCGCAGGCTGCCGATCAGCACATGTAGCAGAGAAGGTTCCGCCGTCTCGTAGTAGAAGAAAATATGCCTCGGTGCATGCAGGCAGCGGAGGAAACCCCGCCGAGCTAAAGCTAGCAAAGTAGGAACATGGAAGATGAGGAGGTCGCCGAAAGCTGGGAAGAAGCTGCCGACAGTGGGGTAAGTATGCGATGTTTCTATCCGCGGAGTCCGGTCGGACTCGTTCCGTCGAAAAGTCGCTCTGTTCGGCTGTGAATGGACGCGGTTAGCGGGCTGCTGGCAGCGGGTTACGAAGGAGCTGTAGGCCGCAGTGGAAATGGATCCGGAGATGAGTGTCTGAGGGAGCATTTACTGTTTTAAAGCGGTTCCAGAAAGGCCAAAGAGGCCATGAACATTGTTATACATTCGCTAGAAGTAGCATTTCGATATTATTACTATTATTATTTTTATTCAGCAGCGTTTAGTGTCAACTAGCGACATTTCTGTAACCCTGCTACAAGAGCTAACCTAGCTAGTTAGCTAGCTAAGTTAGGTAGCTAGAAGCTATCCGGGTAACTTTTTAGTTATTAAAAAAGTTGGCTTGTTTGGTGGCTAAGTTATAGCTAGCGTGGAAGAAAGCACAGATCTGATCAAGGGTGTTGAATATTATAGTGGTCAGCTGGTGGTGTAACGGTGGGCTACATTTTGCGTCGTAGAAATATCTTGAATTTGATTTCAACTTACTTGCCAGCTCCCCAAAAACTGCTGAGTGGCAGAGTGAGGCCAGTGTGGCCATGATTTCTGCCAGCTAACTTGGTTAGCTCAGCAAACGTTTATTCGTTTAGCCCGCGGAACAGAATAATTTAAGTTTTGTCACTGGATGCTGGGCAGATACTTGTTTTAGCCTTTATTCGGGTTTTGTGGGTCAGCAGCAATGTGAAGTTTATTAATGTTAGCCGTTAAACTCCAAGTATTGTTTTGCTAGTGCAGTCAGCTCAAACCCAGACCTGCTTATGAAAGTCTGATGTGTAATTTAATAGCTAGATACGGTTTAGTTTAAAATAAAACATGGCAATAATAAGGAAGATGGCCGCTGTGCTCTCTTAATATTGTGTTAGTCACTGTAGTCTTGTTTGTTTCGTTCAGGTGAAATGAAAAGACAGATTTGAAACTGAAACCGAGACACAACACTGTCTGTGATGGTGACTATATGGGCGGTGACTCCTTGTCAGTGCAGCAATCAGTCTATATCCTGATATAGGCATAGCTTTGAGAATAACACCATATAAGCTCCATACCTGGTTATTCTCAAAGATATACCTAAATCTGGACACAGACTGACTGCTGAGAGTGGGTAACTTCCCACAAATTCACTATTATAACCTTAGATAACATATGCCCATCAGGTTAAGTCTTGGTTTGTTTTTTTTCTTCTCACAATGGAAATTTTCAGAGTATATTGTATGCCTGCCAGTGTTATGAAGTCGGGGTTTAGTGCCTCCAGTTCAGCAGCTAAACCTCTGAACTGAAATTCATCCCTGCTATGAATTTAGCTGCTGCACTGAGGATGTATAAATAACTCTGTGAAACTGAGACACTTGGCAGTGGTGCACTGAGGCTCCTTCTGCAAGCATATGCTGCTCTTTATGTTTTGAAAGACTACTCTGATGCTTGTTTTAGAGAAGATGTCCTTGTAACTTTGCATTCCTATTTCAGGAAATGGAGAGAAGATTAGAGGAGAAGCTGCGGATTAGCCAGAAAGAGAGGTACGGTGAATATCGGAGATGCTCAGTCCTAATTTTGAGGGGGGGGGTTCCGTTTTTACTCTAAGCAACCCTTCTTTTCCCTCTAGACTTTCAGGTGGGAGTTCAGGTCGCTCTCCAATGAAGACGGCTATCATGATCCAGGACGACTCCCTTCCAGCCGCACCCCCTCCACAGATCCGCATTTTGAAACGACCCACCAGCAATGGAACCTTAGGATCTTCTGTAACGCGGAGCCGACCCTCACCACAAGTGAAGTCCTTAGCTCAGAGGGAGGCAGAATACGCTGAAGCCAGGAAACGAATCCTTGGCAGTGCTGATGACACACCTCAGGAGAGACCCAGTTCAGACAGGTAGTTCAAAATTGCGTCCCCCTCCTTCCCTTTCTTTGTTCTGTTCCGCCATGCAGATCTGTGGTGGGGGCCTGAGTGATTGTGTGACCCAGATGAGTGCTTATCACAAGAGGAGGTGCTTTGTATTTGCTGAAATCAAACTTGACTACTTTTACTTTGTTAGTTAATGTTTTTTGTTATAACAGGAATGGTTCATTATACCCTTTAAAAGAAAAATTTCTTATCTTTGATTGAAGTGTAGTGACACATTTCCCTTCTCTGAAACATTTTGTTACCTTGCACCTGTAGGGAAGGAACAATAATATTAAGAAGTAAGATGGGGGTGAAACATCTGTTATTTATTTATTTATATATATATATATATATATATATATATATATATATATATATATATATATATATATCTCAAAATGCTCTGCTAGTTTGGAGGCCCTCCCTGATATCAAGTTTCCTGTGGAAATAAGTAACGGAAGGAAAATGTCATGATTTCTGATTCATGTTGACTTTCAGCATTTGGAAGTTATTTTGGCTAACAGAGCTGCAGTACATTCAGGGGAAAAGTTATAATTAAACATATGATTCTCATGCTTATACAATCTCTCTTCATAATTAGATCACCACGTTCAGAAGACACAAGATCAAACAACCATGTGGTTCGGCAGCCAGCAGGTCCAGATGGTACGCAAGGCTTTCGCCAGCGCAGATAGGAATAAAGGTCTAGGAGGAGAGGAGCTGTTGGTCTCCTAGCGTAATGTTAAAAATTGTTATTTTTTAATCAATATTTAGGATATGGGATGTTTATGAAATAAGAAGAAAATCCCTTCACACCCATCATGGCTCTTGAGTCAGCATGGAATGTAAAAGGGGAGGAAATAACATGGAAGAGCGAATGGGGGGGAAATCTTTATTTTTTTAACCCCCATTTTACACTGTGATGAGGACTTCTTCTGGACAATGCTCACTGTGATCCCCTCCTTTCCCACCCAACAAACTGCAAATCGGCCCCCAACCATAACACCTAACTCAACTGTGACTGGCGACCCGTCTGCCAACGGACAGCTTTTGGCCATTAAGTGACTTGGAGATCAGCTGGTTGGAACAAAAAGTGTAGTGAGATGAATAAGGTTGTCATGGAAATAATGTAAGAGAATGGCACAAGGGCACCAGCTCTCAGCAATAATGTTTGGCATATTGCTCTTTATGATCTTTGTCATCCCTTTCCATGCTGTTCTTCCCAAGCTTTTGTATTAGTCATTTTGGTCTCTCTTTTTTTTGTTTTTATTTCAGCTATTTATGGCCTAGTCTGCTGAATGCCATAAATTTTTAATTGGGAAGGGAACGGTAAGGGGTTCTGTAGAAACTTGAGATGAGTCAAGTTTTGTTGTTTACGTTTGTTATTTTTATTTTTATTTTTAAACTGCTGGGTCTTCCGCTGAGTGTCCTGATTTCTACATAAAGGAAAAAAGAGAAAAAAAATTAAAACAAATTAGTAGAGGAAAAAAAATCACATTTAAGCATTTTTCTGCCTTTTTATGGTTTGAGAAGGTAGTGATTTTTTTTAGCAACCTGTCACTTTCAAAATTAACTAATGAGATGAAAATAACCTCTGTAAATGTATGCGGTGCTGGAAAGAACCAAAGGGAGATGTGCAGGGGGAAATGAATACTGCTGGCTCCTCTTGCTTCCCTATCTTTTTGTATCTACTGTCAATTTCTTTACTGATGTAGGAACTCAGGTTGTTAAAACTGCAAGAGACTGAATTAAATATCAGTTTAATTTTTAGTGCTGGTGCAATAGCAAGCCTTCATTACATGTAGATTAAGACCATCTGCAGGAAGAGCACCTCTAAAACGATTACTGCATATCCTAGAGATGAATTATTATTTTTTTTTAACTGAAGTTATTGTACTGCATCAATGGTTCATCTACATCAGCTGAAGGGTTAACTCAGTCTCTGGCTCTTGCAATACAGTTCCGCAAAGAGAGCCAAACTAATATCTCCCTGCCTTTTCATTTAATCATATTCCTGTACCTAAAGCCTCTTGGTGAGGTTGTCCCTGAAAGATGTCAATTCCCTGCAGTTTCAGGGAAAAATACCCTTTAAATATTTGCAAATGTTCCTGTTATACTGTATCAGATCAACTGGAAAAATTTGTCATGACCTACATACAAACATGGAAATCTGCCTGTAAATACTTTTCAAAATGCCCATTTAATAAAAACTTTTTAAAGTAATAAATTTGAATGCTTAATAGTTTTGTTTTGAAGTTATAGCTACTATTTATTCACATTTGCAGAAACAAATAAAGAAATGATCCCTGAGTACTTAAAGTGCTTTAATTTTTTTTTCTGCAAAAGAACCATAAGTTTACACATTTTTACCATCATAAAAATGACATGCCATATATAATAGGCAATGTTTAGATCTAGTACACGATCCTCACATTAAGCTAATGGTTCCCAGTCCTATTCCTGCTGATGCTATTTTACATATTCTGATGCACTTGATTCAACTCATCAGCTAATTATATAGCCCTTCATGAGCTGGGTCAAATGTGTCAGAGGAGGGAAAACCTGCAGAGCACCCCCTCCCCTCCTCCAAGACTGGGACTAGAAACCACTGTATGAAGCATTAGGAGGTGGTAACAGATCAGTGGCACTTGGGAAAGTGGAAGTTTGTGCTAGCTAATTCCAATGACGGCGCACTGTGGGGGGTAGAGGGGTTGGTCAAGGGGTGGCCAAGAAGGTGTCCCTGTCAGGAGGGCGTCCAAGCGTTTGTACTGCTTTTTCGACTCTCGCTTCCCACGAAGAGCTTGGAGGAACGTTGGGGCACATCTGTCAGCAAGTTCCTAAAAAAAAACAAAAAAAAACAAACAAACACCACAGCGGAGTGAGACCACATTGATGATCTTTCCCTCAAATTAATATACAGTGACTTTAAAAACAGAACTTATGTTTCTGGTGGTCGTGTTAGACTGGTTAGGTATTTATTTATTCATTCATTCATATATTTATTTATTTACCAACCTCTACAAAGTAGCACATGATAAAGTTGAGAGCAGCTAGGGAAATTAGCAGCAGCTGGAAGCTCAAGTCATCGATCTTATAGAGCTGCAGCAGTCTGTGTATGACGCCCTTAGGATACACCACCAGCCAAGTCATGACAGCAGATAAGACCACCAGCACGAGTACAAACACAACTACAAGGGATGGACACAAAAATCAGACAGAAGGATTAGGGCAGTCGTGATTATTACATTCGATCACAAAAAAAATATTCAGTATAAAATTTAATAGAAATTTGATCTCTATCAGTATAAAAGATTGCTTTTAGGTGTGTGTATATATGCATATACACACACACACACACACACATATATGTATATATATACACTGAGTTATTGTTCATTTACTAACAAAAATAAATCAATAGAGACAGCCCAAAGTGAGAAATATTAAAAAAAGAAATTACTGCAAAATTAGACGGTTAAAATATAAAGTTATGTAGAGCAGTTTGTTCACAGTGGTGGTGATAGGGCGCCGGAGGTGTATATTGCCTCTATATGCTCCCTCACAGAAAGCTATTACATGCAATGTACATAGTTTTACAATAGTTTTAAGAAAAGCTTTTGGCCCAAAAAAAAAATAATAATAATAATAATAAAATCACACCACTCTGAATAACTTAAGCAAACAAAAAAAATGGAGGCTAGAACACCAAGTAAAACATATCCATGCTGTCTGAACAAAACCTTGTATCACAATTTGTGTCGTTTTGTACTTGTTTCTTTTTTTATTTTATACAGAATTTGAAAATGCCTGATGACCTTTACAATGTGCCAAAATTTCACGATGAACGGACCAGCAGAAATGCTCCAAAAGTGCTTAGGAAAAAATCTAGTTCCATTAAGTTTCATTCAAAATTAAGAATCTTTTTCTTTCTTCTGTAAAGTTAACATTTTGGAGATATGAGGTTTTGTTCCGACAGCAGCAAAATGGATGTACTTAAAAATGGGCTGAAGCCTTTGGATAAGCCTGAAGGTCACTACAAAATGTACATTTTGCCAAGATATTCTTTCAGTATCTCACCGTTGTAATAAAGTGGTTTCTTGTAAGGGTATCCTTTTGTCACTATTATAGACATCAGGATGTACTGAAACCCTGACACATCAAAAACACCCGTGTCCTCCATATTTGGCAGATTTTGTGGCCCTGTCCTAGTGGAATTGAGAGGGATGTACCTAAGAAAGATCAAAAAAAAAGGTGCAAAATGAATCACTGAACACAAGTCAACGTTTAACATCAGACCATTTCTTTTTAAACTCACCACTCCTGCGAGATGGTGATGAGCAGAGCAGACACTTGGGTGACGATCAGCAGCACTGTGTGTATTAGCAAAGCACATAGAAGGGGCACACTGAGAAGACTGGCAGGGGGTCTCTGGGGGTGAAGCTCATCACTGGGGCCGCCCCTCCCCATTACTATAGCAAGCAGTGTCACCAGGAATAAGTCGAAGAAGAGGAACTGTAGGTCACCCAAGTTTGTTTTCACCTAAAACGGAAGATGAAACTGAAGATGTTCCTTCAACCAAAGCTGTAGGCAGTGCCCCTTCGAGAGTCTACATTGCTACATTAAAGAATCTGTTTTACTGCTTTAATGTTGGTTTAATGCATTTTTAAGATGATGATATCGATTGGTACAGTTAAGACACTTACAGTGTATAGTATGACCACAGATGAAAACTGGATCAGACTGTACAGAGCCATATACTTGAAAAGACTGAAGGATGTTACCAATGAACATCTTCCTTCCCTGTTAGAAGAGAGAGCAGTTAAGCATTTTTATAATGACATGGATAAATAAAACTACTGAATGAAATGTAGAAAATCTCTCTTAAATAAGAGTTTCATATTGATTTCTCTTGAACCTGATAAGTAGAGGCACACAGCTGATGTTGTCAGACTTGGAGGTAAAGGGAGAGGCGACGGAAGCCTCGGCCTCAGACAGAGAAACACCGACGTCAGCAGCCCTCAGTGCTCCGCAGTCATTGGCTCCATCCCCACACATGCCCACTCGATAACTATACAAACAAAACATCATAAAGGCCATGCATTTTTTCTACATTAGCAAGAAAAGCAAGTCGATGCATAAATGAAACGAGAAGAAAACTAAAACAAAAGATCATTACTTGAACAGCGGGAGTCATGCAAAGCCATACATGGTAAAAGTATACAGTCTGTACAGTGGGAAATTCCCTTCTTATGACAACATGGCGACCAGTCTCGTGGCCAGCTGTGTGATCAACATTAAGCCGACCACGTGCTGACTAAAAGAAATACAAAAAAGCTGTGTTTTGCTGACTTTGCTGATTTTTTTTTTAACCACAATGTTCCAGTTACCATTTCCTTCAATCGATATCCTTTCAAAAGAATCCAAAGAATTAAAAGTTACACATTTTCCCCACATAATATATCCACACGAACTTCACATTGTCCTGAAAGTGCTCCAACTGAATTTCATACAGTCGATTCTCAAGCCTTAGAAAAAGTAGCTGTGTCAAAACACAACATGAAAACTGTATTCTTCAGTTTACAATTAAAATCTACCTTCATCTTGTTTTGCATGGAAATGTTTGATTAAAAAGGGCATACACCATGGAAATAATACAACAAAATGTAAAAAAACCCCAAATAGAACGACAGGGTCTTAAAAGAAAAAAAGCAATGCAAATGTGAGTGATTTATTTAAAAGTGAATTTACTGCATCTGTCTGACCTTCAACCAGACATTTTTCACAAAGTTGCTCTCTGTTCTTACTTTAGTTTCTGAAGAGCTTTGACAAGCTCAGTCTTCTGGTCTGGTGACATTCGTGCATATACAGTGCCTCGCATCAGAATCTGTAGCATAAACATCATAATCAGTTAGCAAATATTTGGAAAACTAAAATACATTCATGAATGATCAATATTTGATGAGTGTCTCATCTCGTAACTCACCTTGGGTAGGTACTCAGGAAAATGATCACAGAGTGCTGCAAAGGACTTTCCATTTATAGCCAAATGATACTTAAGACTGTTCTGGTAGAGGCCCTAAAGAAGAGAAACAAAACCTTCAGTTCGCAAGCTGCAATTTTCCATTTTGCATTCTGATATAAAATATACTTTGTAGGGCTGTCAGAGTTAACATGTTAATAACACATTAAATAGCAATAAATTAACACCACTACTTTTTTTTTTTAAACATCATTAATGCATTTTCCTAGTTTCTTAGACCCTCCACCAGCTGTTGTCATACAGGTTGAAAACCAGCTGCTCACACGCTGTATATTACTATTATAGAATCCATGATTGTAGCCATCTTATTCAAAACTATGGATAACTTGCATTATTTAATGTAGTTAATCACAATTAATTATTTTAAAGGGTTCATATCCCACATCTTTATTTTATTTTCTCTTCTGAATGTCCTCTTATAACATTGTTTTTTTTCTGCAAAAACACTCATCACTCATTTTTATGAAACCATTTTCCAACCTCTCATTATCCCTTAGAATTCTTCAGTTTACAATAGAGGTCGTTTTCATTACTGTGCCTTTAAGACTGATATTTGTAAATGAGCTGTGTTCTGATGGGCCACCCGGTATTTTGCTTTATTCAACTCAGAATGATTGGGTGGTGCTAAACTGCTTTAGGCTGAATAGGTGGGTATATGTAAATGTAAATGATTTTGTGACGTCACAGAAAGAACTAATTCAAAACAAGCTGTTTTGCAGCTTAGTTTCCATATATAAACTTCACGGACTGGGGCGTTAACGGTACGTTTTAAAACTTGGTTTACAAGTTTGAAACAAGTACTATATCAAGCTAATCAAGAAAATTTGTTCGTCCATAAAATGGGCCCTTTAATCATTTGCCAGCCCTAATACTTTATCACAAAAACACACAACCCCATATTAATGTGATAACATTTTCCTCTCACTTTAAATCTGTAAAGTAAATCAAGCCTGTATAAAAACCTGCTCCAGAATATCCATGGTCTCTTGCGTGCTGACTGTGCCAGCGCCACCTTCACCTTGATGAAACCGTAACGATGCCATAGAGTTGGCAGCAGGGGGTGATGCATGAACAAAAAAAACTTGCTCATGTGGCAACACCATTCTACATGCCCGTGCTACATTCAGAGCAGTGAGGATGTTATCACCTGACAGAAAGGGAAGTGAAAAAGAAAAGATCTGTTTTAAGCAGTGGGACACATGACGTGTGGCTTTTGCTTTAGTATGTGTAAAAAAAAATAAAAAAAAGGCTTTAAGAACTCTGTACTGAGATCCTCTAGTTATACAGCACCAATACAAGCTATTAAAAGGTTGGCACTGTATGCCAGTTAATGTACCAGTGACCATGACGGGCCGGATTTGAGCTTGTCTCAAAGTACTGATGACTCCTGGACTTTCAGGCTTCACCTGGTTCTTCATCACCAACAGGCCGAGAAACCGCATCTCTGTCTCTATGTCTTCCCTACCAACACGCATTTACACTGTTAGTCCAAAAGCAATAATATATCCACAGTCACTGCATATGAAAACCTTTTTTCCTACAGCATTCGAAAAAACACTAGCTGCCCTTTACATTGTATGAACATTTCATGACAAACAAACAAAAAAGAAATGCATTAAAGTTAATATTTTATTTTTTCTCTTCTTTTTACAACAGTGATATTACACACAGTTTAACCACAAACTATCAAAAAAAGCACTGACCTTTCAATACTGCTCAAGTCAGTCTGTGCATCAAGTTCCCTGTAAGCGAGTGCTAGGACCCTGAAGCCCTCACTCGCAAACTCCCGCAGAGTGCTAGTAAACTGAGAAGGCACTGCCAAGCACAAAGGAAAGGTAAAAATAAACCACACACTGAACAAAGCCCTTATTATGCCTTATGCTTCATTGTACAGAAGAGAGAATGTCAGATATTTTATAGAAAAATACTGACAAACTGGTGGGAGTAACCATTTCTGGAACAGTCGTCCTTACCACTTTCTTTTACACAGTAGCTGGCAACCATCTCTGGTGACCCTTTGAGGAAACAGCAAGGTGAGCCTCCCCCTGGACCCACTGTCACCACACTCATCCTCTGCAGGGCGGAGGAGAAAGGGAACCGCCGCACTATCGCTACCGGCTGACTGATGGACTGACAACAAAAGAGGAACAAACTTGAGTTAAATCAAGGGTACATTTTTTTCAGGATGTGTTTTTTTTTTTTATTCATTCCATTTTAAAAGCTCAGCTGCCCTTTATATAATGTGAACGTTTCATTCTGAATGGACCAAATTTCTCTTGAAGACCTACTACAGTTTACAACATTTCCTCCTTCTCCTATGAAGTGACAATTTCAGAAACACAGTTTTTGTCTCCGGTTATGCCTGGTCATTTCATGCATATTGAGTATTAGGTTTTAATACAGATAGGAATTACGTACAAAACTGATTTTCGAGGCAGCAATCTTTTGAATAGAAAAGGAAAAACAAGCAACAGCACAGTTGTTGTATATGAACTGATTTGCAAATTACGTGCCAGATTGCAATCAGATTTCAAGCTGACCAACCGGAGATGCATTTGATTACCAAGTGTAAATGCATGTGGCTGAAATCTTAATAGGTTAAAATCCAGATACAAGCTATATAAAGTAACCCAGGGTAAATAGGGTCTTAGTTACAACAATTTGTTAATCATTACCACAATATTAGCTTGACGCCGGGGGTGTCAAAATGGGGTCATTCTGGGCCACAGTTCTGCAGAACTGTACATTGTGACTCAATAAATACACCTGATTCAGCTCACTGGGTAATTAGCAGGGCCTTTAAGAGCTGAATTCAGAGTGTTAGAAGAGGGAAAACGCCAATCTCTGCAGACCTCTGGTCTGGAGGGAACCCAGTTTGACACCACTATCCCATGCAATACTGATTTCAGAGGGCTCCAATATGCAAATGAGCACTCTAACCAGTCACACAACTGGTTATTGTGTGCTACAAACATCCTGACCAATCACAGATGTTACTTGCTGAGTGTTCTGTTGTCATTTAGATGAATGAAGACATTCATGTGAACAAATGTAATTAATTTAGGTAAAAACAATGCAAGCCAGTCTTTAACTGTGTCACACGAAAGGGTCTCACAAGTGTTTTTTATATACATCACAAGGTATTTTCCAGTAGAATATGTAAAATACAATAGTGATAGGGTGTCTATTGTGTAGCCCTGGAGGGAAGTAAAAATACTTTTAGAGAAGACATAATACCACTTCTTCTTTTCTGATACTGTTATTAAAACCTATAGCAACAGCCGATACTGATACCAATCCAGTATTTCTTCTTTGAAATAATCTATTTTTAAATGAAGAACTTCAGTTAAGCTGATCTAAAAGTTGTTTATGATGCTCAAAATACTAACACTTTACTGCCCCACAGGCAGAACTACAAAGATAACGTCACATCACACATTCAGATTCACTGCATTCTTTTCCCCTTTTTTAAATCATAGAAACTACAGAAACTACCCAAATGACCCTGTTCAAAAGTTTACATACCCTGGAAGTTTTGGCATGATAACATGCACACAAGTTGACACACAGGTTTAAATGGCTACTAAAGGTAACCATCCTCACCTGTGATCTGTTTGCTTGTAAATCAGTGTGTGTGTATAAAGAGTCAGTAAGCTACTGGGCTCCTGACAGACCCCTGCATGTTTCATCCGGCGCTACCACTGACATTGTTGGATTACGAGACATGGGGAAAGCAAAAGAATTATCAAAGGATCTGCGGGAGAAGATAGTTGAACTTTATAAAACAGGAAAAGGATATAAAAAGATATCTAAGGAATTGAGAATGCCAATCAGCAGTGTTCAAACTCTAATTAAGAAGTGGAAAAGTGAGGGATTCTGTTGAAACCAAGCCAAGGTCAGGTAGACCAACAAAAATTTCAGCTAGAACCACCAGGAAAATTGTTCGGGATGCAAAGAAAAACCCACAAATAACATCAGCTGACATACAGGACTCTCTGAAAAAAAGTGGTGTGGCTGTTTCAAGATGCACAATAGGGAGGCACTTGAAGAAAAATGGGCTGCATGGTCGAGTCGCCAGAAGAAAGACCCTTACTACGCCAATGCCACAAAGCAGCCCGCTTACAATATGCCAAACAGCACAGAGACAAGTCTCAAGATTTCTGTTATAGTTATTTGGAGTGATGAGACCAAAATTGAACTTTTTGGCCACAACCATATACGCTACATTTGGAGAGGAGTCGAACAAATTGATGGCAGGATGAATGCAGCATTTTATCAGAAAATACTGGAGGAAAATTTGTACTTATCAGCCCGGAAGCTGTGCATGGGACGCACTTGGATGTTCTAACATGACAATGATCCAAAACACCAGGCCAGGCTACAGCAGAAAAAAGTGAAGGTTCTGGAGTGGCCATCTCAGTCTCCTGACCTCAATATCATTGAGACACTTTGGGGTGATCTCAAATGTGCATTTCATACAAGACAGCCCAAGAATTTACAGGAACTTTAGGCATTTTGCCAAGAAGAACGGGCAGCTTTACCATCTGAGAAAATAAAGTGCCTCATCCACAACTACCACAAAAGACTTCAAGCTGTCATTGATGTTAAAGGAGGGAATACACGGTGTTAAGGACTAGGGTATGTAAACTTTTGATCAGGGTCATTTGGGTAGTTTCTGTTGTCATTATGATTTAAAAAAGGGCAAAAACAATTGTTTGATAATAAACAGCTTGACCCAACCACTAACCATGAAAAAAACACAAATTCTTCCAGGGTATGTAAACTTATGAGCACAACTGTATGTGCGCGCTTGGTATGACAGATAGATAATTAACGTTAATCCAAAAAAAAGCACTTAAATGAACATTAATCTAGCATTTACAAAAAAATGTCTCATTCCTGTACTGCATATCTTACTATCTAGGTATCAGCACTGCTTGTTTCTGCCAGTATTTTAGCTCAAAGCCTATTGTGCGTCTTACAACACGTACTAGAGCTAAGGATAAATTCTCTAAATGACAACAAAGCGCTTTTATATACTGCTCTGGACAACAGTGTCTAATGAATGCTGTATATGTAAACATACAGTAAATGCTGCTGGCAGAGGAGGAACAACAACAAGGCAGTTTTCAAACTGCCATTTCAATTTTATCATGTCATTTCCTAATCTGATCCATGGCATACTCACTATGCCCTCTGGCTGAAACTCAGCAGCAGGTGGCCTCATCACCGCTAGGATCCTGTGGCTTCCAAACTCTGTGCTCACTTCTGTTTCATGAGTAGGCTCCTGCAGAACCTACCATTTCAAAGAAAGACCACATCATATATTCAGTTTCGAGTCTGTGTGTTTTCTTTGTTTCATTAATGTCTTTCAATTAAATAACATACCATAGCAATACAAGATTTTACACAATGACCCTATTTATCCTCTCCAGTGTAAGCATAGCCAAAACATTAGCTTAAAAACAGAGCTTTTGAAGTTGCTGCCTATACAATGAGTGCCAAATATATCCAGCAAACAAACAAGTCAAACATTGTCAAGTAAATATTTGTACAAGCAACAGATAAAGAAGAATAAAAACGTGTTGTAGACTGCGGCTCTTACCCAGTCTGTGGACTCAATCATTTTGAGCTCTAGTGGGTCTCCAATGGGCTGACCCCCAAGCAAGGCTACAGAGTGGCAGGAGGCCAAGCCTGACAGCATAGGGCCATGTGGCAGAAGACGGGGGTCTGGGACAAGCTCATCAAACCCTGACCCGTTCACCACCTTCACCCCCCACACATCCAGACCCTCCTCAGTCAGAGTACCTGTCTGAGGAGAGAAACACAGCATGTAAATCTAAACTAAAAAACAGTGAACCTTACTGTTAATTTCTGATCTGTTTATTAATTCTCGGCAGTCTGACACTGTTTGTCTGCAGTCTGACACTGTTTGTCTGCAGTCTGACACTAAAAAGTGGTCTGCATTATATTTTATGAACGTCATCCTTGTCCGGTGGCCAAATTACAGGCTTCACCAGACACGTCATCCTTGTCTGGTGGAGCCTGTAATCAATTAGTTTAATCTCACAACATGGTTTAAATGTTTGTAGTGGTCTAAAATAACTATACACCAGGTGTTGTCAGATAATCCCTGACCATTTATATGAGCTTAAGCCTGTATCATTAACTTCTCCATTGTGTTTTCCTCAGCACTCTCAACCATCAGTTAAGGCTACTACAGGTAGCTTAGCCTACATAATGACATTTTTTTCAGGCTCTTTTCATTTAATTTCCAGTCAAAATGGTTATTAAGTACAAGTTATTCATTTATCAGAGTCAGAAAAAAAAATAGAAAAAACATATTTAACAGAGAATTATACAGAAGCCTCAATAACTAAATACAAACCCAATTCCAAAAGATTTAGGATGGTAGGTTAAATGCAAATAAAAATGGAAAGCACTGATTAGTGCTTAAATTCAGTTTTAAATTAAAAACAATAGGAAAAAAGGTTTTATCTTATAAACTTTGTTCAGCTTTGCTCATTCCTAATTTGAGGCCTGCAACATGTTCCAAACAGGACAGGAGCGCATTTACCACTTTTCATCTTTTCTTTTAACAGCACTTAATAAATGTTTGGGGACTGAAGACACAAACTGATCCAGTTTTGAAAGTGGTTTTTTCTTTGTTTTTGTTTTTATTTTTCTTTTCAGCTGTGCAACCCTACAGGGCCTTCACTGTCAAATTCTGAACTTAATAAGAAATGTGGTTTCAATGGGAGGCAGTTCTGGATTGCAGGCTGGCCAGTCCATCACCAACTCTCTGATTACGCAGCCATGCTATTGTGACATGTGCAGAATGTGGCTTGGTGTCGTCATGTTGAAATGACCATGGGTGTCTGTGGAGCGGTTTTTACGTGTGATTGAGTGCTAGGTGCGGGAACCTGGGTTCACCGCATAAGGATTACTAAATACTTCGAGTTACGTTCCAACAAAATGTCCATATTTATTTAAGTTCACAGGGAAAAGAGAGAGAAAACTGTGCAAAAAGGAAAATGAAAGAATTAAAAGCAGCTTCTAAACATATGGACTTTTGTTGACTTGTTCTAGGCCCACAAATATCAGTCCAAAAAAAGATGTTTCCCTGACTCAACTTCAGTACAGGATGAAGTCTGAGTCTGCAAGGCAGATTACTCCACAAACAGGCCTCATGCCTGCCATTTGTTCCTTAGACTGAATCTCTCCACCATTTAAACTCATAACCCATCACCTAATCAGACTGGGCTAAACCACTGCTAAGAGCAAGTGAGTTAACAAAGGATAGTATAACAATCTAAGTATATTAATGCAGACATCTTTGTTGACAAAATACATGCTGATATGGCATTTGGCCTTTATTTATATTACTGTTAAGTATATTCTCAATTGCTTATCTTGAACATTGTTCTTTCTCTCCTACAGGCACCTCAATCTCAGGCTCACCCCGTAGTTAACTGAGGGCCCTTCAACTACTATAAAAGAGGAAGCTGGCATTCCTAAAAGAATACGACCAGACAACAGCCACAATAATTTATCACCAGTTAAGTAAAAATGTGCCATTTTATCTTGGCTTTTACAGAGGTTTTGTTTTGAAATCCCCAAAGTCTATACAAGGTGTCCCAAAATATTCTTGGTGATGGGGCAGGGGCAGTTGAGCCACATGTCCACTGTGCTTGTCCATTTCCAATGAGCTTGAGCCCAACGAAGCTGGCAGCATTTATGCTGCGCATACTACAGTCCTACGTGCATTTGCTGTCTGAGGGGTCAAAGGTCATGGGCATTTATTTGTTGTTTTCAGCCTTCTGCTTTATGCACAGAGAGCTCTCTGGATTCCCTAAATCATTTGATGTTATTCACTGCAGAGGGTGAAATACCCCAAATCCTTGCAATCTCTGACTAAGAAATGTTATTTTGAAACTGCTGGATTTTTCTGCTAATGCATTTTTGGCAATATGGTGAGCCACGATCATTCTTGCTCATAAAGAACTAGGCATTTCCTAGATGCTCCTTTAATATCCAGGCAAGACTGTTTCACCTGTTTAAGATGGTTTTTAAACATTTCAAAGCATTTCTATTCTTAAATTGCTCCATCTCAATTTTTTTTTTTAACTTGTTGCAGAGCACATATTTACAAAAAACAATGAAGTTCGAGAGGTAAGACATTATAAATCTTGTCTTTGTATTAGTTTTGTTTATATACAGGTCAAAGTAGATCTATAAAATCACTGCTTTCTGTTTTTGTGCACATTTTACTTCTGTCCCAAATTTTTATAAAAGTTTTATAAAAGTTTTATAAAAGTAATTTTCGCAGTATTAAGTGTATCCAACTTTTGCCTTTATTGCAGCTTCCACTTGTTTCAGAAGAACTGCTTTTCGTTTTTCAAAGAAATGTACAGGGAGATTTTTCCACACCTCCAAAGTTCAGTCTTTGATGTTGGCTGCATTTCCTGATTCTCATAATTCAATTACTCCCAAATGCATTCAGGGATTTTGAGGTCTGGTCTCAGAGGTGGCAAGTTCATTGTTCTGAGAACACCAGCAGCTCTCTTTTTGATTTTATTTAATAGACAAAAACAAGTTTATTCCTCTTGTCCATTTCCTTTTACATTAAATTTCCTTTTTTGTATATTTTAATATTTTTTTAAATCTCCTTTTCCCCCCAACTTGTTCTCCTTTGACTTTCTTCTTCGTTATGTAAGTGTACCGTCTTATATCTAATTTCCTCAGAAATAACTTGTACTTTATGGCTATTTGCCTGAAAATAAAATGAAGGGAGATCTCTGACTTCAGCACAGTACTATATGTTGCCTGTAATATGTTTCCAAGGTTCTAGCTTGCAGAGCCTAATCATTGGGTCTCTCGTTTGAAAAAAACAATGCATTTTCATGCTCTTTACACGAAGCCTGACATGAAGGTTTTTTTCACATGAAGAATACAGTCATCTTATCTTATCCAAAGCACCTGAGAGGAAATTTGATCGTGGTCACGTGACCAGGAACCGGAATAGCCAGTACAAGGAAATGAATGAGTGGCATGGACCCCACCCAATGTATTTGTCAAGCAATATATTGGGTGAGGTAGTTCTACACATTTGGTTAAGGAGGTCTGTTAGTTTACCGGTTACAGAGAAAGCAGACCTAACACTTAAAAATGTACATTCATTCAAATTAGCCTGTTTATGCATTTAGGCTGCTATTTGTACATCACAAGTAATTCTGACATCAGAGAGAGGTGGCCATCCCACAGTGTTCTTCCCTCACCTTGTCAAAGCAGAAGAGAGAGATCTTTCCGCAGATGTTGATGCGAGGGGGGCTTATGCAGAACACTCCTTTTTTCTTGAGCCGGTTTTGGGCATAGATAGTGCCAGTTGTTATAGCAGCAGGGAGAGCAGGTGGCACCACAATGGTCACAATGTCCAGAGATCGGATAACGAGCTCTGCCCAGGGGGTCTGATGACAAAAATGAAGTTGGACACAATAAGAAGGACAAAGACTAAATGTCTACTGAAACCATAAACACTAAAGTATTGAAAATAATGATTGATCATTACTGCAGTGATTAGAGCGTAAATGGCAATATCTATGGTGTAGCATTTAACATTTCACCATTCATGGCAATATATCTTGACAAAAAGGTATTAGTTAGATCTGCACTCACTGGACACTTCATTAGGTACACTAAACTTGTATCTACACTGACTGTCCATTTTATCAAGCCCACTTGCACTTAGTAGTCCACTCCAAAATATTAATATGTAACAGTTTTGGATAGAACAAGTGTTTGAAAAGAACAACAGCTAATGTATAATGGAAAACACATTTTTATTTCTCTAATAAAGGTAGTACAATTCATAATATAGCACTGATTTTTCCTGTATGCTTAAAGCCCACCGTCAACAGCGTATATCATGAAAAGACAAAAAAAAAAAGTGATCTATAATGTGTTAACCCTTCAATTACAGACTGTTGTCCATCTGTTTTTTTGCATAATTTATTAGCTCTTTTTTTTTTTAAACCCTATTCAACAATGGTCATGACCCCCCCCCAGGACCACCACTGAGCAGGTATTATTTGGGTGGTGGAACATTACGAGCACAGCAGTGATACTGACTCAATCGTGACATTTTTCAAACATTTTCACTGCTGGGCTGAGATTAGTTTGCCAGACCAAAAATATCTAGCCAACAGTGTCCTGTGATGAGACATATGCAGATGCCATGTTGAGCAATGACAGGTCTCCTCCTCTATACTGTCTCTCCACCAACCAAAAATATCCAGCCAAGAGTGTTCTGTGGGCATCATCCTGCAATCACCAATGAAGGACTAGAGGATGACCAACAAAAAAAAAAAACAGGCAGTAACAGATGAGCTATTGTCTCTGACTTTAAATCTACAAAGTGGAACTAAAACTGTAGGAGTGTCTAATAGAGTGGACAGTGAATGGACACAGTGTTTAAAAACTCCAGCAGCACTGCTGTGTCTGATCCACTCGTAGCAGCACAACACACACTAACACACCACCACCACGTCAGTGTCACTGCAGTGCTGAGAATGATCCACCACACAAATAATGTCTGCTCTGTGGTGGTCCTGCAGGGGGTCTTGACTATGAATAGGGTGAAGGAAGGCTAACAAACTCTACAAAGAAACAGATGGACTAGAATCTGTAAGTGTAGAACTACAAAGTGCACCTATATAGTGAGTGTACCTGATAAAACTGACAATGAGCGTGGATACAAGGTATGTACCTAATAAAGTGACCAGTGAATGTATGCTTTTACACTTTAATGACAAATGCACAATATTTGGTCTTACTTACATTGCTCCTATAAAGCATTACTACACTGTAAATTGTGCCAATCAATGCTGCAAAACAAGGACATTCACTGAATTAGCGTCATTAGGCCATATAGTAATGTTTGTGTTATATCTTAACTGCACAAGATATACATGATAATCAATTGACAGTCAAAAAGCATGTCATATCTGTTTACCCAGGACTCCTAAGAATAATAAAAACTTCATGGCGTCCTTATAGAAGCGGAAGTTGAGTGGTTGTGGGTAAAGAATGGAGCTGACGAGGTCACCTTTAGCGGTGAAAAACCCTGAGGAACAGAAACAGAACATTTTCAGCAGGACTGCTGTAAAACAGAAATGCACACACATTGTAAAAGGAAACCACAAGAATCTTCTAATCAAAGCGCATTTCTGAAAAACAAGCACACTTTCAGTTTCTTTAGGTTAGTGGAAGGATATGCAGACAGCGTTTCCTTTTAGTATTACCTGTGCGTGTGACAACAGCTATAGCCCCTTTCCCTCCAGGGCAACCCCCTTTGGCCTGGATGATATGTGTACCACAGAACAGTGTGTGTCGGCGCTGAGATTCAGGGGTGTATGCCCCCCCAGAGACAGGCAATGGGGTCTTCATCACAGGTACGCTCTCACCTGACAGTCAGCGGAAAGTGGAAAGAGGCCCCATGAAAGGGGCAACGAGAGGTGCGTTATGCTACACTCACACAGGTGTCTCTAATAAAGTAAGCAATAACCATAAACTGAAAATGTACAGTCAGAACTGTTAACACTACAGTATATTTTACACATCTAATCCATCCTTGGACAGCCCCTGTCCTGTCATGCTTGCTTTTTTTTTTAGTTTAATCTGTACTGCCAAATGTGACTCTCTCTTAAAAATCTATTTCTCAGTTGCAACAATAAAGGTTCTAACTAGCTTAGATTATAGCTTAATGTACAGCTTACACTATAGTTTAGATTCTAACAACACTTTTCTTGTTTTCTCACCTGTCAGCATGCTCTCATTGACCATGCACTCCCCGGCCAGCAGGGCAGCATCGCATGGCAGGAGCAGACCTTCAGATGGAATCACCACACAGTCTCCTGGCACTAGATCCACTGAACTCACACACTCTTCCTCTAGATAACACAAAACACACACAAAAAAAATGTAGACACTGGCTCAAAACTTTAGTTAGTTACTTAAAAAGAGCCTATCCGGTTTCCCTGTTTCCAAAAAAGTTGAGACGCAAAATGTAAAAATAAATAAATAAAAAAAATAATGATGTGCAAATCATTTAACCCTATATTTTCACTGAAAATAGCACAAAGGCAACATATTAAATGTTGAAACTTGGACATTTTGTTGTTTTTTGAAAAATATATGCCCATTTTGAATTTGATGCCAGGAACATGTTTCCAAAAACTTGGGACAGGGGCAACAAAAGACTGGTAGGTCTGTTTAATGTTAAAATAACACTTGGTGGTTAACTAGCAACAGGTCAGTAACATGACTGGGTATAAATCCCAGAGAGGCTGAGTCTTTCAGAAGTAAAGATGGGGAGGAGTTCACCACTTTGTGAAAGACTAAGGACAATGTTTCACAGCATAAAATAGCAATGAACTTGGGGATCATCTACGGTACATAATATCAGTAAAAGATTCAGAGAATCCAAACAAATCTGTTTGCAAGGGACAAGGCCGAAAACCACTATTGGCTGGCCATGATCTTCTGGCCCTCAGGAGGGACTGCGTTAAAAACAGACGATTCTGCATGGGCTCAGCAACACTTCTGAAAACCATTGTCTGTGAACACAGTTCATTACTGCATCCACAAAGGCAAGTTAAAACTCTACCATGCAAAGAAGAAACCACATTCATTTTGGAAATCATGGACACTGCATCCTTCGTGCTAAAGACCATCCAGCTAGCAGCCGTGATGTATGGAGGTGTATTAGAGCACAAGGCTTGGATGACTTGCACATCTGTGAAGGCGCCATTAATGCTGAATGATATATACATCCAGACGTCTTTTTCAGGGAAGGCTTTCCTTATTTCAGCAAGACAATGGCAAACCACATTTTGTACAAAGTACAAAACCATGGCTCTGTAGTAAAAGAGTCCAGGTGCTAAACTGGCCTGCCCGCACCCACTGAAAACATATGAACCCTTTAAAGCATGCCCCCCCACCCCCGAATATTAACTGACGCAGAACGTGTCAATCGACTAGGCTGACTTTTTTACTATCTGGTTTCATTTAAAAACTACTAAATAGATGTGTTTTCTAAATGCCAATTTATGTGGCATTACATTACTGCAATAGGCTCCAGCACCCCACCGCGACCCAGAAGGATAAGCGGTTTAGATGATGTATGTATGTATGTGTGTGTGTGTATGTGTGTGTGTGTATGTGTGTATGTATATTACTGCATATACAGTGCACGAGAACACAGTTTAGTACAGCTTTTTATTATTATAATAAACCTCACCTCCAGTGGCTCTGCGTACAGTGACATTCACTATCAGCTGGGCCATGCGGCGGAGAGTGGTGCTTTGCTGTAAATTCACAAAAAAAAATAAAAAATCTTGATAAATAAGAACACTGACAAAAGACCAATTTGATAAGCAAATTTAAACATGAATGTATGAAGAATGTATGACATTTGTGGGGGAAAAAAAAATAACATAAAACACAGAATATGACAACATTCACTTGCGTTACTGATTTCAGACACAGCCTGTTGTGTTTTTTCCCCCCTGTTGTCCACTTACGATATTTGCAAGGGTTTATGAACCAAAATTATTCATATTTCATGTTTACATGATCAATTTCCAACCTCTTTTAGAATGAATCCATAAGAATTAAACAGACGGTTATTTACTGTGCCTTTAAGACTGATGTATGTAAATGAGCTCTTTTCTGATTGGCTGCCCAGTACTGTGCTTCATTCAAAAAGCATTCTGGGCTGAAACACTGCTTATAACCTTGAAATAAATGAGCGGAGCTAAACGTCTGTAGCTTGAAAAGACAGATACGTAAATGTGTTGGATAACTGTTTTTGTAGCTTCCATATGGACAAGTAAATGACCAGTATTGTTTGAATTGGAAACAATTCTAACATTAGGCTCTTATTTTGGAAAAAAGTGAGAAAAAAATTGGTTTTCCATGATATGGGTTCCTTTTAAATTTGGTAGACCTTTTACTTTTAGCAACAGCAGCTTTAAGTCTTTTACAGTATGCTGTACATTTGTGGAAAAGAGATACAGACCATAATATTCACTTACCTTTCTGATTTCATACAGGGACACAGCGATGGATATAAAAGATATGATTAAGATGCAAACGGCATAATAGTAGTATCTATCGGACATCCACAGGATGATACTAAACACTTGAAACATGTAGAACGGGTTGAGGACCTGTAGGAAAATCAGAGAATTTATGAAAAGCGTTAGTTCATCAGACAGTGGAGGATGGTAGCGCAAGTATCACTTTGAACACGCTCCCTAATGGGCACGATAATCTAAACTCCTTCTTTCAGAAAGTTGCATCCAAGAAAATGGAGTTTAATGAAGAAATGGCTTTGAAAAGAGTTTTTTTCCAATAAGTGGACATAAGATTAGGTTAAGATTAGGTCAACACAAAGTAATAAAGTACCTCTTCAAACAGCAACTGTGGGTAAGATTTCACAGGCACATCAATGATATTGTCCCCAAAGATCTGTCGCCTGGGGAAAGAAAGAAGAGTAAGAAAGAAAAACAGAAAGAATGTGGTAGTGCAAGTGATGAATTACAGGAGTGTGATGTGGTAAACCTTGAGCTTTGGTCCGCTCGACTCATTCCCTGCTGAAAGCGATGCAAGTCAGCACAAGTCCAACCCTCATTGAGGATACTGGGAAGACACAATAAATAACATTTTCACACATCAATTTACAAAGCAAACAAACAGTTCAAAGAGAATCATGTCATTTTTTTCAGCCATACCTAACCCTGCAGAAAGCCCCTTTTCTGGGCATCCATATGTATCGCATGCCCTCAAACACGTAGTACCGCAGTACGGTTTTCTGAAGGAAAGAAACAGTTAGTAACAGAAAAGGAGCAAACGAGTAGAAAACAATGTTGAGTCACTTTTTGGTTTTGTAGACATTTTACCTCTTCTTTGTGTAGCTGAACATTGTCCCTCCACTCATTTTCATCCACCTCTCCTCCTGCATGCTCAAAACTGCAGAAGTTAAAAGAGGTGTTACTCTCTGGTTTCACACTTCTCTGTTTACACCATAACCAAACAACTGGATGTTGCTCTGAGAGAAGGTAAAAGCCTATTTCCATTGGCAATGAATGGCCACGACATGCTATTAAGTGACTTTAGATGATAATCCTGTTTTTACCCGAATACGGCTTTTTCATTTTTCTAAGGAACCACTTTTCTTGTACTTTTTGTGTCTTTATGTACCAAAAAGATTATCATTAATTTTTACATGACCAATTTCCAACCTGTCTTTATCGCTTAGAATGAAACAGACTGTTTTTGTAACTGTCTTTAAGATCTACATATGTAAATGACCTCTGTTCTGATTGGCTGCCTTGTGGTGTGTCTTCTTAAAAAAGGCAGCCCAGACTGAAGCAGTCTTTATAATTTCAGCATGTATGGGTGTGGCTAAACTGCTGTAGGCTAAATAGGCAGTTATACAGAACTATGTAAAAGCCTTGGGCACCTAGGAAACTGTTTAAAACCATTTATCTCAGCAGTAAGCGTTCTTGCTTATTATTTTAAAAAAAAACACATTATGTAACATTAGAATCAGAGGTGAGCAATAATAAATCAATAATAATCTTTTCTGGGCATATCATGGACGATGTCTGTACTCAAACACTGGCCAACTGCATTTTTTTTTTTTTACATAGCATGGAAAACTGTACCTGTTTAATTAGATTTAATGCAGGGCAGTGTGACCAAAAAAAAAAAAAGCGTAATAAAAATCATTCTAGGCAGAATTTTTTATGGCAGTTTTAAAATACAGCACTTTTAGTGCATTTGGTCTGCATGTCAAAATATTGTGATACGTATAGCATTTTGTAAAAAATGTCTAAGTATTGTGATGACATTTTTGCCGTATCAATTAGATTAAAATCAAACATTTATGCAGTAAAAAGTATTTAAGTAGTTCAGCTAGTTAGAAGAACAAAGTTTGGTTCCAGGTTTCTCCTCAACGCTCCCAGTTATTGTATTAATTTGTTAAATTCCACCATCAGCGCTCCTGATCTATCTAATTTAAAGAAGCATTGATCAGATTAACCAGATGCTGGATAAAAACTACAAATAATACTGATCTGCCATGAGCAGTGATTTATTAAAGGGTTGTTCAAACACAACGATGGACACCTACCGGAATACGAGTGTTGCTCTGCGGTAATACACGCTAACTGCTCAAATAGATAACTTTTTAAATACAATTTACTTAGTTGCCCATAACATTTGCACAGCACTGTATGTAAATGTGTCGGCTTCTGAGACATCAAACACTCAATTCACTGGGCCGGTTTTGCAGCTTATTTTTCATACATTGACTGTATGAACTAGGCAATAAACGCAATGTTTTAAATATTTTTTTACATATTGCATTAAACTCACTTAAAAAGACGAGTAACATGTGGTTGTTCATGATATAGGCCCCTTAATATTTGATAGAGCGTTTAGCTTGCATAATACAAGCTTTAAGTCTTTTACACTATGTGCCTGCCAACTACATTACTGAGTGAAGGATTTGTCTAGTTCTTCTAGAAGATTTGCTCCTGCTCATTCAGGCTTGGAGAGTGTATTTCAACTGCTTTTCCAAACTGTGCCGCAAATCCTTACTCAGGCCAAGGTCAGGACTTTGGCTGGGTCACTCTAGGACATTTTAATCTGGAACCAGTTCACTGCTTTGACTTCAGTTTTCCTGCAGAGTGAATAAAGCTTTCTTGCAGTATTTTTCTTGTACTCTTCCTAGCAAGATTTCAGTTCCCCACAGACAAGAAGCAATCCTGCAGCATGGTGCTTAGTGAATGTTTTTGAGCACTGGACATCATTTGGTTTCTGTTATGCCAAGTTCTTTTATGTTTAGCCAACAAAAGCTGTATCTTGGTTGCATCTGACAACAAAATGTTTTCCAGCTGATATAGCTAGATCATTCATGCTGTCTTCAGAAACAGGTTCGTTCCACCACCTCACAGGTGGGAAATTCATACCTTTTAATAATGTTAATTAGATGACTTTTACATTTTAAGACACTGGCATTTTGTAGGCTTTTCCTGCTCTATTTTCTTTATATACTCTATATATTCTGTATACTTTATTTTTTTAGTCTCAACTTGAGACAAGCAGTGCTTTTCATCAATGTAAGGTTAGAACTAACACATGAAAGCAGCAAATTTCAGTCTCTGAGCTATTAACAAACATTAAAAAAACTTCTAAATAAAGTGGTTAAGCAAAAGATACCACTCCTCATTTAACTTCCAGTCAAAACAGCCATTAAGTCCAAGTTACTCATTTTCAAGGAAATAGGAGATTAGATATAAGACAATCCACTTGCATAAGTTTTGGAGTTCAGAAAAGCATAAACAAGTTGTAAAAAACAATCTGACCCCTAACAATTTTGCAAGAGATGGTAGACACCAAAACTGTCCCCATCAGATAAACAGCATTTCTGTCTTTCAAGCTCCACTCTTGCTTCAGATCTCAACATTATGAGGATGTGTAGCTGACAAGAAGCCTCACTGAGAAAAAGGAAACCAACAAAAAAGCAAAAAATCTGCAAATAAACTGATTCTGGAGGTCTCAAAACGATGTACTGACCACCCCAGAGTCCAGACCTCAACATGGCTGAATGTGTTTGGGATTACCTGATATATGAAAAGCAGAAAATGCAACTAAATTCTAAGACTGAACCTTGAAAATGTAGATTTCTTTAAAAAACTGAAAGCAAGTCTCCCGAAAAGAATGGAAGCTGTAATAAAGGCAAAATACACACTAAATACTGAAAAATGTGATATTATATTTAGTTGTTAAGACTTCTGTGCAATTTCCTGTTAAATTTTTCTACTTTAATTAATTACTTGTACTTAATGGTCATTTTGTATGGAAATTAATGACAGGTGGTCTCTGATACCTGCACTATACTGCATAAGCTGTTATCCAGCAAAAATGTCAAGAATAGCTGTCATTTTTCAAAGTATAAAAGAAAAACATAAATTCACTCCTATCAAATTATTACCATCACTAAATCAAACATTAACCTGTGCTTTTGCAAGAAATAGCACAAAATCTGAGAAAGCCATGAAGCAGTGTGATGCAGGGTACAGAAAAACGTTACATAATTCCGGATAGAATATGAATAAACTGATAATCTATTACATAGCCACTAAACTGCTTTGGATTTCCATTTGGCCATTCATTAATAAAGCCTGAAATGAGGTCAGACACTTTCACAGTACACTCAATTATTTCTAGGACCTTTGATTTTTATGGGAGTCTAATCTACTCAGAAACCATCATGAATATAAATGTGGCTTAGTATTAGATGTAAATATTGTTACACTCTATAAAATGCATGTATATCAGTAATGTAATCTAGACATATTGGACCAGATTTATAAAAAAGCAATATGGCATTGCAAAACATGCTGCACGGTAAAAAAGAGCTATTCATGAAGTCACCATGGTGGTGATTAGTATGCAGGTGTCTTTTTAACACTGTGTCCTAGACAACAGCCAATCAAAATCCACATGCAAATGAGGTCATACACATTAAAGAACCACTCCAAGTGAAGCTCCGGTTGGCTGTCAAAATAGACACAATGTAAAAACGTAAACAAGAAAACAAATAAACGTAATTAAGAAAACAAATAAACGTAATTAACTGAAACAGCGACGAATGCTGGCAAATAGTAAATTGTTTGGTAAAGATGCTGTTAACTTTTTAATCAAACAACAAAGCTTCTTTATCAGAAAATACTGTTGACACTTGAAAAATGTATATAAAAATGAACTTATAATCTTAAAACTCAACTTTTAACTGCAGATTAAAATTTCATTTGTTGATCAGAACTCAAGCTTTATAATTTTACTTACATTAATTTTAATTAAGATGGACATGCAGCAATTTTTTTTTGTAATTTTTTTTTCCATCCAATGAAACTGATAAATTGATTTGGAATTAATTATTATGGCAAGCAAAGCCAGTTAACCTTTTATTTCATATTTTTCTTGATTTCAGGAAATGTGAAAATTAAAATTCCACCAGTACATTTTAAATTTAAACAAGTAAATGTTATTTTTTTGTGTGAATTGAATGCCTTTCTTAACATATAATCAGAATCTCAATAAATTACTCTTCGTTTATTCAGGTTAAACACTAAATTCACTTTCCACACACAGGAATAGGATTTGCCAAACACTTCTTCTTTGACAGGAAGAAGAGGCTTTTTTAAGGATAGTGTCAGTTGACTGTGTAAAAGAGAAATTTGTTAATAACATATAATAAAATAAAAGTGCAATCAGAAATCCTGCTCAAGCAAGTCTTCGTCCTCTTTGCGCACTCCTACAACAGCAGATACAAGGTTTACTATAAAAATTACCATTAGAGAGGTTTAGGCGTTATCTTTTGTGGAATTGTGTCAAGTTATGAATCACTACCATCACATCTAAATGAGCTAAAAGCATGGTGACGCTTAATATTGTGCCAATAATCTGTTTATGAAATAGCAAATGTTTTATCGCATCGCTATTCGCATTTAATGTCACACTCAGTCTGCCAGTGCTTTTTTATAGATGGCCCATTAATATTAAAAAGTATAAATAAGCCACTATGTGCACACAGTATCTAGAGGTTCTATAGGTGAATTCAGGTGTGTGTTGGGATATACACAAGAGTGTTTCAAAAAGAGAAGCGGTTCATGAATGATATATGTATATATATACACATACACACACTGATAAGCCATGTCATTAAGTACACCGCCTTTTATCTACACTCTTCGTTTATCAGCTCCACTTTCTTCACAGGAGCTCTTTGTAGTTCTACAATTACAGACTGTAGTCCATTCGTTTCTCTGCATACTTTGTTAGCCCCTTTACCCTGTTCTTTATTTGAGTGGTGGATCATTCTCAGTACTGCAGAGGCAATGCAACACACACTGAGAACAGCCCACCTACCAAAAATATCCAACCAACAGCGAGCAGCATCCTGTGACCACTGATAAAGGACTAGAGGTTGATCAACACAAACTGTGCAGCAATAGATGAGCTATCATCTTTAACTGTAGGTTAAACAACCAGGTCTAATAGATAAGAGAGTGGATGGTAAGCAGACATAGTGTTTAACAACACTAGCAGCACTGCTGTGTCTGATCCACCACACACACTAACACACCACCACCATGTCAAGGTCACTGCAGTACTGAGAATGATCCATCACCCAAATAATACCTGCCCAGTGGTGGTCCTGACCATTGAAAATACAGAGTAAAAATTTTTGAAAATGCCTGTTGCCCTTTACATTGTGTATAAATTTCATGATAAATGGACCAAAAAAAGTCCCAAAATGACTTGGAAAAAAGTCTGGTTCCAGTGACTTACATTAAAAGTAAAGTGTATATATATATATATATATATATATATACACACACACACACACGTATCCTTGTATTATTCACACAAATCACAGGCTCTTACCTTCCCTCCTCAATCTCGTCTACATGTACATCTATGACAAACTGCTGTCCATGAACATCCTAATCAGGAAAAAGAAAAAGGAAAAAATAAATAATAAAAAAAAACACACACACACACACACACACACACACACACACACACACACACACACACACACACACAAAAACAACTGACCATAATTAGTCATGTGATGAAATACAATTTTAAGCATTCAACTTCAGAAATGACCTAAATAATTACCCTTAACAGTAAAGTATCAGCCATTGGAAGGGGGCAGGAGGTGCACCGAGCCAAAACGGCTAGACGAGGACGCCAGTTGAACAATACCAGCAGCATACCTAAAGAACATATGGTTCCAAGGTGGCAAAGCCACACCCTCCAGCATACTCTTCTGAACCCCTGGACATCCTGGAACACAAACCATATAACCTGATATTACACCACGCACATTTCTACCTGCATCAGGTTACAGGAGGTATTCTGCAGAGAGAGACAGCGTGGCTCAATACCACATCAAAACAACTTTACAATACCAGAGCTTAACTTTCCACACCCCTTTAAGATTAAGGATACCACAATTATTTGATTAAACAAAACAGTCAATTCAAATTTATCTTCTCAATGACTCTATAATAGTTGGAAGGTAGCATTACATATTGTAACCTTTGAAGGGCTATGAAGATTTAAAGATCTTTTTTATTGTTTGGTCCTCCTATTACTCAATTAGTCATCACAATAATTAGTACTGTACTGCGCAAAAGTCAGAGACCACTGTTCGTTTGAGTTAAAGTCAAAACAGCTATTAAGTACAAGTTCATTTCAGCATGAGAAACTACACAAAAGCCTCAACAACCAAGTATAAGATCAATGTTTTAATTTTAATGTGTCAACTTTTTGCCTTTATTACAGCTTCCATTCTTTTTGGGAGACTGGCTTTCATCTCTCCAAAGAAATCTGCAGGGATGCTTTTCCACACCTCCACAGCTCAGTCTTAAAAGTTGGTTGCATTTTTTGCTTCTCACAATTCAAGTAATCCATTGTTCTGAGAACACCAGCAGCTTCTTTGTGTGATTTTCAAATGTTATTTTTTGTCTACTTCCTTTTCTCAGTAATGGCTTCTTGACAACCACACATCCTCTCAGAAACACCTGTGGATTCTTTCAGATCTGAAGCAAGAGTGGAGCTTGACTTTCTCCTCTCTCTCAAAGATGAAAGCTTTAAAGCAGAACTGTCTCATATTTTTTGTTAAAACTGAAAGAAGTAGCTTCATCGAGTACGAAGAAAAAAAGAACACACTAAAATTTGGTGTGCGTGCACCACTGAGAGTCACCCAGTAAAGCCTGAAATAATCATTTGAAAGTGGTTAAAGGTATCGGGATGGATTTTGCGGGAGTTTTTTTGGATCACGTCACGTCTTTGTGTATCAACATCACATGTACAGGCTCAAAAAGAAGGTCTGACTTGATGTTTAGGACTCAAATGCAAAATGTTTAAAGTCAGATTCATCCGCTTGTGGAGGTCTGAAGTATAACAAGAAATATCTTGTTACATTCTTAGGATGTTTATTTTGTTTTGCTTGTTTCTCTCTCTCCCTTTTTTTTTGGGAACCCACCTACTCGTGAGTGTGATTGGCCGGACTGGCTTGCTGTGGGTGCATGGGGTATGTATTCAGTAGCTGTTTCTGACTTCCTCGAGGCTTACCTCCATGGAGGCTTGGGGCGAACATTCAGCAGTTCAGCACAGCAGCACACTGTGTATGTGTACTGTCTTTTCTGTCAATGTATTAGCTTAGCACTTTATTTCTAGTGTTTACCAGTAAGCTTAAGGACGATGTCTGTAACTCTCTTATAACTGCTGACCAGTGTGTAGGAGTGGGTGCCATTTCTTTTGGCCTATGTTTTTCTCCTGTTTTTGGCCTAGTCAGGGAAAAACTGTGTACTTTCATTTTGTGAAGTCAAGTTAGTTCTTTAAACTCAAAGCTAGACTGGTTATGTTTGTTGTTTTGGCGCATATCCACTCTTGACATCTGTCCTGGTTTGGTTTACAAGAAAAAACAAGAAAAGAAAAGAAAGTAACAGGACAAACTGCTCTCTTTTGTTTTCTTTATGTTATGACTATAGCAAAACCCCCAGACAGATCATAACACTCCTGAAAATAAATAACTTGTACAGGATGGCCATTTTGACTATACATTTCGTAAATGAGGGGTGGTCTCAGACTTTTGCACAGTAGTGTATATAACTCGTATTAAACTTGACAATTAGTTAGAAGTTGGAATATTTTTTGAAAGACTATATATACACACACTTCTGTATTGTTTAGTTAGGTCCATTTTTATTGGTTAGTCTCTCTTAAAAGCTGTGGTTGATTAATTGAGCACCAAATAATTTTTAATATAATCAATAGTGGCATCCTTACTACAGATGACACTCTCATATGAGAAAACTCAAATTTGTGAGGAAAATGTCATAAATTCAGTACCACGTGGGAGACAGAGGGGACGTGTGCAGGCCCGGAATCCATTAAGGAGGACCCAGAGTGCGAGGGGGTCAGCCCACTCATCCTCTGAGAATAGCTCCCTGTATGGAAAAGCAAAATTTCAACATTTTCAAGCCTGTCCCACACCAGCAGTCATGAAAGTAAGATCAGTTAAGTGCTGAAAAAAAGCAAACACACCTCTTCTGCAAACATAAGCAGAGCAATCAGGATAAGCAGCGCAGGACTGCAGCTGGTCATTCACAAGACTAGATCATGTGACTTCCCATTGCTACCAGTACATCACACTTGGATAAGCACCACCAAAAAGAGAATGAATGAATAAACCTCTACACTCCTTTGATGAAATACACATGAAATCTGTGAGGAAATACATGCTTTTGGACTGGAAAAGTAGATGAAAACATCTGTGTTCATTTGCAATGCCTTCCTCCTACCATTTTCTCTTCACAACGGTTTTAAAAAGGAAGATAGACCAGGGCATGCCCGCTTCTCATTTTCCTCTTTTTCTCAGATCACATGCTTGTTTTGTGCAGTATCCCACACCAACACAGAAACAGCTGACTCTCACTGTACAAAAACAGCTTGACATCACAAGATTTTACTCATTTAAAGATTTACTGCCCAGCTGAAGCATTTTCACTTCTCCTTCAGAGTTTAAGTCACTTAAAGGGTAAAATAAAACTGAGAATTACGCAAAGATTAGCACATCACAAAGCATCCAATAGCTTTATAGGCTACTTCAATTCCATAGTTGTAAATCCCAGTCAGGGGTGGGGACCCACTATCCTGCACAGTTTACAATGTGTCCTAACAGGATGTGCCTTGTAGGCACAGTATGGAATCAACAGTGCACCTGCTACCTTACACACTTACTGTACTGTAACCATGAGAAACATAAGTCTTCACAAATGTGTCTCTAGAACTGTAACTTTTCAGGAGAAGTAGCAAACCTTTCTAACTTTGAATGGAATATTTCCCCCCCTTGTAATTTTGGACCACTTCTATTAGCCCATCATCATGAAATTATAGAACACTGTAAAAGGCAGCTGATCTTTTCCAATTCTTGAATTCTTAAAATAAACAACATAAATAAAGGTTTTGCTCCGACACCTACAATATGCTTTGTTTTTGTGGACTACAGAGGCAACACAATCCAGAGTCTACTCATGTGTACATGTGGCACTCAATGTCTTTATCAGCATATTGTTGCAATCAAAAACAAAACCTTGTACCTCCAAAAAAGAAATTTTACAGAATGAACAAAAAATAATTTTCAATGTAAGTTAAAGCTGCATTATGTAAGCATTTTTGTTAAAACTGAAAGGTGTAGCATTACTCAGTCAGGAGCTAAATAAATAAATAAATAAATAAATAAATAAATCAAAAAAATGCCGTCGCTCTGTAAAACCTGAAATAATCATTTTAAAGGCAGAGGTGCCGGCTCACAGTTTTTGGAGCATGTCATATGTCTTTAGGTATTAATGTCAAGTGATTCAATTTTTTGGTGTCAAAAGTAAAATCAACATTATACTGATGAAGATAGTACAAGAGTAGAGTTTCAACAGTAGAAAATTCAGGCACATCCTCAGAGGACACAACCTTCCCAAAGTTTTGACTGAGCTCTCTTTAAATTAAGGCACTCACAAAAGCCAGATTCATCCACTTGGGGAAGGGTTTAGAAGCACAACGAACGTTACAAAATGTTTTCATGTGACACGTGCAATTACACATTTCAACCAGAGAGGTCTCCAATACCCTAAATCTCACATAGTGCAGCTTTAATGTAACAACAATTCTTTATAATTATCATTCTGTACCATTTCTATTGTTGCATTCATGAAACTGTCACACAGTGTAAACAGAATCTGTCAATTTCACAAAGGAAAAAAGTAACGAAACAAATGACAAATTGTTGCATTTTGTAAATCTGGTAAAATGCTGTATGGAAACCTGAGATATATACAAAGTAGATTTCTCTAAAGTTTTGAATACTTACTGCACCTGTTATACTTCTACTTTGAAGGTGAATTTACATACAATTAGAGGTATAACTATTCTCAAAATCCATGGTTTGGGCGAGACCTCAATTTTCAAGCAGCGGTTCAGCTCTTACCTCAGGTTGTTTTTTTGCTTTATTTTGTTTTTTTATGGGTTTTGTTACATTAGTAACGTAATAAGAGTTCAACAGGCCACACCAGTTAAGTCCAGTTGGTCCAGTTAATCAAATAAACATATTAAAGTTATTTTAAATCGTTAATCAATAAAACATACTTAAAAAAGTTATTTTAAATTGGTTTAAGCTTCCTTAAAGTTTACATAACCGAGTGTAGCTCACTGCACCAAAACCTGACTCTATGAAAGATTTCCCCCACCAGGATCCATAGTAGGATCTGCAGAACGGTTCTGATTTGCTCTAGATAAGCCTGTACTCTGACCTAATTTAGTAAGTATTTATTAAATGTACATTTTCTTTCTTACCCCGTTCCCTTCTGTCCTTCCCTGGAAAAATCGAGGTCAAAACCAGCCCCTTTAGTGAACTGAGCTAACTGCAGAGCCCTGTGACATTGTGCCAGCCGGAGATGTCCACTCTGCTCTGTTGGTTTTAGCTTAATGTGTGCAGAGATCCGTGAGGAGACACAGCATACCTGCTGGATTACGCTTTCACCGCGTGGGCAGGACCAGATCTGAGCTCTGACTCCGCCTCTGTTATGTGAAGCTGAAATGCTGCTCATTCAAATTTTCCGTTCCACCTTAAATAGCGCAGCAGTTACACCCTGGGCCCTGTAACGTAGAATGTAACTGCTGCGCCATTTAAGGTAGAACGGAAAATTCTGCACACACATTCAGTCTTCAGTACAGATGAAGACCACTCTTCTCAAAGACTGTTCAGTACTAGATGTCTACTCTGTAAGGTCAAGAGGTCAGAGAGACTGGAAAAGCCAGCTCGGTCTGTTTTTTGGGTCCCAAAACTTGAAAAAATGTAAGAAAAGAGGCAGAGGCAATATTTGCAAACCAAAATGGAGCTAATTTTCCTAACAAAAGAAGGGAATAGATATGCATTACGCTGGAGGGAGCTTCAAAAACCGGTTCTGTTTGTTCTGCTACTGAACTTTCTTCTCTGCTCTCTAAAGTAATGTCCTGACACCCTCGCTGCTCACAGTCCAGCTGGAGACCCCTCTGAAAACACTGCTCTGAAAACTTCGCTGTGACTCGTCTCTGACTTGTCTGCACTCTGAGCTAACACGCCTCTCTCTGACACTTCAACACACTATAACTTATCTCTGAAGATCTTCAGCTGTTGTTCAGCGTTGAACCCACATTTCTACTACAGCCCACACAGCCTACAGAGACGGGACACGACAATCAGAGCTAATCGAGCTGCAGGACGGGGCTACACACTTCATCCGCCCCAGCACAGTCGCCCTTCTTCAGCGGGGAGGGAACAGAAACACATGAACGCCGCCTTTGTTTATCTATAAATAACTGTTCGCTTTGTCACCGAACGGCATGACCGAAAACCGCGTTTCTAAAGCTGCAGATTAAATAAGTAAGCGGCTCGTAGTTTAATATACCGTTTATACAGTTCAGCTGAGCCCGTTAACCTACAGAAGAAGGTAAACTTACCAGAGGTGTCCATGATAACAGCAGCGTTTAACCCAAATCCATCGCTTCCACACGCGGCGCTCCGGGCAGCGCAGAGCCTGAGCCCCGAGTGCGGAGCCGCTGCTGACTTCGCTGCTCTTCTTCCTCTCTGCGCTTTCGGACTGAAGACCAGTCGAGCAGCGCCACCTGCTGTTCACCGTGAAAAGTGCAACGTTTACTGGAATCTCAGTGGAATTTCAGCGCCAGCAGAAAATCTTTCTGTACCCGGTTCATTGTCTCCCCACTGTAGTGCCAGGACTCTGTATTTAGCTATGTTAGCACCCTCCTATTTTTCCTCACAGTTTGTCTCACTATTATTGTAGAAAAAAATTGAATTAAAGGTATCAGCTCTTTATAATCTTGTAAAAAGTTTGGGCGCCCCAGGGCAAATTACATTTAGATGATTTTCTAAGTTAAAATAAACAGAACACACTTCTGTACATTTTAATGCACAGTTACTGTTTAATTGCTGAATTTAACAGGTACAAATAATAATAATAATAATAAGATATGGCCTGTGCAAAAGTTGTGGCACATTTCGTATTTTGTGTTTTCTTTTTTCCAATATTTTAAACTCAGCAAATAAATAGAAAATATGCAAAAAATGTCATATTTAAGCTTGTTTTCTGTAGAAGATGTGTTAACTTGCTTTCACTTGATCAGTAAGACGTGTAATTTGACGAGGAGCATTTGACCAAACAAGTAAAAAAAAAAGCTATTTATCTCAGTTTTTCATTATCTCTGTTTAAATGGTTTTCCATAACATTAAGCTTACTTGGTTTACTATCTAGACGAATGATGCAATTGGTCCTGCACTCTGATTGGCTAGTAGATCTTTGCAATCTGATTGGCTACTTAAATCTTGCACCCAATTGGTTAGTTGAATTGTGTAATCCCTGATTGTATGATCAGTATGTGACCAATACAGTCAATCCTGCAAACAAATGTTACATTTCTCTTTCAAATCACAATAAACTCTATCAAAGTCTTTAGTGCCTGTCTAATCTTCTTCACCCAGAGTTATTACATAAAATGGCAAAAATATGTTGCCTTATAGTACATGTAGGGTGCTGTAAGGCAAATAGTGCACAAAGAAACATTTTCTTCTCAGATTTTCTACTATTTTACCTTCATCAACATTACACACAAAACTTTGACATGTGTAGGTCCACTGGTCATTTTGCATAGTAGATAAAATGACTAAATTTGTGTTGTAGACATTGCACTCCAAGGTCCCATCACTACCACTGTAAAGAAAACTGAGTCAGTAAGTTCCATCTCAACAATTTAATAATGCAGAAATTTTGAAAAATCGGTGGAATTCCCCTTTAAGCACTGCTTGAGTGAAAAACATAAGATGAATGCTTCAGCTTTTTTCGCACAATGTAAAGGCACAATGTAAAGGGCAGCTGTCATGCTCAATTGATGTAGAAAAATAAAAATTGATATATTAATATGTCTGTTACAAGCTTGTCTTACAAAGACTGTCTTTTGCTAGTTTCAAATCTCTGTGTTTAAACTAGAACAGCCAAAAAATGTTTATGTGAATTGCCGCTGGTTTAGTGTTGCTACTAGAATCCCGTAGGGACTCTAGGGGAAATTAGCGTTATTGTGCAGGTGTTTTTCTTCCCTTATTTCTGATCAAATTTTCATGTCACCATTCAACACTTACAGTTAGTCACTATTTCTCCTTTTATGTTTAGTGCTATCATATTACATTAGTGACAACATCTGTACTGCTTTGACGTTGGTCATACCTCTCAGTTTTGCAATTTAAAATTTTATTTTAGACCATGAAAAAAAAATCTAATCAAAAAGAGAAGAATACAGCCTGCTTATAGATGCTGGATGTAATAAGAGGTTCCACTGCAGTTCTATAAGTCACTCAGTGATATTTTATTTTCTATTTCTGTTAGCCCATTTCACCCTGAGATGCACTACAGTCCCCAGCATGCACTGCAACATAGTGTGTGCTCTGACCCCCAACAACAATCTATGGGCCAGCGGTTACATAAAAAACTAACTAAAACTAAACAAAAAAACTAAAGCAATTTATTTTTATTTAGAATTATTTTTGAATAAGTAATCAATGCCTATTTTGCTGTTGCAGTTTTGGTATGTTTTGAATAAAAATACAGCTGGCCCACAAATTTGCTGAGATTTTTTAATATGGCCCTTTTAAACCCCTTATTTAGAGTATAGTCTGGTATACACAACTTATTGTAAACCTGTCAAGCTTATGTTTTCCGTAAGTGCACACTTGAAGGCCCGTTACCTTTTTTGAAAACAGATTTTTTTTTTTGGATGGTATGGGAATAATGAAGTTTTTTCCTAGAACCATATTTCCAAGCCCAGTACTTAGGACTTAGGAGCCTTTATTTTAAAGCTCTTCACAGCAACTACTCAAATGCAGATCATCTTACAGTTTTAAAATCACTAAGAAGCATTTTTCAGTGCCAAGTTTACTTTTTCAAAACTCTTCACACCCCTCCCTGCAGAAACATGCAGCTCAGTACAACAGTTAATGTTATACTCTGAGTGCTCTACAGCATAAAAACCTTGCAGAAACATCTCAAAATACATTCAGTCCAGCAAAACATCAACACTAGTGTTCTTATAACAAAAATACTCTGTCAATCAGAATACACTTAGTTACAAAACACTAACAACTGTTTGCAACACAGTAGTTTCCATATTTTAAGTAAATCTATAACGTAGTAAGGAGTCATTAGCTCTGCAGTTTTGTCTTACATTGTAATTAGTTTATTTTTCTTTGGCTGATCATGTAAAAAGTGGAACAGGCAGAAGTTGATTTGAAATGTTTTTAAAGTTCGACTTAAAGTAAAATCGTGATTTTATTCATCTAAACTAAACATGTGCTTCGTACTGCTTTACTGAAAGTGTTTATTTGAGTTGAATAAAACTGAATAAAACTAAATTGTTTGTTACTACATGAAGCATTTTTTAGGTTGATTTCACAAACATTTTTTTTTACAATGATTGAAAAACTAATCACGTCCAAAAACAGTACAAAACAGAAATGCTGTATTTTCATTGTATAGGAACAAATGAAATGAACATTATATAGCAAAGAAAAAAGTCACAGATAGTGTAAATGTTACTCTAAATGTTGCCTAATCTGCATAATTTGACCACATGTTCTCATCCACGTCACTCCTGATGTCTAAAATTGCTTATGCACGTACAATAAGCACTGTCTGCTGTGAGCAAACTCCAGAAAAAAACAAAAACAAAACAACAAAAAAACCCCAAAACAACCCTTATAGATGGTCAGCGCCTGGGCTGGACTTCAGCTCAGATGGGAATCAGCTCTGATTGGCTTATTTACATACAGTCAATCAGCAGTTTGTCTCTATAACCATTATCATCATTTGGCTTCGTTTGTTGTCTGATATAGTTTTATCAAACTGACATGCAGTTTATTTTCATGCTAGTTTCTGGTGTAACAGTTCTGTAACAAGTATGTATATAAATGTAGATGCAGCATTTCTTAGCCTTATCGTTCTGTTTTTCTCCAGTACAGCCTGCTGCTTGTTGTACACTATGCAGGTGCATTCTTACACAAGAGACCCGCGGTGAGTTTTGACTGAGTGAATAATGAGGTGTAAAGAGAACATGCTGTCTTTCTTATCTGGTCCATATGCTGCATCTTTTTTTAGCTACATACATGCAGCACATGTTTATTTCTCTGGAGAAAATCACACTAAACGCATTCGTCCACCAAACCATAAGAACAACAGCTGAAGCACCTGGCTGTTTCTTCCTCCAGATACTCCAGAAATCTCACGTGGCTTGGCAGGCATGTTCATCTGGCTGGTCATATTATCTAGGATGCTTTTAAGCAAAAGCAATTCTTAGTATTTAATTAAAAGTTGCCCTTTGAGGCAACAGCCTACTCATCAAATACAGTGTCCTGAATGAGACAATGCTTGTTAAGAAGTATAAGCAGAGAATAGGCCAGTGGAAAGTGATTTAGCGGATAAAGAAAAAAGCGGAATCCCACAACATAACAAAAACATTGACAAGTTTCAAGTTCCTCATCATCAGGCTGTATAGTAGGAATCTCAGAGGCTGTATCTGTTCCTACATTCATGAAAGAGGTGGAAGGATTTCCTTTATGTGTTGAAAACATCATTTTTAACATGAATTAATATTCTGTAGCGCAGCTATTAAATCAAACCTGACTGCTTCAGCCAGGAAACTTAAACTGGATTGTGGTTGAATCTTCCAGCAGGACACCACACTATTTTTCAAATAAAGGTTAGATTTTAGTTAACATTTCAAATGAAAGGGACCGTTTTGCTCATGTTTACCAGGGGCGCCAATATTTATATGCTGATGAATATTTATTCAGGCCCCAGGCAACAAATTTATAACCATTTCATGCAATAACTTTCTGTGAAGAAGGCTTTAAAGGCAGACATCAGGTTCCTGTCACCACCACTGTGAACAACTGTGACTCAACAGTCTTCTATAGAATGGTGCATTTCACATCAAACCACTCTGAATGACTTTGTTCACATTTTTAAAGAATGAAATATGCAGAGTTTTTGTTTTTTTTTTAATTGGTGGAATTACCCTTTAAGATCCAAGGCTTATTACATCCTGGCCATGTAAAGGATTAAGTTAGGTCAGAAGTAGTTTACTATTGTTGAGATAAGTTTACCCTAAAAATGCTTGTCTAAGGTGGTTTGGTTTTCGTTGAAAAACAACACATTCTGTCTCTATTCAGTCACATCTGTGGGTTCAGATGAAGATGGCACATTTTGTGTTACTTTCAGCAAAATAAATGTTGAAATATCTCTATACTCAGCTGTGGATAACACATTTTGGGTTACTGTTAACACAGAATGTGTTAAATCAGTGACAATATGACCCAAAAAAGTGTTAATGGGTAAAACAGGTTAGTGTGTTGTTATTTAACACATCACTTTTTATAGTTTATGTCGTGTTTTATGTGTTACAGTGCTGTTCTCTGGACTGCCTTATAATTATTTGATTTATTGAATTATCTGATTGTCTTTAGATGAGCAGCAGTTGACGGCTCTATTGATTGATTGATTGATTCATTCATTCATTCATTAATTGGTAAAAATTATATGTGGTTTGTGTTGTCATAGCCATTTTTCATAGCCAGAAGTTTGTTTCATGTAATTTTTTTTTCTATAAAGGTCATACCTTTCCTAGGAAGTCTATCGCTTTTGTTCCTCTCAGTCCTTCTGCTGCTGCTGAGATAGCAATAACAACTGCCACAGCAGAAGATATGAGAAGAAGTAGGCAGAGTCCATAACCACACCTTTGTTAGCAGACACTTTAACAACTGCTTTAGCTCCAAATGCAGACGCCATAAACCTTTTTTGCAATAACTGTGACTTAAAGGGGAATTCCACTGATTCAACATTTCTGAATAATTAAATCATTAAATATTAAACAGTTATTCAGAAAGGTTTGATGTGAAATGTATCAATATTCTAGAGAAACGTACTGAATTATAAGGCAAAAATAATACCCAATGAAAACAGATTTTCAGATTTACCACTGTTTTATCATCATCAACACTATATATATGGACCATTCTGCCAAAGAAGTTGAAACTGCAGTCCCACAGTAAAAAAATTGAAAAAATGAGTGTTCAAAGGTATTCAGATCTTGCATATTAACAAGGATTACATTATGAACTATTTAAATGCAAGACATTAATTGAGATATAAACAAAATTTGCACAAAATCATCATTTATAAGGTACCTTCTAGTGGGAAGTGTCTGTTCCAAATAAATTGTCACCCCTAAATTTCAACTTGTAAATAAAATGAAAATATATATGCAATATATATGAAATATATATATATTATTCTGAATTTTTGTTTTCTTCTGGTTTTTTTTTTATATATCTTTGATTTCTTTTAATGTGAAGTTGAATGATTTGAATTTATCATAAGTTTCATTTTTTTAATGAAAAAAGTCTGAAAATCAGCATGTAATATTAGGTATTTTACTACTGCAACACATATTTTCTGCAGTTGAGCAAACTTTTTTGTGTTTTAATGAAGATATATGCGTGTATTTGTGTGTATAATACATGTGCATACAGCTATTCAAAGTTGTGTTTGCTTGTCATGTACAGGTTAGCGTTTCTGAGTTCTGCTCAAAATGAGCTAAAATTGTCACTACTGATCACTACTGAAACATTTGGTAGTTTCGGAAGTGACATGATTATTTAGATAGTGGCAAAATGGAAATTTCAAGCATTTATTTATTAGCCTAAAGTCCAAATAAATCCAAATAAAAACTCGTCAGGCACAGGTTGGTTCACTGGTGGTTTAGGAAAGTAAATAAAATGGCTATATTTGCACTGTAGACATCACAACCTCTGGTTCCTATCATCAACACTGTAAAGAAATCAGTACATGTCTTTACAGCAAACTATTATTTCATATTAAAACACTCTGAATGACTTTTATGTCTCAGTGAAGTATGCAGAAATTTTTAAATATGTGTTTCAGGCAAAAAAACTTTGCTAAACTATGGTGAAACAGATTTTTTCATTAGGCAGCATATTCATATTTTTCTGTCGTGTAGCTTTTAGAGACATTACATGGTTCGGATGTCTGGTTGCTGCCACTACCATTATGAATTATGTTTACAACTTAACAGCTGAATTATGCAGGAATTTTGAAAAATCTCTCGAATTTATCTTTGAGGGTTAAATGGAAGATCATGTGTATTTGATTTTTGCCTGTGTTCCTTTGAGATAAACGCATAAAAGCAGAGATACATTAGCTAACAGACCGTTCCATGAGTTTTTCAAATGTGTGGTTTTTTGGCTCACAACTGGACAGAACGGCTTTATACAAGATTGTTTGCAAATCTAATTATCTAAAACACATGATTTCTGGGAAAGAATGAGAAAACTAGATCAGGTACAGTTGTTTTGATGATTATGTTTTACACTGAATGAATTCTAAAGCTGATCAGCTTTCTCTCTTATTTGGAAGTGTCATCTGGACATCACTGGCTTAGTTGGGAATGAGTCACTAAAGCTTTGTATTTAGACAAACACCAAACAAATGTGTGTAACACATTCTGTGTAAGAGAAATGATGATGATGATGATGATGATGATGATGATGATGATTATAGAGGTGATGTTATTTATATGCTTCAGTTCTATATATTATGCAGCAAATAAGAAAGCCTTCTATTTCCACAATATAATTTCTGCAGGGGACAAAAGCAGCTGTGAGTCTTCACCGTTTTGGCCCAGTTCCTCTAAGGTGGTTGTAATTAGTTTATACTTTTACTGTTTCATAAGGTATAAAAGGAACAGCAACATTTCAGTTTGTGAAATGGAGATTTTGTGGCCGCAGCCAGAACGGGAAGGTGCTGAGAAATAACACGTCTCCACAATAGGGGTCACTGTTGTGCTTCAATGGCACTTTTAATAAAACAGACATTTCATCTTCACAACAGCAATGTCTGGACATGGAGAGGAAGGGGAAAGTGGGTCAGGGCTCTCTGTGCTGGCACGCTGGTTTGCTCTTGTTTGACTCGGGAGTTATTTAAAAGGAGACCTGGACAGGTTATTGGACACAGTGAAGGGAAGACAAGGCAAGTGCTGAAGGCTCTCTCTCTCATTTTGAACTCAGAAACGCTCAGTCCAGCACAAAGAGCCCTGACCGTTCGACTGGTCTCACCCTCCCTCTCCTTTATTTACAGATAAAATTACATACATTCATTGATTTCACTAGGTAACAAAGCTGATCAATCAATATTTTACAGAGATCCATTTTCATCCACGTCTCACTTCTGTTTTCGTGACTTTTTTTTTCACTCTCCGTTAGCCTGTTTTCCTGGCACATGAATTATAGCTCATTTCTAATGACCCCCTAACCCTGTGTTGACTTAAGTCCCATAAAACAATATGTATAACTATTTACACAAGCAGTAATCTTTTAACTACGCCGTCACAAAAACCATGACACCACTTCCCACCCTTTCGCTCATCAGCCCCACCCACATGTGTCCCAAAATCCATTCCAATGAAAAAAGCAATAAGACCAAAAATGAAAATCACCCTAGGCTCGCTGCCCCATTTAAACGCTGTGAATGCCTATCCCATCCCGTTTTAAAAGTGCATGCCTAGATTTAACAATTAAAAAATGACAATGCCTGTACAGAAAAAAAGACCCCCAATCATCTTACCTCCTCCCCCTACCTCCCCCCACAAACATGGTGCGTGGACAAAAGTTGCGTTTTCTTTCTTCTTGAGTCTTAGTCTTCTTTTTTTTCTCAAAATACTGGACTGTGTCGGGTGGCCGTAGAAAGTCTAGAAGGTGGTTCTGACAGCAGTGGGACTGTTGAAGAGGGTCTCTGAGGCAGCATTTGGTAATGGGACAGTTGGGGGGGGTACTGCTGTTGAGAGTCAAAGGTGACGGGGGCTGGGATGACCGTTATGGTAGAGCTTCTGCTTGATGTGCACCATGTTTCCACTGGAGTCTTCCAGCTGTCGTAACTGTGCACGTCTGCGGAGATCCCGCAGGTTACAGAACTGAGGGAGCCAGGACCAGGACGGTGTATCTGTGAATGGAGAGAAACAAAGACAGTTAATTCATTAATTAGATAAAAGTGCCAAAAAGGATTCTTTGGAGCGATGCCTTAGAAGAACCTCTGAAAGTGGGAAATGAGTGTGAAGAACCTTTTTGAATTTTAAGTTTCCATAGAGCCATACATCTAAGCCAATAACTGTTTTTTATAACTACATTTGAAGATCATCCCCAAAGATCATAAATTCCATTTTTCAGTTTCTATTTTTAGCGTTCCCTACAGTGGACAAGGTTGCCAGGTCCAGCAAAAATCTCTAGGCCGAAGCTGCCTCCAACAGAACCTGAAACTTTACAATTTTTCCTGCATGACTGGACTGCATATTCAAACTAAAAAATTTGGAAAATGCAAACCTGGCAACCCTGAGAGCAGGTGCGCACACTGTACCAAACACTCAACAGCAAAACCAATGAAAAAAGTGAAAGCACACAATTCTATGTAAACGTCTCTCCTGTAGGTGCCAGTGCTCTGACCTGATAGGAACTTGCCGATTTGACTAAGAAATTCCATAGTTAGTGTAAATCTCACGTACAGATAGACTGAAAATACCAATAATATAGATCTTAAGTGATTTCACATTAATCCAAATGGGGTGGAAAGGGGGTTGGTTGTTTTACAAGGAGGAAGGTTTTTTTTTGACCAGAGGGACGGCATCACCTCACATCACCCCTCAAATCAAGCCTCGTCTGTTAAAAACCTGACAAGTAAACAGTTTTCTTTTAGTATACATGGAGTCCCATTGCTGAATTTGAAAACAGGCATTTTTATTTATTTTTTCATTCTATCTACACTCCCGCAAAGGCTTCTTTGATCGATGCCATATAAAAGAGCGACCGTTGCTTCCCTAAAGAGAGTGTGAAAAACCTTTTAAAGGCTTCAAGAGCCTTCACTTAAGCTTTTTATAGTAAATTAGGGGCTCTTCCCAGAACCTGTACATTATGTGGAGGTTATTTAGCTTTAAAGGTTCTTCACACTCACATATCTCATTTATCAAAAAGGTTCTCAAAATAACCATTCATTAAATGGTTTTTAAGGTAACCAACAGTGGTTCTACTATGGCACTGTGCAAAGAACCCTTTCTGGCACCTTGAATTTTAAGTGTAGATTAACATTACTGACCTTAACATTTTTCAAGTTTCTCACAGCAGCAGTGAAGCTGTGTTGTTCTGTCTCATTTTTTAAAATTGTTTTTCCAGGATTATCTACATTTTTCAGGACAGTCTATGTTAGACTGATCTTGACTGAAACACACATGCACTATATGTCCAAAAGTAGACAGACACCTCTTCTCATTAGTGAATTCAGCTACTTTAAGGTGAACCCAAGTGTTCAATTGTACAATAATCTTTTAAATAATCTCTATAGCAAAATATCATCAATAGAATGGGATGCCTAATGTTGCTATGCCCAATGTCAGGCGTCACTCCTGGGGACCCACTGCCCGGCACAGTTTCAGGCCTTCTCTGCCCCAACACCTAACCCAGTTCATGAAGAGCTTTATATTTACCTGAAGAGCTGGATCAGCTGTGTTGGGGCAGGGAATAGTTGAAACTGAGTTCACTGGGATAGACAGTTATGAACCCCCCAAGCATTAGACTGTGGAGTAGGGGATCAGATTCTCTGGAATGATGAAGCTCCACTCAATACCTTTGGGATGAGTTAGAGTGGAGCTGGTGATCCAGAACTAATTACCCAACATCAGTACCTGACCTGACTAATGCTCTTGTGTCTGACTGCATTCAAATTCTCATAGCAATGTTCCAACATCTAGTAAAAAGTCCATCCAGAAGAGCAGAGGCTGTTACTGCAGCAAAGAGGGAAAAACACTCTATTAGTACCCTTGATTTCCAAAGAAACACTGGATGAGCAGATGTCTACAAACTTCTGGACAGTGTATATGAGTAGTGAATATAAGCTCAATTCTTATAAGCTAATACATGAAGGTCAAAGTATGGCTTTAAATATAGAGAACTAATTTTCAGAAAAGAGCACTAAAAACAGTGACTGGATAGTGGATAACACAAAATAAAGCATAACATAAAAATGTTTGAAATTATAGATTGTAGCAAAATCTCAGCTCTTCAAATTTATACCTTATAGGAACTTTATAGGAAGTGGGAAAACGTTCTTAAATTGAATGGAAGTTAATGTAATGAGGTTTATTCCATTTTATTCAGTTTGATTTTATTTCTGTTGTTTCATAGTGTGAAGAGTAGTGTGAAGAACAAAAATGGAACATGACATGATGTGACAATGACGATTTGCTGAATAAAGGAATAATTGATTCTATAATTACAGCAATGAAACACACTGCTTTACTACATACCCATCTGTGGTGAATTTATTTATTATAAGAGTGGTTGGCAATAGTGTTGATAAGCGTAGAGAATTAAGGCTTGGTTTGTAGACCTGGAGACACCAACCCGAACACACACACAGAGAGTGAGAAAGAGAGAGAGAGAGAGAATGAGAGAGTGAAAGAGAGAGAGAGAGATCCCCAGACAGCCCTGCCCCTCACCGATGGCCGAGCTAGAAAGGAGGGGATGGTTATTTATAGCATTCTACGGGTATGCCATCCACAAGGACTCTTGTGAAGGGTATTCAGAAGAAGCTAATAAATAAAGGCTGTGATTTAAATCCTTCATTTGAATAAAAACAAACTGCCTCAGATGCCAGGGGACGTACACATGGACGTAATCGTAATGAACTGTATGGAGCTAATGCAGCACAGGCTCTGCTCAAATTAGCATAGCACACATCAGCACTAAGTCATCTCCTACCTTCTATATGTGCATTTCTTAATGACCAAAATGCATATAATATTCTACAATAATAATAATAATAATAATAACAACCATAATAATAATAATAGTAACAACCATAATATAATATACAACCCCATCATCAAACATACTAAACCCAGTTTATATAGAAAATTAAACTTCAAAAAAGAGAATTGATGAGGAATAAGGATGAGGGCAAGGATACAGCATGATGCCCTCGGTTAGTGGTCTGTGGAGGAACGGGTTGGGGGGGAGAAATGGAATTAGAGAATGAGAGCTATAAAAAAATCAATGTGTAGTTCTCTGTGCAGCATGTGTGTGTGTGTGTGTGTGTGTGTGTGTGTGTGTGTGTGTGTGTCATCTCACTCACACATGTCTCCCCCCTTGCTTGCCTTCTCTTTCCAGCTGCTCTCTTTCTATTTATAGCACTCACGAAGCGAGAGGGTGCAGGAGGAGTGAAAGTGTGTGTATGTGTGTGGGGGTGGGGATGTGACAGCATCTCCCCCCTCTCTGTTCTCTCTCTACCTCGCTTTCTCTCTCAGTCTCACCTTCACTCCTCTATCTCAGAGAGGCTAAACGAGGCTGACCTGCCATCAACGTCATGCTTTCACAGCGCCACTGCGGGGGCATCCCCACGATTCCTCATCAGCTTATGCTGGTTGGTGAATCAATGCACCATGATATCATGATGTTCAGTGCTGTGTATGGTTGTGTGAAGTCCAGCCATACACTTTTTAAAAAGGAGGTTCTCCAGCAGTTGAAGAACTGGTTACATATGGACCATTCTACCAAATTATTTCAAACTGTGGCCCCATAGTAAAATAAAAAAAATATTTAAAAGAATTAAGTATTCAGTATTATGTAGTAACAAGCTAAATATAGACAACATCATCATGTATAGGGTACTTTCTATTGGGAGATGCCTGTTCCAAACCATAACCCCTAAATTTCAATTTCTAAAAATATTTTTTTGGGATTTTAAATATTTTTTGGTTTTTAAATAAAAAAATGTCAAAAACACCAAAAATGCCGTCCAATGTTTTCATGTCACTACCAAAAGTTTTGGTCAATAGGCAGAGCAATATTTTAGCCACACCCCTGCATTTTAGAGCAGGAAGTGAGACTGCATCCCTGTCCCTCATGGAAACATGGTGAGCAGTTAGATCCCATTGTTTTGATCCCACTTTGTGTCCCAAAGTCTGAAAATCAGTGTGCAACATTAAGAATTGACACTAATGAAATGCATATTTTCTGCAATGAAGTAAGCAAAATGTAATGTTCAATCATTTGTTTTAATAAAAGAAATATCATTTAGGTATAGGGTCACTCAAAGCAAAAGGAACTTTTGCATCTTAGACATTGGTTCTTTTCATATGTGCCATTCTAATGATGCCACAGTTATTGAGTCGAGCACAGTTTGGTGATTTCCCTGCTCAAACACACCAACTAAACCCGGTCAATAACTGAAACAGGTCCGTTTAAGCAGAAGTGTCACCTAACTGTTCCAGACTCTGGCCCTCTAGGACCAGAACTGAAAAGCATTAATTTATGAACTACAATTCAAAAGTCTGGAATCATTTGTTACATTAACAATTGTTGTTATTTTATTCAGTAATAACTTATACAGTGTAGCTTGAAATACCATAATCTAGACACCAAAAGGTATTGTAAGACATTTTATTTATTTAAGTTTTTTGAGAACAAAAGATTAAATGATAAATAATATACTATAATTATGTTGTGAACTCCAAACTTTTGAATGCTAGTATATATGGTTACACTATTACTATGCTCGTTTTAAGAAAGCTCCTATGCAAAGCAATATAACAATAATACATCAGAACTTAAATGGGATTTCATTAACTTGATTAACCTTTAAAATCCCAGGTGTATTACATAGTAAGGTTTATTATTCAGTAACTACAAAGACTTCAATGCAAACTGGTTGAGCTATTTTGCAAACTGAGCTATTCTTAGGTTATAGAAGTGTATATTAAGTCTCTGGGCCTGCTGGCAGGCGCTGACCATGTAAGAGGTTAATGTACACTTAAATATCATTGACTGCTTTCTGTGTGGGATATGATCATGTTTAATGTACATCCACTAGCATATGTGGTCCCAGGCCACAGACATCTCAGTGTGACTTAAGCAATGTCTGCACATGGCTGAAATATTTAAAGAAAACCTGTCCACTCCTTTTTAACACTTCTGTTTTGCCTGATTTTTTAATTTGCTACTTCTTTTAACTGCAATGCCCCTGGGATGGTTAGTGCATGCTGAAGCTGAAGGCATTCTCTTTTTGAAAGAGGCACTTACATTTACAGACACAACATATGTACCTCTGCGGCCCAGTGGACCGAGATGACTGTAACAAACAACTGCTGTGTTGCCTGGTGGTTCAGTTACATCGACCCAAAGCATACTTTTCACTCCAATAACCACATCCATAACTACAGAAGCAGCGACGGCAGCATGAGAAAAGTGTTTACTACATGCAGAAGTTTAGAAATATGCAACAAATTTAAATGTCTGAGATTCTGAAATTCATGTCATTTACACATGACTTTACATTATCATGTTGAGCTGTTAAGTAATCTCAAAAATTCTTAAACGTGTTTATATATTTTATATTAAATGTGTTTATATGTTTTTTTAATATGAGCAAATATATGTACATACATTTTTCTTCTATATGGAACTTTTGTAGTCTTAAAGCTATACTATTTAGGTTTTAGGGATTTGGAGAACTGCAGAATGTGTGGAAGAACGCTTTGTGACGTGGGTTGTTCTTCGGACCCCCACGTATGATGTGGTTTGGAAAATTATGGCGAAATCTGACCTCTTCTTTTAAATTATTTCACACTTTGCATGGTGACTTGCAGCAGCACACATACACCATATTTTAGGATGTTCTTTTTTTCTCCTTACTCTGTAATACTACTTTTTTAATTTTAACAAAAATATGTAGTGTTGCTTTAATAACTGACATGTAACTGTTGTTATGTGATGTTCAGCTCCTAATGTGACTGATAAACAGTATAACACTGTTGTGAAAAATTACTGCCCTCATTATTATTTAACAGTCTGCGTGAACATTCAAGCATTTGATACTAGAAGCTAGCTAGATGTTACCTATGCTTTTGCATGCTGTAATAAACTAAGGACTCAGACTGTTGTGAGTGCACATTAGAGCTTTCACTACATGGTAGCTATATTAGCCTTGTAACTCCAGTACAAAATTAAGATGCTAACTTCAAACACTGAACATGATTTGGCTGCTCAGCTATGTTTGGGGTAAGGGGGTAAATTTGGCTGATCTATCCCATTAATGAATAAAAAGACCCTGTCCAATTACTGACACACTGATCAAACTTTAGTCACTGTATCTAAACCCCAATGGAAGAATCATTATCTTTAATGAACCATCAGAACAGAAATATCACTCCATCACCAAGCGAAGGAAGGGCATCCAAATATTAAGGTCCAAGTGTAATTCTATTGATTGTATAAAAACCTTTCAGACATTACTGATTAAGCAGCATCATTGTATTTGAATAGTAGTGAAATCCTCCATTATGTTCATCATATACAGGATCACACTATGGTCAACGCATTATATAAAAAGATGTGTGAGATTTGTGAGTTGAGGTCTTAAAAGATGGAACGACAACAGTTTCCAATAAGATCAACAGTATCCATTAAAAAAATAATAGTCTATTCAAATTTAAATTTGCTTAAGCAACAAAAAAAAGCAAGTTGGGAAAAAAGCGGCTCTGATTACCCATAATGATACAGAGGTGGTGACATATCCAAAGGTTTTTCCCATAAATGCAATTTACTGAGACGACTAGCGTGATTTAAATACTAAATTTGAAGAATTTCAGACATGATTCCCAAAGTCATTCTGAAACTGAAATCATATTGGGCACCTCATTTGTGAGCAATGTCTCAAAGCTCATTCTGTTTCCTGTAAAAACCTACTGAGTTTGTATTTGCACATATGTGTTCTTTTGCTGCAAGATTAGACAAGCTATACAAGACTTTAGCAAACCTAAGGAAAGCTTTTGTCACAATATTTCAGTTTAGATTCATTGATTTCAACTGACATTTATTTTGTATGTGTGTAAAAGAATACGCTATTGTGATAAATCAGATATGTATTTATTTTGCATGTAGATTTTTTATGTTATCAAACTAACATTAGCGTGGTGACTAATTTGTTGTTTTTGGCAATTTCAATTAGCTACAACATCACAATCCACCTTGTTAGCACAGCATAACATTATCATTTGTGACTAATAAAACACTCTGAATTTAAACTGTGTCCAATTCCACCCGCTAGCTAAGTCTCCCCCATCACACCATGCTACCAAGCCAGGAGGGTGAAGGCTAGCATGCGCTTCGTCCAAGACTGCATGTTTTTCAAACTGCTGTTAACACAACATCATTAGACGACTCAGTGTGCTTGGTGGAGAACGCCAATTGCCAATTCTGTTGGCTAGCACTGCGCTAAGTAAAGGGGAAGAGGACAGGCCAATTATGTTCTCCTGGCTCCCATTCCAATGCCAGCTTTAACGTGCCCTGGTCAACTTTACCTCCTCATTTCCCCTCTGGGGAATCCTCAATGCCATTTTAAGGGCCATTCTATTATTTTATTAGCTGAAGTTCACTTTATTAGCACATTTTATTAGTTCATTTTTATAGCTCACAGTAAGTCGTACTGTGTCTTAAACTGTATTGACAAACCTGTGCAATCGTAATGAAGACCTGGGTGCAGCTTGAGCAGGTTGAGAGAAGTTTTCGTGATGCATTTTTACAGAAATGATTTGGGCTATCTGAGGGAACATTGGGTTCCAGTGTTTGTTAGCAGTGTTACCCTTGCAGTGTTTGTTAGCAATGTTAGCCTAGATTTCCACATTTTTGGACTCCAAACATGTCTTGGCCAATTAACTACATTTGAGGTAAGCGAAAAATGGTTTAAAATGGACTTTTTACAGAACTATTCCTTCAAGCACTGTTTATCCACTAACACAGTGGATAATTTTGCAGTGTAAAAAGATTAAATGGTTAATGGTACCATTAGCTTCCCCCGTTTCCATACACCCATCATATTATGCAAATGATGAGCAACAGAAAAATATACTTCTAAGACGTGATTACTCATGACAATGGACATACGGAGTGTCAGCTCCAAAGGCTCTAATTTATTCCCTAAACATGCGAGGTGTTAGAGTGAATCATTCCTCCAAATGCAGTTACTCTCACAAACAAAAATATCTTCATCTGTCACATTTTGAATCATACAGCATATCAACTGAATTTGATATAAGTTTGCACACGCATCTTTAAGCCTTTATATTAACTTGTGTACATGCTTTCTTGCCCACCCCCCCCACCGGCTGAGTGGCCCCATCACACTCACCATAGTAGCGGCTGGCCCTCCAGGCCCTCACAGCGCAGTGTAACGCTCCATCCAGCCACAGTAGCAGCCAGCTGATGCAGAAGCCTAGCAACAGCCCCAGCATGAGGTCCATCTCCTGCTTTGTCACACTGTCGCTCACAAAGTAGTTCTCCGATGAGTCCACCAACGAATGGTCCCCATCATATGGAATTACATAATGGACATGGTGCCTGTGATAGAAAGAAAACACTGAGCCTTGACATTTAGATACAAATAAACAAAGAGACCAAAATACTGAAGGCAGTGTGGGTTTGCTCAGAAAGCACACAGACGCCTGACACACTTAAAAGAGCCAAAAGAGAACAGATAGACACACTATTAAATATAAAGGTACAGAAAAGGATTCTTTGGGGTGATGCCTTAGAAGAAAACACTTCTGGTTCTCTAATGAATCTTTTAATAGATGGCTCTTTAAAGTAAATGTAAAGGAAATGTGAACAGAACCCTATTCAAAAATTTCTATATAGAACATTTACAGCACATTCTTCAATCAGAAGAACACTTTCATGATTTAATCAAGCAAAATGGGTCTTTGAGCATTTATGGTTTCATATAGAACAATTTTCTTTGCTAAACAACCCTTGAAGAACCATCTTTTTTAAGAGTGGAGGCTATTGGCATAAGCACTTATAAATGTGTCATAAAGGACTTGAGTTATGTGTGTGTTGTGAATGTATTATAAAGTCCTAAATAGAGATCTTCAAATACATCCTTATTACAGAAACATGAGACATCAATAACACTGCAGTTGTATTCAGTTTTGACTAAACCATCTGTGCACTTCCACCCACCCGGATAAATGACTTTTTTCCTTTAGTGTCCATATGGCATAGACCTGAAACAGATCAGAACTGCAAGCTATATAACAGTAACTCAAAATCTAGCAGTCTATTGCTTTTTATTGCTCATTTGGCTTCCGGTTATCTAAATTTCCTTTACCAACAAGGTCTACAGGCACAGCTTTTTGAGATCATCTGGTGTTTAGACTATTGCATCAAATGTTGCAGCCATGTCTTTTAAAGTTGTTTCAGAATGCTTTAATAAAAATGCTTCAATAAAAATAAAAATGACTGTCTTACAGTTTAACAAACTGAACATGTGCCGTATTTTACACTGTATTTCATAAATGACGATAAAAGCAGACTTCAAATTATTCATACACAGATGAATCTATAGGCTATACTAGCCCAAGGAGGTGAAAACATACTCAAAACACTTGTAATACAGACCAGTTGCTTTGTCCCCTGCCCACTGGCTTCTATCATAAGCATATTTTGAGTCAACAGATTTTCTGTTTTTTTGTAAGTACAGGGAAATATGTCAAAATTATAGTCTGTGGTAATTAATCATAAGATCAAAATCCTTATAGGAAAGTCTGTCCACTCAACAGCCACCTTTGCAAATGCCCGCCTGGCATTTACTTCCAGTCACACAAGACCAGGCTTCTATTGCTTTGAATTGGGAGAAACATATAAAACAGAAACTAAAAGCCATCTTAATGTTTAAAATGTATAGTTGAAAGAACTGATAAAATGTGACAAAAATAGCATAAGCAGTTTGAAGCGTTTGGCTAAAATAATGCACAAAATGCCTGATTTTTCAGCTTGTTCTGGCTACTGTTCATGCACACATCTCCATAATGAGGAGCAGCTTTTCCTGCTTGTGGCTTAAACAGAAAGTTAAAAAGCTCATTTTACTGAAGGACGGGACTTTCCTTGTAAACAGACACCATGTTTTCTCCTTTTTAACATCTCTGATACGATACAGATGCAGTATATAGAGATTTTATTGAAAACAGCCAGAGTATCCCTCGTTATTGTGATTATTAGTCATTATTACTTTTTTTCAGGTTATTCTGGACCATTTCTGTTGGTACATTCATGTAAAATTCTATTTCAAAGCAAAGTGTAACTGGAGTTTTTAAATTATGCAAAAAATAAAAATGACAAAAATGGAGATACAAGGTTTTTGTGCGACAGTGTTGATCTAAAAGTAGAAAACTAGATGGAGCTCTAAATTATACACAAGTTTACAAGATGTGACGTGGAACATGACCTTGCACCTTTTCTGTTAGCGAAAAAACGGTGAACTTGGTGGCGAATGTGAAGAAATAGAACTCATGCAGTTCTTGTTTTCTTTATGCTTTTTAATGTAGCAAGGAACAACAGGAAAAAGCATTATCTGGACCTCCATGCTTTCTTCTTTTGTTGCATATCTTTCAACAAGCACCTGAAGTTGTATTTCGTATTTCAACTGAAGTCTTCCACTGAGCACCTGAACAGCATAATACCATTCCTCATGTCATATTTGAGCTTCACAGATTCTAGATAAACTGCTTAACTGATCCCAGGGCATCCTACACCCTTAATAAGGTTCTTTAAGGGTTCTTTAGTGAAAGCAACGGTTATATTTAGAACTGTGAACACTCAAAGAACCATTTCAATGCATTAAATGGCTCCTAATGGAAACCTGTTGTTTATGATTCTTTACAGAACCTTTTTAAAAGTGGTTCTAGACCCAAAAAGGGTTCAGCTGTTGTTACAAGTGGCTGTATAGAACTGTTTTTGCTAAAAGTGTGCACATTTTTACTAAGATCATATGACCTTCTTTCACATTTCTTGTTCACCGACATAACGTTTAAGTGAAGAACAAGAGGCAGTTTTCACTATTACAGTAAACACCTGTACAGGACTTATCACTGATCATGAGAAATGCAATATTTATAATATAATTTCAGTCAGCATTTCAGGTAAACTGCTAGGCTGCTGTATGTGTGGCGAGCATGATTAGCTGGTCAGAGTTGAGAGTAATTTTGGATTGGCCTGATTCAGTACCCTTGGGTAGGGAATGCAGGGCTTTTAAGGCTGAAATTGGCCAATTAGTCCTGTGAGCCTGCATATGGAACACTAATGAATAAATGCTGATATCAATTAGAGCATGCTTAAAGTCCCACCTAAAGGGCAATTGCCATTCAGATGTAGCACCCTGCATACATACTGAAAAATGCATGTACACATTTCCACATTGCAAAAATAAATCAACACAATTGAACAACAGCTTTCTAATATCTTGCTGTTTTGAGCCTCTTGCCTTGTGTTTGTTGTTCTATCCATGTGTAAATGATGTACACTTTCATTTTCAGTGCAGATAAATGTCTCAGGAGAATGAACATATTACTACGCACTGCTGTGATACTCCATCACAGCAAAATCCCCAGAGCTGAATTCACAAATGTACTTAACTGGCAACTGTACATTTTCATTTAACACTGTAGGTATTAATTCACCCCTGGGGATTTGTACTATAGTGGCCTATACTCCTTGCTTTGTGCACACCCTCTATGTGTCTCTAAGGAAATTAATAACGTGTTCCACCCCACCAAGGGAGTACACTGCACATATTACACCTATAAGGCACCCACAAATTTATTCAGTAGGATAAATGATGAAAAAACTTCACTGATCCAGGCTATTCTCATCTCACCTAGTGGAGGAAGTATATTAGGTCATATTTTAAACATTTTGCAACTGTGCAAACATTGCAATGCCACAAAGGAACTACACAAAGCTGCGCTTGGAGGGAAACACATCTAGAAATCATACAGAGAAATCAAAGAGAATCCAGTCACAACCCATTCACTATCCAGTCTTCATAAAATCAGAGAGCCAAATTACGCAACTAAAAGACATGGATAACCCAGTGCATTCATTACAGACACATATGAATCAATGCCACCATGAAAATTAATCTTTCACAGGCAAAATCACACACACACACACACATGTCCCTGTGACAACAGAAGCAGGTCTGTCTACAGTGTGTTTAAAAGATATGATCAAAATAGTGTTTTTAAATTTAAAACAGTTCAGACTCTTCTGCATCTCTGCGTCTTCTGTAAAAGCCATTGTCACTGATCAATTCATTGATCGGTTAATTCAGACGTAAATCTCTGAACCAGTAACTTAGTTATTTTTAATGCTTTCTGTCAGACTGCACAGATTTCGCATGTGTTTTAATTGCACTTTTGTGACACATTGGTGTTGATATACAGTTGTGAAGGGTTGAAACTGAAGGCATGTTATAGCAGTTCAGGTATTTGTATGTTTCTAGCTTAAAGATGAGATTTTTTTTGTATAGACAAACCAGTTGGTGTGCATAATTAGAGCTTTGTAGAATCAAAACCTAAAACACATAAAATATTGATTGTATTGATCACAGAATTGAAAATCACATCAAACCTGAAAACACATAACATTAAGTCTCCACAGCTGAAATCCAATTATTCCCCCTATAGTCTTACCAAAAAGTGTTACAGTGCATAAAAAGGTTCTTTGACTTTAATAACAGTTAAACTCTTGGTCTTGGTAAACTCTTTGGGGCTACATAGAGGATGCTTTAAAGAGCCACATACACCAGCATTCAAACATGGTGTAGAGCCATTTAACCATGCAAAGAACATTCAAATCGTTCTTTGAGTTGTCAGTGAACGATAAAAAATCAAAGAACATCAAACGAGTACCCTTAGTTTATTTTATTTCTGGCCAAAAATGTATGAATTTTTCAGGAGATATTTCTTAGGGGATGATATATAAGACAATCCGCTTGCATAAGGAAGAGAAAATTTGAAGAAAAATAGGTGAAAAAATGCATTAAAAGACACAAAGAAAATGGGACTCTTAACAACAGTGCGAGACCTTGTAGCCCACCAAAACTGTCCCCGTCAAATATATAGAAAGCTTCTATCTTTGAGACAGAGGAAAAAAATCAAGCTCTACTCTCTCTCTCTCTTCAGATCTGAAAAAATCCACAGGTGTTTCTGTCCATCCTTCCACTGTGACAAGACAACTCAACACTATGAGTCTGAAAGGAGGTGTAGCTGTTACTGAGAAAATGAAATAAACTAAAAAAGACGCTTTGCAGTAGAACACCGAAACTGGTCATCTGAGATATGAAGGAAGGTCAAAGTCTTAATTTGTAATTGGGATTACTGGAGAGTAAAAAAACAGAAAACACAACCAACTTCTAAGACTGAACTTTGGAGGTGTGGAAAAATATCCCAGCAGATTTTTACTGACAAACTGAAAGCAAGTCACTTGAAAAGTAAGGAGGGTGTAATAAAGGCAAAGTGTGGGGACACTAAATACTGAACATTAATATATTTAGTTGACTTCGGTGCACACTGTGTTAAAACTGTTTTCTGACACTGAATAAATCAAAACTTGTGCTTATGGTACTTAGGGTTTTGCCTGGAAATGAAACAAATGAAGGGTGGTCTCTGACTTGTGCACAGTCCCTTTTCTTAAGGGTATACAACCTATATACACATATAACTAAACCCAACCATCAAAGCCAGTCCTTCACCGCCAGGAAAACGCGAGGAAATCATCTAAGCAGGCCTTGTATGTGGATATAATATATTGGCAAGCTTCAACGTTCCGTGATGTTCCTCAGTGCTAAACTGAGCGAGTGTGCAGCCTACCTTCCACAGTTGCAGTGGCACACACGGTCCTCGCCTCGTAGATGCGGGAGGATGTAGTTGTGGAAGCGATCCAGCAGTGCGTTCATGTCCATCAGACACGCTATCGCCTGCAAAAAAAAAGAGAAAAGAAGAGAGAAAAAGAAGAAGAAGCACTCGAACCTTTTCTCACGAGCACTGCAGTGTAAGATACATCCTGATATCTACCCACATCTGCAAGAGAACCCTATGGCTGGTTAACACGGCTGTGCATTTGTCACTGTTGGATATGGATGTCAGTGGACTCTCCACTTTCCTCTCCAGACGTGTTTTCTCCTAATCAAGTTTCCCTAAACTGTGGTTGTGATTAAAGCTAAAAGGGACGGTGGTGCAGCAGGCCGTCTTACCATTACAACAGAAGCACCGAGGATCATAAAAATCATGGTGGTTGTGATCATATGCATCAAAGCTCCCGTGGTCCTCTCCCCAGGATGGCCCTTGTTGCCCAAGCTAAAGCGCCGTGGCCCGGGACGAGGAGCTCATCAAGGCGCCTTGACTGGGAGAAGGCTGTGGACGGCGCATAAGGGGGCAGCTCGGCCCCGGATCTCTGCCCCCCCTTCCCCCTAGAGCCCCCAGTACTGGCTTTCTCTCCCCATCTAGTAGCGCGTCTGCTCGAATCTGCGGGCCAGGCCAGAAAGGGAAAGTGCTCTGCTGCTTTTGGCTCACTGGCGCTGGCGCTCCCTCACCAGCAAAATGTCCAGCGACGATGCGAAGATCAGACAGACTTGGGGGCCAGATGTATCCTGGAGTGCTGCTGCTTAAGAATGCATGGCTCTCCTGCTCCGCCGAGATGACATCTGATGATCCAGCTCCGTATTTTCCCCCCTTTTTTATCTCGAGCAAAGGTGGGTGAGGAAGCCCCTTGATGTCTTTGCTTGCTCCCGGCGTTTATCGCGATGAGGCAAGCGGCCGTAGGGCGAGGATGGACCGGGGTGTCCCTCCCTTTACTTGCAGTCGAGCATCTGCATCAACGCCAGGATCCAGACGCACGATTAGAGCGTCTTATTCTAGCCATCGCGCATCGCGCCTGGGAGCGGTTTACCTGGTCTTATGAATGTATGTGAACGCGCCTGAGTGAGTGTGTGTGTGTGTGTGTGTGTGTGTGTGAGAGAGAGAGAGAGAGAGAGAGAGAGAGAGAGAGATAGGGAGAGATGGGGTGGGTAGGTGGGGGATGCAAGCCGCCTAGGAGACAGGGAGGTGTCGAATATGTCCAGTTCCAATTCGCTTCCTCCGCTCGAGATGACCAATTATTCCCAATTAATAAATCGTGGTGTGGGTTATATAAGCTCTGCTGTCCGCGAGGATGCGAGGCTCGTGAAGCTCAGGCTCCTCCGTCCGCCCCCTCGGCCGCGCTGCAGTTCATATTGCGCCATTTCAGTCCGAGGCTGTGTGGAGCCTCCCCTCCTTCACTCTGCTGTTCACTCACAGCGCTGCAGAGCGCTCAGCGCTTCACTGGCTGTGGTCAGATTTACTCGAGCTAAAGAAACACTGTCAGAACTAGAACTAGAACCAGCTTAGATCAGAGTTCTTTTCTATGAATGGCCTTGTTACGTAAGCATTTTGTCATCCGCTGATAGACGTCACATTACGCTCATATGAACTTCACGCCAGTCAGTGAAAATGAGTGGAGCTGTATTTTAAGAGGTTTTCCAGCCTGATGAACTAAAAGCACGTCTCAGCACACGTCTCTATTTTTGTTAAATAGATAAATACTTTACATAACTAAATATTCTCACAACCAGACTATTTCTCAGACCTTTAGAACATTAGGGGAAATTGTCTTGATGGCTATTTTAGAGATCACCTGTGGAACACCTTTAGATCCAGTTAGAAATGCGTCAAGTCACCTTAAACCATTAGAATTCTTTAAAATGTGCTATCAACCCATCAGGGAACCACAAAAGTGGCTTGATAACTGTTAGACATCATTGCAAAACCACAAACATGTATCAACAGAAACTTTCAATTCACAGCAGGTGTTCTCCAAGAATGGTGTTTTTCTTTGTGTGTCTCCACAAACAGCTTAAGAAAATTCCACATCAGGAATGTAGTGGGAACGAGGGAAATTAGTGTGTTTTTAGACATTTTACAACCTGCTGAACTAAGAAAGTAAATTGTAAGCCAATTGTATAAAACATTATATCTTAATTACTTTGATATTACCTCATTTCTTGGCTACTTGAAGGTCAGTATTGACTGACTACCTTCAACACCTAGACCATGTTCAGCACCATGGAGAGCAGCTACAGAAGATTTACAGCACAATGTAGTAACCATCAGTAACCATCAATCAGTGTCTCTCTGTCTCTCTCTCTATATATATAAATCTAAAAGAACTATCACGTTTTCACCTCTCAGTTGTACAGCTGTAAACTGCTGTAAGTTAAATATATATAACGCTTTTGTGTGTTGCGCCGTGGGTTAGTTAGTATGGGTTGTGTCTACCATAGAGAAAAGTTTTATGACTAGAAGTGACCATCCCCCTTATTCAGATTGTTTTTCAGAGGCCTTTTCTGCTTTGTTCAATAAAAGAGCATTTCCTGGGGCAGAAATAATGGCAACCTCTGGTGTCAAAAGTGGGATATCGCTGCTGAATTAGAAGAAGTCGAGCAGTGGATCTGTGATGGTCTAGCAGGCATACCCAGCATTTGAGAGGGCAGTGCAGGAGGAATTAGCACAGGAGTATTTCCTTAATGTGCTACTGCTAGAGGAACTGCGGCTAGCCCTAGAGTAACTGTCACTGAAGCAGTGGTGGCAGAGCTCATCCTCAGCAAAAAGACATCAATGAAAGTAACCCAGTGCGCGACATGCACAGCCCCCGACTGAGCGGTGACGAAGCGAATGACCCTCACTGTCCATGCTACTGCCTGGAAGAAAAGGCACCATCACAGGTTTTGGATAGAGTGCAGCATTAACAGGAAAAGGCTTGCTGCGCTTATGGACACAAGCTTGTCAGTGTCCCTGCTACGACCAGGAATGCTCGGTCACAGTGCTGGGCCTGCACGGTAATGGCGATCCCCTGTCCTGCCACCTGTGCACAGCTGATGAGTGCTGGTACTATGCGTGCTTTGAGGAGAAAGTGAAGACAGTTTAGAGGAGCACTGGCGGGCCCATGGAGGGAGTTGTCATGGCCGTCCTGGGCCCCTCGTGACCATGGATTATTTCACAAAATGACCCAAGGCATATGCGGCCGTGGATCAGAATATGGCCTTTACTGCAGAGCAGCCAGGTCTTTTTCCAGTTCAGAGTGCTGGAGGAGCTCCGCAGAGGCCGGGGGCACAGGGACCAAGGGGCTTCAAGTTGATGGTTATGGCTGAGATCTGTGATTGGCTGATCAAGACTCAGACTACACGACTCCATCTTTACCCTCTTGGAGTGCTTTAATTTGATGCTCACTACTCAGCTCACCAGTGTCACTTACCAGCACCAGCAGGATTGGGACCAACACCTACCCCATCCTGCTGGCATCGTTGGCTCCACCATGCACCCTTCACCCTAGCTCTTCTTATGTTCGTCCATTAGCTCAGAATACCTACGGAGCTAGTCTTTGGTTGCCACTGGATTCGGAGAAGGACAGCACACCTGGAACGGGGGTATGCCTAGGTACTGTGCCATCGTCTCCATGCAGTGCATCAGCTCAATAGGAACCACCAGGGCATGGCAAGTGCTCACCAAAAACTGGCAAATGACTTATGCTAACAGGGACAGCCCATTTCACCTTTACAACCCACACCGCAGGAAGGGATGCTGCCCCAGCCTTGAGAGAGAGTTGGAGGGGCCTGTGGCTGAAGAGCACTTTTTTGACCAGGACAATGGACTCCACATGCTGTGGAGGGTCTGTGGCAGGGTCAACACACCCATGCATCTCGGAGACTTTGTTTGGACTATGTGGGCCAACAAGATGGCTGAATCTTGAGAGGGAGGCTATTTGGCATCTGCCACTTGCTCAGTGTTCAGAAGGGGCTTTAGGGGCATGGTATACAAAGCTACAGTGTGCATGCCCCCCATGCCCCCCCACCATTGAAAGAAAATTTTTTATTGTTGTTTATGTTGCCATTAGTGTAAGATGTGTGTTGTGCTGACTGTGTTTTATTATGTTGGGCTGTGGGTTTAGTTAGTGCAGGTTGTTTGTCTACCATAGCGGCAAGTTGTATGGCAAGAAATGATCTTCCCTACTGTTCTGACTATGTGGCCTTTTTTTTTGCTTTGTTCAATAAAAGAGCATTTTCTTGGGCAGAAATAATGGCGTCTTCTGGTGAGCTTCACAAGGACACCACAATATTGTAGTGTCCTGCTACTGGCTGCTGCTGACACCTAGAGACTCTGGAGTTGTGGCTATAGGCAGATGGCCACACACAAAGTCTCATGGTTTGTGCACGCCCTCCCTTATGCTGTGAGTGTAATTGTCTGGTACTTTAAGTCATGTGTACATGTTGGATGTGTTCCTCAGTGTCGGGGCTGTGTGTGAGGTGGGGGTCACCGTCAGGGTGAAGTGTGGCTAGTGGTGACCTACCCTGTGAGTTCAGGGTTTTTTATGTGCCTTTTTCTGCTGATCTGTCAAATAAAGAGCACTTCAAGATTTAATGTTATTTTTGGTTGATATTTTATATTCCGATTTGCTCCCTAATGCAAAACACGTCGTCTAAAACTTGGACAAACTGGACTGTTAAAGCCACCGTACCGCAGGAAGTAGGATGATAGAGGAAGTAAACAAACTGGGCTGCTGTGCTGTAGCGGTTCGTTAACCTAGTGTTTTATCTAAAAGCAGAAAATAGTAAGAAATGTGGTGATTTGTTTCTAATCAGCAGATAATGTAAGTGTAAAAATTGTGTATGTCATGTTTTAAAGATAGAACGAAAGATACAACTGGAGTATATTTAGCTAGTTAGCTTGTTAGCTTCTTTAGCTAACTTACATAGCTCTGAAAACACTGATAGCTATGCTAACTAGGGCTAGCTTAGGCTAAATCATTCGTACGAAAATAACGCAGCATGATAGAAAACTGCCAATTGGGATATATTCATTCGTATAAAATATAGATGTCCGGTCTTGCGTAGTTTTAGCAGACCAGTTAATCTAACGTGTGTTTCCTCAGTTTTCAGTTTACAGGTTTAGCTCTCGTTTGATACTTCGAGTTACTGCTGTCGAGCTAATGTTGGGCAGCCGGCCAGACCCCCTTTTACTGGATTCTTTCGCGATATTTAGACATTATTGCGCAGCTGTGTTTAACTAGTTTATGTAATTAATGATTAAGGTCAGTCGTCAAATCATATATATGGGAAACTAACTAGATTAACCCTATCTAGCTAAAGTTAGCCTACATCTGAAAGTGCTGTGTTTCTGTCCTCTAGCTGATGTTTGATTCGATAGCAGTAAGCTGGCTGTATATGTATGTTTGTTATGGTAATGTCTGTTGTGTCTTCTTCTTCCATGATCATTCATTTTTTCAGGCTGCAGATGTACGTGGGTGTCAGATAGATTTCATTAACTCAGCAGCTGTCACCCAGCACTAAAGTCAGTGTAATCCACCAAGCATCACCATGTCAAGGAAACAGTCAGGAAAGCCTGTGCGTGGGAATAGAAAATGCGACCTGGAGAGAAAGAGGGATGAGCGAGCTGCTCGCAGGGCTCTGGCCAAAGACCGTAAGAATCGACCTCCAGGGGAAGGTGAAGGAGAGGAGTTTGTCAGTTTCTCCAATCAACTGAAAGCTCTTGGACTTAAACTGAGGGAGGTTCCTGGAGATGGGTATGTTTAAAGAGTGATGCCATATTTGCTGGTTGTAAATTTTGCATTTCAAGTAAACAAACCTGTGACTTTTCATTGTTCTATCTTATGCTTTGTAGAAACTGTTTGTTTCGAGCTCTGGCAGATCAGCTGGAGGGACACTCGCGAGGGCACTTAAATCTGCGTCAGGAGACTGTACAGTACATGATGTCACACCGGCAGGACTTTGAACCTTTCGTTGAGGATGATGTGCCATTCACTCAGCACTGTGAGAAATGGGGGGGGAGGGGGGTAAAGAGTTGTGCTACTGGTACATAGATAAATGGTCTAATGAATTAAGAGCCATCCTCTAAGTCAGATTCAACCCATCTGTCCCACCTCCTGTGAGATCACATTATATTTTTTCTATGAAATTATTCCACTATTTGAAATAAAACATTTAGATAATTAGCATTCTCAATTTGAATATGACAAAGCTCTCAGATGGATCTAAAATGTGTTATTATCAAAGATGACATCACGTCTCCCACAGCCCCCTCTACATCTAGCTCACTTCAGAGAGATCGGCAATGTCATGTCTGCTAAGTAATCATGTTCTTGAAACCAAAAACTTTATTTTACCTTTTAACAATGTTCATTGTTCTCACGCTCCAGTGTCAAATCTTGCACAGCCTGGCACGTTTGCTGGCAATGACGCAATAGTAGCCTTTGCTCGCAGCCAGCAGTTGAAAGTTGTGATCCATCAGCTGAACGCTCCACTGTGGGAGGTGAGGATTTGCAGTTTGATATTATCAGTGCAATTTAAATGATGTTTTATATTAAAAAAGCACTCTTCTTGGATTGTCCAGGTAATATAACCTGATTATTCTCTCTGAACGTAGATCAATGGGTCAGATAAGCCCTTATGCCGGGAGCTGCACATAGCATATCGTTATGGTGACCATTACGACAGTGTGCGTCACATTGGAGACAACTCCGAAAGCCCTGCTCATCTGCGAATTGAGGTTTGTAAATAACTTTGTCACTTATTAATGTCTTCAAATTATTAACCAAAATACTCTTATTGTATATATATATTGGCAAACACTTTGGAAATATTTGGATCATTAGTCTAATTTAACAAGTAACATGTCTTTACTGAAGAAACAGTTTAAATGTTTAAAAGGCATTTGATGAACAAAAAAAATCTGAACATGTACAGTAATGACATCTAAAAATTAAAACAGGATTTTCCAATGAAAAAAATCTATTTTGTTGTAGGCTAGTCACAGCAGAATATTTTTTTTAGGTACAACGTAGTGCAGTAACAAGAGATTGAGCTATATTGCACTTATAAAGCACCTTTTGAAGAAAAGATTTTTAATAGAATTACAAACGGATTTCAAAATACTTGGACCTCCATCAGTCATATCAGGCAGACAGTTTATTAATAGACAAGGGCAGTGAAAAACTAGTGACATAATGCTTGGGTGACAGCAAATAATCTATAGGCAACTCTTGTAATAAACGTCTGTGATCATGAGTCTGCCATAAGAAAAACAAATAAATGTTCATTGAAGGTTACCACAGATGAAAGTATTGGTCACAAAATCGTGGGTTAGCTAAAGAATAGCTGCATATTCACAGTGCTAGCAGGACAATGTTTTGCTGATGTGTAAGTTTGGGAGGGTGAGAGACTGGACTTGAGTTTTATTGAGTTGCTGTGGTGTGATCTGAGAAAGGCCGTTCAAGCCTCAAATGGAAAAACAAATTTTAAATATTTTTGTGTAAAATGTATTTATTACTATGATGATATAACAGTTTAAGAGCCATTTGTGCAATATTCCAGATTCGTATCACAATCTTACCACTGAGTATTTCTTCCCTTATGACAGAATCTGAATAATTCAAGACGGTTTGGTGACGGTCAAAGGGGCAAGCAGAGAGCGCCCTCCCCCTGCCACTCTCCCTATGAAGAAGAGGAAGTCATCCTGAATTCCCTTTTGGCCAGCAGCTTGAATAGTAAGTCTTTCAGTCATGGCCCTTTATGTCCCCTTAGCTAAGATCCTTTCCCCACAGTGTTTCCTGTTGTCTTTCTCAGGTCAAGATGAGAATATGTGCCAATCAAGTGCCACCTCACAAAAGTGCCATGCAGAATGGCTTGAACCTGAGCTGAGGAACCAATCATCACACTGTGAATTTGAAACAGGGACACACCCTCAGTGTCAAAGCAATCATGCAGACTGTAGTGACAACATATCGCCACCAGAGAGCAGTACTACACACAAACCCAAGGTTAGAGGGATTATTCTTTCTATGCTTCTGTACAATATGTAAATATCTGAATGCATTACTGTCAAAAAAGCAGCACAAAAGGATTTGTTTTGAGTGGCATCCCTTCTTTTCCATTTTTAGCTTACCAGTAAACAAAGGAAAGAGCAACAGCGTCTAGAGAAGAAGAAGAGGCAGGAAGAGAGGCACAGACAGAAGGTTCTTCAAGGCAAAGGATCACATGACCAGAATCAGAATCTGCCTGAACCAGTTACCCTTGTGCCAGCTCTCAACACTCTAAGCATCTAAAACTATCATGGACAAAAACAAACACTCTCTAAGGTTGATCTCTGCTGCTTTATATTCAGTTTTCCAAGTTTGTTGAGAAATTGAGATGTTGTAGGTTGTTTAAATGTACACAAAATGGTTATCTGTGTGGGAACTTGTGTTCTGGCTTAAATGCTGGTGCTGGAATGACAAAGATGACATAGTATTAGCTTTTTCGGGTGAAGCTGGCTGGCCTGTCATGCTATATGCTCTTTTTAGAGAGCCTTCCATGGTTGCCTTAGCTGAAACGAATATAGTCCAATTTTATTCTTCATTTCATTTTCACTCTGATTTATTGCCAAAGAACACTTGCGAAGGGATTCAAACAAAATGGAGATCGAGATTCATACGAAGAGTTCTTTCCACTGAATTGTAAGGATTTCATTTCTGTAAGTCAGTGCATGCACCTCATGAATGCTGTCAATCTTTAAATTTGTAGTGTTTGATTTCACTGGGTTTACCTTTTGCATTCCCTTGTAGAGATTTGTCATCTCTCTATTTTGGAATGAAGTGCAATCTAATAATAAATGGGGATTATAGAGAAGCTTGATGTGCTTCCAGCTGTTCATATGAGGAGAGGAATATTTATTGCTCAGATGGGTTGAGGAACTGTTCTGTAATGAGAATTGACCTTTTGTTACTTCGTTAGTTCTTGTTCCTGGTCATATTAAAAATGATTCATCATCCCGTACCATTAAAAAGACAAAATTCTTTGTTTCGTGTAATCTTTGCTCAAAGTGTAGTGATATTGTTGGCTTTGTCACCATGAATCAATGGGTGGGGGGAAAAATAGTAACCAATAATTAGGCCTGTCACAATCCAATGTAAAATTTTAGCTGATGATTAATTACAATATAAAAAACTGTGATTTAGGGCTTTATCTTTTTCATCGATTCTATGCAATTATTGAAGTATGAGCCAAATGTGTCCAAAGGAACTGATTAACAATCTTGCTTCCTGGCAGTAGATACTTAGTAGCTCCCAAATGATGACAAACAGCTTGAGCTCAAATAAACACAACTCACCACTGCCCTCTAACGGTGTTATAGCACTAGTCAGAACTCAAAACCTGTTTTGTTAAGAACCTGACTCAGTAAATGTGTTTTTCCTTGTTTCTTTTATTTAGATTTATTTGCCCAAGTACATTAGATTTATTTTTATATTTATATATTTATTTTATGTAATAACAGTAACAGGCCTACCAGTAATTTCATGTTTCACTTATCCTTCCCACCACCCCAACCATCAAGTGAAAATGCTCAGTCAGCTCAGAGACCCTGCTTCACCAATGTATTATGATTTCTGATTCTCATTAAATGTAAACATCACATCACATCAGTTTTGTACAGAAGTGGAGATTTATTTATTTAAAATAAAAGATGTTACGTTTGGGGTCTCATACAATATAAGACATTATTGTGCAGCTAAATTAAGTATTTACAGGCACCTTTTGTGTTAACATACCAAGCTTGTCATATGCTTTCTCTTTTCACGCTGTGCTGCTTCGACAGTATTGCACAATCGTCAGCAACTTCCCAAACATTAAGTTCAAAGACTTAACTTGCAAGCGGTGCCTGGTTTAATAAGGACATTACTTAAATTAATATATTTGAAAGTGCTCAATTTAGAGAAAGCTTATTCAAATTTAAATTAAAACATAGAACTCTCATTGTTCATGTGGACCTCATGCCAAAAGTATACTTGTTTTTTGAATCACTTGCATAGTGCGGACGAAGATCCACAAGAAGGCACTAATGGTTCTGTAATAATCCACAAGGGGGCAGTAAAAGACTTAAAAACATTTGGGGTGGGTGAGTGAGTAGACAGCGAGGGGATAGAAATGTTACCATGCACACATCCCAAAATCATAGAAGCGATGGTAAGGCTTAGAAAGCGATCCCATGTTTCTATAAGTAGTTGTGTGTGGGCAGTGGAAAATGCCTCGAGCATTTTCAGGAAACCGATTAAAGGCCTTCTCAACCAGAAAACATCTGTAACATTCTCGTGTAAGCAACTATGAAGAACTTGAAATCTTAAGTTTCATCAACCTTGTGATCTCAGAGAGAGAATAATGATAGGCTAAATGACCTTAAATGTGCACTTCAGCAATTAAATCAGCATATCCATTTTCTCTCAAGCAGCGGTTAGATATGCATTTGCGTAAGCCAAGTGTGCATCAAAAATGAACTATTCAAAATACTTAATTGTTCCCTTTTCAGACATGTAAAACCTACTGGGCAATAAGACAATATGCAGCATGTCAGACAATTCCCACTATCAGAATGATATTTACACAATATTCCTGTTTCGATACTCCTCAGAAGTGTCTTTTTAACTCTTCAGTCTCGCCTGTGTCTGAGATGCATACATAATGTGTTCTAAGTAGTTTAGGGTTCTGAGTAACTTCAGTAAGTGTTTTCAGTGCAGTTTGTGTTGGTGTATTGCTATTAGAGCACCGCTCTGTGGGCGACAAGTGCTCTAGCATTTACAGTGCTTCTTCCTCTTTTTCCATTTGTGGTAAGGTTTTCATCTCTGCATCCATCTGTTTGGCAGAGCTACAACCTGTGGCTCCAGGTCAAGGCAGCTGTAGGGAGGGAAAATTAAAAACAGAACACTGTATAACCAACATACCTGCACAGTACCACAGTTCATTTCAGTATGTTAAATATATCTCATGAAGGGACATCTGAAGTATTTATAAGTAACGTGCTATCACAGAGCATACCACCCACCTGAGCTGAAGTGCGCGGTGCAGCAGAGACCTTCTCCCCGAGCCGATTTGTAGACGGGAGAGACGCAGACTCTAGCATTGGGGGGCACTTGAGTAAGAGTTGTGGAGAGGAGGTGGGGTGGAAGATACAGGGTGGAACGCTGGCTCGAGGAGTGCGTGGGTTCGCCCTCCCACGTAACCCAGTAACCACGTAAACCATCAGCACTCCCTTTCCATTGGACCTTCACTGAGTCACTGCCCACTGTAGTAAGCTGCAGATCTGCTAGAGCTGGCAACACTGAGAGAGAAAGAGCGATTTAAGCTTCCCTCATTCTGCCTTGTAGAGAAAGTATCTTGGCAGCAACAATAAAGTGTGTGGGAAGGAAGACAAAGACGGCTTTCATCCCAATCTTATACAATTAGTGAGTGTTCATTTTCAGGCTTTTGAAATCATTGAATGTGAAATCTGTTAGCAGCTTTTAAGGACTGGGGAAAATGACGACACCGTGATAAACTATGCCGCAAAACACTTTTCTGGGACTATCATGGGTATCATCAGTATTTCTAGAACACTGAACAGCTGCATGTACCATGAAAAAGACAGACTTTAGATACATTATAGAAAGCCTGTAAACAAGAACTAGTGTTAAGTAACTGCATAAACTGCAATACTGTGCAGATGTCGGAGACCACCCTTCATTTATTAGTTTCCAGTCCAAACACCCATTGTGTATAAATGATTAATTTTTTCAGCATCGGGTAAAAGGCAGAAAAACATGTTTATCAGAAAATTACACAAAAGCCTCAACAAATAAATATAATATTTTTTTAGTATTTAGTTTGTTCACTCTTTGAAAAGAAATCTGCAGGATATTTTTCCACACCTCAATAATTCAGTCTTAGACGCTGATTGCATTTTCTGTTTCTCATGGTCCAATAATGTTGAGCTCTGGACTCTGGTGTGGTCAGTCCAATTTTCTGAGAATACCAGCAGCTTCTCTTGATTTGTCTTCTTTTTTCTTTATTTCCTTTTCTCAGTAACAGCTTCTTGACAGCTATTCATCCTTTCAGACTCATAGTATTGAGTTGTCTTCTCACAGGGGAAGGATGGAATTCTTTCAGATCTGAAGCGAAAGTGGAGCTTGATTTTCTCCTCTCTCTCAAAGGTGAAAGTACTGTTTATTTGATGGGGACGGTTTTGGTGGTCTATCAGGTCCTTCATGGTTGTTAAAAGTCATGGTTTCTCTAGATCTTTTAATATTTTTTTTGTTTGTAAGCTTTCCCCTTCGTTATGCAAATGGGTTATTGCATATCTACTATGCTTTTGCGAATGCAGACCATGCCTTTTTAAATGAGATAATGAGAGAAGGGGAACTTTGGAGGAATTTTGGGCTGGAGTTCAGTACGGCTTCTGCGGGTCATGAGAAGGCCGACCCCCCTGTATATTAAAGATCAAGTGCAGGCGTGGATAAGGTGGAGGAGAAGGGGCAGGAGGTGGGGTGCGACATTTCGTCACAAGAAGGAGGAGTGTAGGACTGGTATTTATAGGAAGCTTGAATTGAGACGGAGGAGTTTTAGGCGTGGTCTTCCTCAAACTTCAGTTAGGTCATAACTCCATTAAAATATATCCTGAAAAATGAATGATTTGAACCTAAAGGCCATTTTAACTGGAAATTAAATTAACGAAGTACAGTCTCATTTACACAGTACTGTACATAGCAGCGATAAATGTTAACCCATTATGCAACTGTTTTATTTATTTAATTTATTTTTACCAATGGTTTATTACTGCCTTATTTTTTGGTTCTTCTAAGTTAATTATTACGTTTTAAAAACACTGAATTAACAAAAACTGAACTGTATGTAACTTATTTGTGGCAACAGTGTGCATTCTGTCCATTCCAACATTTCAAAAACTAAACATCATGATACACATTACATATCGTGGAAATGCCTTCGAATACTGTAATTTTATATTTTTGCCATAATGTCCACCCTTAATCCTCATACTGACCTTCTTCGGTGCACACTTTGACGGACATTGCTCTCTCTCTGCCAGAGAAGTAGCGGGCACTCACAGTTACCAGGTATTGTGTACCAGGCTGTAGGTTAGTCAGCAATGTCGAGTTCTGCCTGTTACTGACTTTAACCACGTGGAGCTTCCCTGCAGGGAGGACAGAGTACTCGACCTGGTAGCTCTGCACAGAATCAGGCTGCAGGGGGCCCCAGCTGACCCTCACACTGTTCATGGTTGACTCTGACACAGATACCTGAGCTGGACTCTGCACCTCTGGTTTGACAGGTGCAACTGGAGAAAGAAAAGTACAATGTAATGTAACTAATATGGAATCTTACACTAACCCATTTTCATTTTAGGGTCCGCCTGAATCATTAGCAAACTTTCTTTTTTGTTTGTTACTTGCTGGTATCCGTTTGTCTACTTAGCATTCAAAAGTTTCTCTGATTGATTTTGAAAAAACCCTTTAAATCATAAGACTACTGTATATATTTTTAACTGCAGTTACAAACTTTGTTGCACCATGTGATAAACTGGTGCAATTTTTTATTATTTCTCACTCATAGATTTTCAATCAATTCAACATCTCTGTGTGTACAATGCATAAAGGAGTATATATATAGTTTATATATATTTTTGCTTAGTGTTTATTCTATTTAAACAGTATTTAAATAAGCTTCTAAAGGTATAAGGTATAATAAATTCTTCATAAACACTTCATTATTTAGGACACAGTTAAGAGCATTTCAGATAGCACATATGTCTCAAGGGAACACCAGGAGCATCCTGTTGCTCTCACCTGGCTGTGTGGTAAAGGTGGTGTTTAGCCTGTTGAAAACCTCTGGGTTGGATACAGGGTGTAGAGTGACTAAGTATTTGGTGTCTGGACGCAGGTTGGTCAGCTTGGCTGAGCTGGAGTCTCCAGGGCGGACGATTCTCTGATAGTGTCCAAACTCTGTTGAAGGGTTGGTGCCAGGGCTTCCCCCGACCACTTCTACATTTCCTGAGCGAACAGGTCCAAACCGGATGTCATAGTGACCAGTACCTGCAAGCACAGGCCTCCAGTACAACTCCGCACTAGTAGAGGAGATGTCTCGGACCTGCAGCCTCTCAGCACGAATGATCTCTGGGTAAACAGAAATAAAGAGAGGCAGAAAAAAATTAAATGTAATGAGAGAGGATAAATGAATGAAGACAAGGGGGTGTTCCTTTTCAAACTCTCTCAACTGCACTTCTTTTCACTGTTGTCTATGAAACAAGGTGCACAGCAACTGAAAAGCAATCCTCCAGCCTAAGCAGTGAGCATGTCATGTTTACGTAGAGACGTGCACGTGTATGCAAGCATTCAGTAAACCACTCAAGGTGCCAGTTTTGAATACTTAAATCACTATTTGGGTACTCGTTACATTTTGTCACAGAAAGACAGAGAAAATATACGGACTAACAATTCAGTGAAATTAAAATTTTATGTTTTAACAGCTCAGTACATTATATTAGTGTATTATATTACACTTTTCTACTATGAATCAAGAGTGCCTCAATGTGAGCGCATTGCCAAGGACACATTGTTAAGGATGTGACTGATGAGGCACAGAGGTAGGGCGGCAGTGTTAGCCATAATTTTGGCTCATTAACTCATCTGAAGAGGCAGCCTCCATTTCTCATTCAACAGCTATATACATTAAGCCAGAGGTTCCCCCCCATGGTTAACCGATCAGCTGTTATTAACACTTACAGACACTCGAATATCAACAATCCGAAAGCACTAAGCGCCCATCAAAAAGCTCAATTCCCCATCCAAAGCAGACCAATCAACAACAAGTATGCCTTCTCTTCAGTCACTTATCCCAGATGGAGAAAAAGCTAGTTTTGGCTTGAGTTTTGGTTTTCGAACAGCTTACTCTGTACATTTTTTTTCCCTGCAGAGGATGCATTGATTTGTTTTTACTTAGAAAATTTACAAAACATGTCATTTGGCCAAGGATGTTTAAACTTTTCCATAAGTCTGTATGTCAGAAATGTTTATTTGCACATCTTTGTTTAGCTTTTTCTCAAACCTTCTTTCTCTCAAGTCTCATATTTACCGATGTGTCAATCAAACAGGTGTCTTTTCACACATGAGACATGGCGCACTTCTCGTTTAAAAAGGCGTCAACTGAATGGTCCCTATGCAGTCAGGGGGGCCTCCAGCGCATTCAATCGTTGTGCAATAACATTTCTGAAAATAGAAAACTCAGTCAGAGGATGCTCCTATGACAAATGGCTGTCTCGTAAGTGTGCCTGGTAAAGCCTTTAAATAGCTCTAGAAAGTCAACACACTTCACACTTGATCAAACTGTGCTTATGTGTCTATATATGACTTCTTACATGTGTGTGTATATACATACATATATATACACACACACACACACACACGTATATACACATAAGGGTTTATACTTATGTGAAACCCACTCAGCAAAGACAAATGCTTTCTATCAATATGCACGTCTAGCGCCCTGGGAGGGCTCCAATGGGGGAAGTAGAGGACAAAATAATTTCTGTATTATTAGCTCCTTCTCCCATTACAGTGTCCCTTGCTCTGTCCCGTCTTCCTTCGTCACCTTCTAGTCCAGTACTGCCGTCTCGCGCTATTTGTGTCAGAGTCGTCTGGTATAGAAGTCTAGAATTCTCCAGCACACAAGAGAGGAGGCCCAGAAATGTCAACACCCATACAGTGCATCTGCTTTTTACTTATTCTCCTTAAGAGTAAATGTAGTTTCTTCAGCTATTAGACAACATAAAGCATGTTCAAAGTGTGTTTATTGTCCCATTCACACCTAATTTTCTCATTTACAAGGTAAAATAATCAATGTTTAGGTCACTGCATAAGAGTAGGGCTATCACTATGAGTTATATTAGTAATCGTACTGATTATTCTTACAATTAACTTTAAACTTTTTATAAAAAGGCCAAACTGTAAAAATGCTCTTAACAAAACGATAACAAAACAACCGCAGCTTTTCAAAGATTCTGAAGTTCTTCATAGGAAAAAGATCCTTTATAGGAAAAGAGCCTTTAAAATGACTCATAATGTGGAAAACTTTTCCTCATTATTTTGAAACAAAAGAGTTACATTCAGTAAGTAAACACTGATATCATTTCAAAATGTTCTGATCCCTCCCCAGTCCATGTTTGGAAAATATGCTGGAAAAACACCCTGTTCTGAACTCATTGTTTCTGTGCTATCACAAAAACTGAAAAAAGTAAAATGTAAGAAAAATGTAAGATATGAGCCCTTTTAAATATATAAAAATATTAAGGGACAAAACAAACTGCATAAAAATGAGTGTTTTCATCAGGCTCTGTTTCTTACTCTAACATCCTCTGACTGAGTTTTCTATTTTCAGAAATGTCATTGCACAACGACCAGTAGGATTTTAATTTAAAATATAAATTAAATTTTAATTTAAAATATAAATTAGCAGTATGCAAACTGCCTACTAATAACCACAAATTAATGAAAAAGGTACATTTTAATTCATGATTTTATAAACCCAGTTGAATTAGTTATTTGTGATAACCCTAGTTTTAATAGTTTAATCACATTTTTTCAGGTATTAGACAACATAAAGCATATTTTAGAAATTTCCCTTCTGATGTTCTGATTAACAAAATAAAAACAGCTACTACAGAGTTACATGAGATTTAAGTTTGCTCTAAATAAGTTAATTCAACACTTTTATGTTACAGCACATAGTATGCATGATGAGAAATATGCATTTTCATCATGTAAACTGCACAATAACCACTGCTGATTCATCTATTTTTGACCAAGTTAAAGGATCTTAAAAGCGTATTTATCTCTCATCTAATTTTAACAATGTATGAAATATTCAGTGTTCATGTAGCTGTTCCAGAGTTAGATGAGATTTAAGTTCTAAAGCTCTACAGAAGTTAGTTCAACCCTGAACACTGTACAGCACATGAGGTTCCCCTGTTTTAAAGCTCTTACCAATGATGGCGTTCCTCAGGTCCTCAGTAATGATGCCCATATGTTCAATGTCCACAAAGTACAAGTGCTCCTCAGAAGGTGGGCTCACTACATCTCTCAGAATCTGGTAGTTCCCTCGGCCTGTGGACACCACCAGCACAGCCACACCGTCCTCCCTCAGATCAGCCATTGGCCCCTGCACGTGTCCAGGCTCCACTCCATCAGTCAGCCACACTAGAACTCTTGGCAGTCCTGGCCTGGCTTCCCCAGGCATGCCTGACCTTAACACCCGCTCTTTAGCTATCACTAGAGCCTGCTCTGTGTTGGTGTCTCCTCCAAGCTGTTTAGTCCTCCGTAGTGCGGACTGTAGTTCCTGCTGGGTGCTGTAGGCCCCAAAACCGAACTCCAGATGAGGGTCAGTACCAACCTGAAGCAGCCCAATTCTCACCTGGTCAGGCCCCAGAGAAAAAGGCAACACAAGTTCCGACAGGAAGCTGAGCATGTGGGAGAAATCAAAAGACGACACACTGCCAGAAGAGTCCAGCAGGAACAAGACATCACCCTCACAGCAGTTCAGAACTGTGGGAGCAGAAAAGAGGAAGAACGTCACAAGTGAGAATAATGTACTGCTGAGCAGTGGTGTACAAAATTCCTGCACTGCTGTACTGCTAAAGGAAAAAACATAATACAGCAGCTATAAAAACCTACAGTACATTCACTTTTTTGTACTTTGACTCAAATAAAACTACAGATAATATTTTAATATTTTACCAAGGATATTTCTTTCACTGAAGTACAAGATTTTTTAGCTGTAGAGGATTTTTTAGCTTTTTCGGGCACTGCTGCTGAGGTGAGTTGCTAAGAGGGATGAGTTCTAGTGTGTTTATACAACACATAGCAGCGCTGACACGTATTCTCAATAATATGAAATCTTAGAGCCAGAAGAAGAGGCTCGGTAAAACAACCAAATAGCACTGGTTGAGATTACACATTGGGTTGCCAGGTATCTGGTTTTGGACCGGACAGTCTGGTTTAGAGCTCCGGTGTCTGGCTGACGCTGTCAACCAGATGGTAAAATATATGGTTGAGTCTTGCTGTAAATGTATAACATTTATTGAAGCAGACAATACGCTACTCTAGGCCTGTCACTGCATTTCTTTCTCTTCCTCTCTCTCTCTCTCTCTCTGTCTCTCTCTCTCTGTCTCTCTCGCAGGGTTTCTCAGTTATGGGGGCGGGTGCATTCTGTGGCTGCATCTCAAACCACATATACCAAACCAAATAGCATCGAATTAGCACACCATCAGCTTTACTATTTTGAACATACTATTTAGTACGCTAGTGTGCGGATTGAGACACACAGGATGTGCGGATGTGTGTAGGCACATAGGTGAAGTTAGACTATATTGTAAGTGAAACTCAATTACAGTTACTTTCATAAAGTTTCAATTATGCATCTGTACCTGTTTTATGTATCAATTAACCTACAGAAGATATAGAAAATACACTAAAGGCTCTCATGGTTTTACTGCCAGATCACTAGGTTAGAACGTTTATTTGTACAGCCTATTTGTTAAACCTATACAGTTCGTTTTTAAAAATATGAAGCAAAATGTAAAAACAAACAAAATAAATCAGATAAAACACAATTATCAGACTGTTTTAAAACAGACAGCATAGGGAACATGATAAAAGACATGTTGGATGCTTGCTGGATAGCCCTTCCCCACCACTGGCCACCATCCTGCCCAGATCCTGGCCTGTTTTGTTTTTGCACGGGTAAAATCTGGCAACCCTTGCTATGCACAGCAGAACCTAGGAAACAGGGATGTTACATGCATATAAATATGTTTTTCTCTAATACAGGAGTTGAATACAGATAGATTTTTTGCTATAAAAGATGTGATCTCAAACATACTAAACTGGAATGGGTTCCACTGAGTTTCCCCCGAACTCCTGGTCTCACTTAAACTGGAAAAGCTACCAAATTTGTGTTTTCCTGACATTTATATTTATCTCATACACAACCCCTCCTGCTATTCAAGAGAGTCTCTCTAAGCATTTAAAAGCACAGAAGCTTACTGGCTCTTCACGTCAGGGTGGGTAAAGGAGGCCATGGTGTTGCATAAGGAGGTGAAAACAGTCTTTGTTATCACAGGAAGGGTAAGGCGATATCAGCTAATTAACACAGATGTGAACAATGCTAGCCTTTAGATAACTTTTGCCAATGTTAACAGTCCCCCGAACGGAGCTGCAAACAGCCGGGTATAGCTTTACTTCTCTGTTTCTGGAGATTTAAATGATGCTTTTCTGAGCATATCGTGAATATTGCAGTACTTAAAAAACACTTCCAAACTGCATGTTTGATTACAAAGAGAGCAAAACTAGTGTTTAATTGGATTTTGTGCAAAGTAATATATGAAATGTCAAAAACAAAAATTTGGATTCATAGTTTTTAATAGTATTTTTTTTCGTGTGGCACTACTTTGTTCCAACTTATCAGATGTCAGAAAAAATAAATACCACAACATATCATGCATCACTAAATCATATTGTGATATTACACTTTTGCTATATCGCCCAGCTCTACTTTGTGTACATTCAAATTTACTGGCATTGAAATCTAAAGATTTGTATATGAAAAATATCAGTTATATCAACCCACAATTCCCATTTCGGTTCATCCCTACTTGTTGTGTTACAATAAGAGTCCTTGGCTAAAACCTCTCGAACTACATTCACACAACATTCTGGATAAGGGCATTCACTAAATATGTAAATGCAAGGAGGACTTCATTCTGAATGTTACCATTTCTTTTCAATAGGGGTTGAATAGAGTTTAAAGTGATTTCAGACATACTGGCATAAACTGGAATGACCTCCACTGGTCTGTTAAAACACGACATCAAGGAAGGTAAGAATAAACCTCCCTGCACTGAACTATTTACACTCTGTGTGTATTTATATCGACCTGTCTTCTCTTTTTTTTTTTTTGTTAATTATGCACCAGTTTTGTTAGTTATGCAAATGTACTGACTGCTGCAATCAGAAATTTGCATATTGTTGCAACACTATTATGAAATAAATAAAATACTTAAGCTAATAACCACTAATTACTCTGATTGAGACTGAGGTGTTTACTTTGCAATGTTTCATTTTCATTCTGATGTAAACAAGAGTTCTCAGTGCTACAAGCTCAATAATATTGCCATGTGCACTGCATAACTCCCTCAGTTGGAGACGTAGAGGAGAAGATATTAATTTCCAACCATTAAGGTGTTTATCAAAAGCAATTTGTTCCTTAATCACAGTTCTCCCTAGAGCGAAGCATGTACACAATTAAAGTAAGCTCAAAATAAATGCATCCAGACAAAGAACAATAAGGAACATCCTAAACTCTCTAATCTTACTGGCCTTGTTCCTCCCTCCCTCCCTCCCTCCCTCTGTATTTTCCAGGGATGTCCTCCCTGCTCTCCCTTGTGCAACTGTACACCCCTGCACAAAATCTTAATTCCCTCACTTCCCTTCTCTATGTCTTTGGAACAACGCAGTCACACAGTCATTAAACGTTTACAATGAAGGCAGTAAAATGGGGAAACCCAAAAGCTTAAAGAGAAGGTCAAGCTAAGAAGAGAGGGGAAATGAGGGAGAAATATGTCATTTAAGCTGGAACGGCAGCCCCTGAAAAATGTGATGAGGAAAGTGTCAGAATTGAGGAAGAAAAGAAAAGAGTGGAAGATTCTTTCAAAATATTTAGAAAGCGGGAGAAAAGCCGTGATGATTTGCCAATGATTTTTCCTGGCAGAGAAATCTCCCTAAATTAAGAGTTGAAAAATAAACATAAACAGATGGTCTGAGGGAGCAGCAGGACTACTGGATACCACAGGGGAGGAATAAAAGGGGTGCAGAGAAAGGGGAAAAAAAGAGAGTAAAGGGGGAGGTGAGAACTGGCAGCTCCTGAAGAATGAAGGGAAGGAATGCACAATCTATTCCAGAGACCAGACTGGCAAGACAGAATGAAATCTGTGTGAGTGAGAGAAAGAGAGAGAGAGAGAGAGAGAGAGAGAGGGAGAGAAAGAGCCCATGCCAACTAAGACAATCTAGTAATGCCCACCCAAAGTGCGGCGAGGACAGTTGTGGGCATTTAAAGCCATCTGCCACATGCCAAAAATAAACGTCTCCTAAGTACTTTCTGATTCCCACCTAGTGCTCTTCTATATTTTGAACAAAGCACTATTTTAGTCTTGCAATGAAAGCAGTTTACAAAACCCTTTGGACTGTGCACAGACAGTCTAAGATAAAAAAAAGCAACATCATAGTAATATTTTGGGTGAAGTAATAGTAGTGATATATGGAAGCCCAATTATCATTATAACTTAATCATGTATAATATTGGAATCATTTCAGTGTGAGTAGATAATGGCTTAAAATCATCAGCTTTTAACAAATGTTTAAATTTGACAAATATTTTAAACCAATATTTGATGAGGTATTCATAGCAGATAATTTAGGCTACTGCACTAAAACGTCTGCATTTTGTTCATGTTACTACCCCTCATTTGTTTGATTTCCAGTCTAAACAGCCAATAAGTCATTCATTTTTCAGTATCAGGAACAAATCAGTAAATATTTAACAGAAATTACATGAAGAATCAACAACTCAATATAATCAGTATTTCACTTTTTTAAGACACCTGCTTTCAGTTTTTCAAAGAAACTTGCAGAGATATTTTTCCACACCTCCAAAGTTCAGTCTTAGAAGTTGGTTGCAACTGTTTTCTGTTAATCAAAATCCAAGTAATCCCACATTCAGTGATGCTGAGGTCTGGCCTCTGGGGTGGACAGTCCATTGTTCTGAGAACACCAGCATCTTCTTTGTATGATTTTCTTTGTCTTTGTATAGTTCTCTTTCTCAAAAATGGCCTCTTCACAGCTACACATCCTTTCAGCTTCATAGTGCTGAGTACTCTCACAGTGGAAGGATGGGCAGAAACACCTGTGGATTTTTTCAGATCTGAAGGAAGAGTGGCGCTTGATTTTCTCCTCTCTCAAAGATGAAAGTTTAAAACACTGTTTATCTGATGGTGACAGTTTTGGTGGCCTACCAGGTCTTGCACAGTTGTTAGGGGCCAGATGTTCTAATTTCCTTAGCGATATCTCCTGATAAATGAATAACTTGAACTTAATGGCTCTTTTGACTGTAAATGAAATAAACGAAGGGTGATGTCTGACTACAGCACAGCGATGTAGAAATAAATGTTATGTTTCTCTGTAATCCTAATTCAAGGAGTCCCAGTTTCTACATTTTATAAAAATGTATGCATCAGCATCAGCAGATATGTACATGTAAGATATCGGATATTGGCCCAAGATTTCCATGTCTGTGCATCCCTGTTTATACATATTCAGCCCACTGGGAGATTAATAAAACACCACGGCTGGAAGACACATTTTATGTTACAACGAGACCTTGGGAAAAACCCTTAATGCTACATTCACTCACTTTTGTAAAGTGCTTAGGATAAAACCATCTGCTGAACATACAAATATAAAACGAAAATTATTCTGAATGTGGCTTTGTCTACTTCACACACCTGCTTTGTTTAATAAAAAAGACTAAATAAATAGATAAAACAGAAACAAGTTTTCTTTTTTAGGCATATTTTGGCGTATAAAATTGTAAATGGCCATATCTCGTAATTTGTCATAATGCAACACTAAGCATATCACATATCTATAAAAACTGCAATATAACTGTATTGTGGCTAAAGTATTGTGATATTGTGGGGTCTGTACTGATTCCCACTCTAACGCTTTGCAGTGACTCAGAATTCTGCTCAGCGCGTGGCCGTGTCAAGACATGGTGGGATGTGTGAAAAATGTCCTCACACTCCAGGCCACAGAGACCACATCTCAGTCTGACATATTTCCCTGCACACCTGCTGTTTGCTAGCCACTCTGAGTCTGAATTAGTGTGCAGTGCCCACTGCATTAGCTATCAGATATATGGGCTTATGCCTGGATCAAGGCCCAGGTGGCATAAATAAATTCCCCCGTGGGACTTTCTGACAGAGCTAAAATGGGGCCTGATGGTAACAAGCATGCAGCGCACTGGGTCCATTAGACTAAATCCCTTAAAGCAGGAATGCTGTGGGAAAAGAAAAGTCAAGAGGTGTGCTCTTTTACAGACAAACAGACTCGACTGCATGTTTACACGTCCACTCTCTATCTCTCTGTCACTCTCTAGACACACACATATATGGTGTACTTCAGATGGATTAAGTCCTCAGTAAGCACTTACACCATCTAATAAGCACTTTTCATCACATAAATTACATTTACCAGCTCGTAACCATCCCTATGTGGGTGTTTTGTTCAAGTGCAGTCAAATACTGAGACATGAACGTGAATGAGGAGGTAAGCATAATGATTAAAATCACAGATGAGTGGGCAGAATGGGAATATTTATTGATATTGTGACAACAATATGCTTTTCTGAGCATTTTTTGGAAATTTTTCATCACTAATTAACTGCCTACTTAATTACAAAGAGAGCATAATTAGTCTGGTTTATTTGGTTTTTGTGCAGTAGTGTATGTGAAATGTTGAATAAAATCATTTGGATCTTTTTTGTCTGTTCCAACTTATCAAACCTTTGGGAAAACTAAATATTGTGATGCATACAGTGTATCGTGGAAATGTCTCAAAGTATCGTGATATTATATTTATGCCACATCGTCCACCTCTACGACGAAACGTGAATAACTGCTATTATACTGCCAATGGTTAATGATTTAATAACGACTGCTCCACAGCAACACAATATATACCTATGTTTAAAGGTTTGTCCCTGGATTTGTATAAAAAAAGGGAAAAAATCTTGAAATCTGTAACCTATACGCCCTGAGATGGGCTGGTGACCTGTCCAGGGTGTATCCTGCCTTCCGCCCAGTGACCACTGGGATAGGCTCCAGCACCCCCCCGCGACCCAGAAGGATAAGCTGTTTATAAAATGTATGTATATGTGTGTGTGTGTGTGTGTGTGTGTGTGTGTGTGTGTAACCTACACACTTGAAAACGGTTCTTCAAGATTTTTTTTTACTAAAGGCAATGGTTACATATAGAACTGTGATGACTCAAAGAACCATTTGAATGTTCACTGGCTCTTTTCCATAATGGAGGAACTGTTAAATATTTTAAAAACCCTCTAAAAAATGGCCCTATACAGCGCTAAAAAGGGTTACACGTCTGAGACCTGTGGAACTCTTTTTGCTGCGATACAGAACCATCTCTAAAAGACCCAAGGGACCCATTTAACCTGGCAAAGAACCACTAATGAATTCAAATGGTTCTTTGACTCCACTTGCTACTTAAGAAGTAATACACTCTAAGAGTATACACTCTTAGCACAAAATGGTTATATAAAGTACCAAAAAGGTTCTTTGACTTGTATCAATGGTGTAACTCTTTTGGTGCTATGCAGGACCATTTTTCAAAGGTTCTTTAAACAGGAATCAGTTTCTCAATCATAGAGAAGTCATTTAACCATGCAAAGAACACTAAAACATTCTTATGGTTCTTTGTGTTTCTATATATATAACCACTGCCTTTACTAAAGAACCATTTAAGAACTATTTTTATGTGTGCACTCTTAGCCAAAAGGGTTCCACTATTGTTACCTCACAGAACCTTTTTGATACTATACAGAACCCTTTTTTTTTTGCTAAGAGTGTTGTCAGGTCAGCTAAAAAATGCACACAAAGGTATCTGTTACAACAGAATAATTCTTGCCAAACATAAGTGGAATAACTGGAAGACTACAACCGTGTGGATATCAATTTATTCATAACACCTGATAAAGCCCGAATTGTGTACATTTAAAGCCCCGTGTTTTCACCCTATACTCATCATGGCGTTGTAACGTGTGATGGATTAAACTGACCTGGAACCGCGTCCACGTCCTGACAACCTCCTGCCTGCAGGTAAAAACTCAACACCACACACGTGAGCACTGCTCGGAACTCCATTACAGCCTTCATGTGAAGTCTTTTTCAGGTATTTGGCTGATATTCGAGCCTAATGAAGGCGTCCTCGACCCCAAAACACACAGTTGGTCCTCCTCAGAGAAGAAGCATTATTTTTTCGCGCCTTTTCACTTGTTTTTTTTCCCCCTCACCGTCAGTCTTGGAGGTGTTCACGGTAGAGGATTAACGTGAACCTCTCTTGCCTTTTCGAGCTCCTTTTGTGGGTGAAACAACAAAAAAATGCTCCCAAAATGACCGAGCTGTACACCTGTATAACTGCTTCACGACTAGCCCTCGACTGCTGGCTGCTTCTCTGAAGCTCTGCTCACTTTTTTTCTTCTCCTCTCGTCTTGAGCAAAACCAAAAACAGACTGTGAGCACTGCTCAGCTACTGAATCCGCCCGGCACCCTCCCTTTTCTCTGCCTCGCTCCCTCCTCTCCTCTCCTCTCCTCTCCACTCATGTCTTAGTTTAGACGACCGACTAGCCTTCACCACTTTGGACTCGTTCCCAGTTGTTGGTCATTGTGATCTTTCCTCATGTTAGTCACTCTCTGTGTGACTGTAGCCTGAAGGCTTCAGCTCTAACAGAGCAGATCGTTCTGAAAACATACATAATGATCTTACTGAGATATATTATAGGGGGTCTGATCTGGATTCACTTTCTAGAAGAGGTAGGTAGAGCAGCTTAAATCTATACTCAAGTAAAACTATTGTTACTTCTATGAAATAGAGACTCAGGTAAAAGTAAAAGTAAGTGTTTCCATAAGAAACAGCTTCTCTAGAAGCACGAAAGCTACAGCAGGTCAAACACCACTTAAGTGCTGAGTAACTTACAGAATTACAGTGTACTTGTACACAGTAGGGTACATCTGTCAGCATACACTGTTAGAAATAAAGGCTCTGTGCAGGTACATTTTTTGTTCTTCAAGGTACAAACAATGTAAATGTTCCATCAAAGGTACAACAGTGGTTTTAAGGTCCAAATGTGTACCTTAAATAAGTTTTTCCAAATATAAAAGAATGCATTTGTATTTTTTATTACCTAGTGTTTTAAAACAGAACGATAAAATAAAAAGCCTGGAGACGAGACGGGGTGAGTGGAGTCAATACAACTTATACAATACAAATATAATTTCGGTATAATTATTCAGTATAAAAATATAATTACGGTACAGTTATGTTCCCTGACTAAAGGTACTGAGATGTTCCTTTGAGGGTACTACCCCAGTGACATGAGGGGTGCTGCCCCAGTGACAGTTTAGTACCTTTTTTTCTTAGAGTGTAGGAATTAAACTTTGTTAAGCTCTGTTCTTTACTTTTTTATGCACTGATGGTCAAAAATAATTATAAACCTCAAAAGTCAAAAGTTTTACCAGTCACAAAGCGGTCCAGACGTGGTACCCTTAAGGGTACATCTCAGTACCTTTAGTCAGGGATCATAACTGTACCATAATCCACTGAAATTACATTTTCCAAGTTGTATTGACTCCACACACCCCGTCTCGTCTCCAGGCTTTTTATTTTATTGTTCTGCTTTAAAACATTAAGTTATGAAAAGGTACAAAGATGTACTTTTTACCTGGGAAAAACATATTTAAGGTCCACAGTTGGACCTTAAAACCACTGTTGGACCTTTGAGGGTACATTTACATTGTTTGCACCTTGATGCACGAAAATACCAGCACAGTACCTTTATTTCCAACAGTGTACAGTTTAAAAGTATGGAATCACTGTTATTGCTTTTAGTAATATAGAGCAAATTTGGTTGCACACAAGTGTAGAAAATGATTCTAACTAGTTTCAAATAATTATTTGAACATTAGGAAGCTGTCAAGAAACAATAAAAAAATGCTAGATGTGTGCAGAATGATGAACAAAGTGGTGGTTTTAAAATGACTGAAAAAGCTACGCAACATCAACAGTTAAATTCTAATAAAATCAGTGAGCACTGAGAGTTCATCATATTTCATAAGATAAGATAAGATAAGATAAGATAAGAAAAGATAATCCTTTATTAGTCCCACAACGGGGGGAATTCTCATATTTTTCAACCAGCAATGAACGCGCCTCGGATTAACCTCACAGGTTACGATAGAAAGAACTCTCTCTCTCAAATCCCAATACTTTTTATTCACTACTTTCTTTCACGGAATTCTTGAAAACTTGAGTAAAACATCTCCCAATACCTTTTGTGAAACAGTTTGTAGTATTTATTTCCCACTCCAATCAGTTATTATTGTATATAAACTGCAAACTTTTGAGCGGGTGTGTACCCAACAGTTATTCAGCAATGCTCCATCAAAATCGGATTGAAGTACATGAGACTGAGCAAATGTAACCAACTCTCTGCTCACCTCTGGCTGTAACAGCGCAGTGCTTTCTGAAAACATGCATAACAATCTTACTGAGATGCGTTACTAGAACGGGGGTCTGATCTGGATACACTTTCCAGTTAAAGAAGTCCTGAAATTTCTGTCGCGGTTTTGAGCTTAGCTCAGCGGTCACAGGCGCATAACACTGAAATATATCTGCTTAGAAATAGTGTGTCTTTCAACAGATGGAGGGACTTCGGTATGGCTAACAGATGTGGATGTTTTTGCCAGCTTATAGAGAGTGCTAAACAGAGGTGTAAGGTGTCTGGGGTAACAGGTTACACAACTAAATGTATTTACCCCTAAGTTGGATTGTTTGTATTGATTCCAGACAGTCTGAGGTCTTTACTGAGCTGCAGATGTCTGAATTTGTGTGCTGTGGTTTTGTGAGTGGGGGCAGAAATGATTCAATGAATCAATTGTGTGAAAAAAGAGAAGCACAGATAAAATAGCAAACAGGTGAAGTAAGAAAAGGTAGCAAAAGGTCTTGAACCTGAAGCCCTGTTCAACTACAAAGGGGGGTAGTGCCTCAACACACCTAGTAAGCAAACATAGACTGCTTGTGAAAGAGTAGTCTAGTGAGCAGACATTGATATTAAGTCCCACTGAATGTACAGTAGTGTAGACTCTTCCTTTTTTCAGCATATATTAGATCAGTCTTGCTAAGAGGACACTACCATTCAAAAGTTTGGAATCACCATTTTTCAATAAGGAAAAACTACTTTTCCTGCAGATAGATATAGAACTGTGCAGGTCCAAGACCACCCTGCATTTATTTAACTTCCTGTCAAAACAGCCATTTAAGTACTGCACTGGCTACCTGTATCTTTCAGGACAGATTTTAGGGTTCTGCTACTAGTTTTCAGGGCTCTAAATGACCAGTACCCCACTTACATCATAGAATGTCTGTCTGTTTATGTTCCAGCACGTGATCTTAGGTCTGCAGACAGTGGCCATCTGCAAATACCTTCCATAAAATACAGAAAACATGGAGAGGCCTCTTTCAGTTATTGTGCTTCTAAACTGTAATAGACCCGCCTCAATGCCTAAATAGTTGACAAGGTGTTCTTTTCAAGTGCTGCTCCTTTTTTCTCAAAACATATCTTTGGTGATTGTGACTAAAGAGCTCAATTTGTATGTCATCAATTCACATCTCTTGTTGACTTTTGTGATGAGGTTACTGTTAAGGTTTTCTTTCTGATGTCTCTTCCATGCAGATCATGTTTGTGCAAGTAACGTTGCACAGTAGAATGATGCACCACCACTTCTGTGTCAGCTAAACCTCCCTGTAGGGCCTTTGCTGTAACATGGGGCCTTTGCTTTGCCTTTCTGGCCAGCATATGAGCAGCTATATAAAAAGAGTTTTCTGAATCTTCCAGATCTCGCGGTGACTTCCACAGTTCCCCTTAACTGCCATTTCCAAATGAAGTTTTGAACAGTGAAAACAACAAAAAAGTGTTATTGTTTACAATAGTTTGCTGCAGTGGTTGTGTTTACTTCTTTTCATTTCAAAAGCCAACAAAATATGTGGGTGTCCAAACTTGTGCATACAACTATATTTGTGGAAGCCATAGTACAAGCTGTGTCAGTGGCACTTATCCATAACCACAAAGTTTCAGATGAAAATCCTTTCAAACAGTGTAAATGCCAGACATCTATTGGTTTGTAATATCCACTTGCACCTTTGAGATATGTCTGGCCCAAAGTTGTTATTAAAGGGTGCAATTAGGCCTTTAGTGCAGAGTAAAAAACAGCTGCAGCGATAAGATCAAAATCCCCACTACATGGAGGTTTATATTTTAATTGCACAGGTGTCTCTTTGAGTATCACGTCTGGAAGTTTTGACTGTGAGATTATACAACTTCAAACTTTTTACTTAGAGTTCAGAGATTTTTTAGAGGTTGTAGATCCATCTTTCTGTGGTTTTTTTTTATGGAACCGATACAAAGCTCTTCTATCAAACATTGTTCCTCATAGGGTCAGGGTGTCCCAAAGTAGCTCAATTTTTTTTTCCTTTATGAGTTATTATTGAAACAGATCACTCATACGTTATTCACCACAGTGCTTCACTCTGTTCAACATTCTGAATCTGATGTAATCACATTCCAGCGACAGAGCTCTGGATGGAAATAAAAATCTCCATTGTGCAAGAATGTTTGGGTGAGTAATCACTTGGATATCAAGTATTACTGCATGACATTATACTCAACTCAATTAGAAAGAATGAAATACCACACAGTTTGCAAAAGGCCAAAACTTGCATTTTTCAAAAACTTCAGAATTGTAAACACCTACAGAACAAAGTGCAATTTAATGCTGTGTTATTCTAGCTGTTCTGACGGATCATCAAATTGCAAAGAACCATAAGAAACCCCAGGCAGAAAGTTTTTAGATTAAATTGTTGTTTATGGAACTAGACAAGTTTCCATGAATTCTGGTTTTAAAGGGCATGTGAAAGAGTCTACACAACCCATACAGGGAAACTAAGCTGCAATAATAGACCATTTTCAATTCACTATGTTTGTGATGTCATAAAAACAACAAGTTTACATATATTGACCTGTTCAGTCTGCGATGAACTGGCGACCTGTCCAGGGTGTATCCTGCCTTCCGCCCAATGGCCGCCAGCACCCAATGCCCCCATGCGACCCAGAAGGATAATCGGTTTAGAAAATGTGTGTGTGTGTGTGTGTGTGTGTGAGTGTGACCTATTCAGTCTACTGCAGTTTAGCCCCACCAATTCACACTGAGAGCTTTTCCAACTGATAATGACCCCTAAAATGTAGAGACGTTAAACATATAGCACTTTACAGCATATCAGATCATTTAGAAAGCATTAAAAAGTGCCAAAAAGAAAAGCCAAGGCAGTGACCATGCAAGTGTTAAGCGAAGTGAGGTAGAATTACCTTTTAATGTAATTATATCTCATTAAAGAGCCTGCAGAAATAGTCTCTCACACTGCATATGATCACAACTGTCAGAATTATGGAACTCCATGACCAAGGAAACATGAGAGAAGAGTTGGCAGAGCGGGCAGTGGGCATGCTAGCTGAAAGCAGCTTGAGTCTGTAGTGAAGGCTA